TATTGGAAGATACTGATAGAGAGATCACACCACACAATGCGAGGCACTTGAATAGCATCTATGCAAATTTAAAATAAAAAGAGCGCTTGGCTCCTAGTGACTGTATAAAACTAAGAAGAAAACAGTCTAAAATAGGTATTTAAAAATATACGAATATTAATAATTACCTTCACTCTTACATTAATTTTACAATTTAGTTACAAAAGACTGGCCTTGTTTGGTTTTTTTCGGTGGTTGCTTTTAGGAACCACCCTTAAAGTACCCTCAATTGAAAACATCAAAGGACGAAAAAGGACAATATCGAAATATTTGTATGCCGTCAAATATAACTACAAGATATATTTTTTTAAGTCGGTAAAAAACTTATTGAAAAACAAAAATGTTTAAAAGCAAGCAAGAAGGAAGTCTGGTGTACAAATGTACAGTTCGTCTACTCGATGATTCTGATGTAGTAGAATGTGAATTTCAGGTGCGTTTATATTTAACAATAAAATGTGAATGTTTAAATTGATGCATTAGAAATGTATTTATTTTATAAAGTGAACCTTACGTGTGTAGTTTAAGTAGTTTGGTGGAGTCAGAAAGAGTCCTTTCCGACCAATAAAGAATGTACATATGTACATACATTTATTCTTAATTTTACATTTATGTTAGAAGGATACAAATGTAGGCATGGGATAAGGATATAGGGTGAGCCCGTCAACAGTTTATATAAAAGAATTCGGGTAAAATATCGAAGAGATTAAAGGAAAAATATTAACAGATATTAAAATTTGCTGCTTTCAACATAAACCGCAATGGGAAGTGGTTAACTAGTCACACAGAATCTTATTGACTTTTTTGTTCCATAAAATGGGAGACTATACACCTCCTTGCGGGGTGTATCTGTTGACATATCTTGACTGAGTGGACGATCCCATTGATGATGTCACCGTCCTGCATGTGAGCAATTGATCAATGAGCATCACCAAGTGGCGGCCCACCCAATGGTTAGTCAGGGCAACCGTAATGGCTCCCGGCTCGACGTTGTTGAAAGCTCCATCGTTGTCGAGGAAGGTAACTAGAGTTTTCCCTGAGGTGTAGAGCTTTCTGTATCCCAAAAATGACTTCGAGAAGGGCCGTTTCCGTGGATTTTCCTTTCCGTTATACGTGTTGGGGGCCTGACTGAATTTGAGGGTTGATGGTTTTCCTCAGTTGTAACACGACTATTCTCACAAAGGCTTTGAGTATAAAGGAGGATAGACTAATAGGTCTGAAGTCCGTGATAGGCTTTTCCCGCATTTGGGATGAAGACAATTTTTGCCTTGAGCCATGGTTGAGGAGTTGTAATTCATTGTTAATTGTTCACTTTTGCACTTGATCGCACTTTTTGCATTGAAATGTGAGAATGTCAAAAACAGATCAGCTCACCGTCAGAGCATCCAACTAGTTTGCTGTTTATTATAAATTTATTGCCTATTCGGCATTCGCTGTGCATAGGGTTACTTCAGAAAGTTTTTTTTACTATGTTTGCTTTTTGTAAATTTAGTTAGCGAATAAACAGAACGAAATGCACTTTTATACAAAACGTGTCTAAATATTTAATGAACTGCTCAAAACAGGCGTTTCACAAAGGAATATATTTGTTGGACTACTTATGTGGAGAATTGAATATAAAAGAGAAAGACTACTTCGGTTTGCGATACGTTGATGGGTCAAAACAAAGAGTAAGTAACTGTTAATAAAAATACCTACGTACGTGTGCATAAACTTATTAACTTCTTAATAGCACTGGTTAGACTTGGCCAAATCCTTAATAAAACAAAGTAAAGGTGAGTTATAAATGTCAGCTTAAAGTAATCTTCATATATCTAATTAATTTCATTTTATTACAAGACCTGGATCCTATTTTATTCTCACTAAGAGTAAAATTTTACCCCGCTGATCCATTTCGTCTAACTGGGATCTCTCGAATTATGTTGTATAAGCAATTAAAAAGAGATTTAAGACACGGACGTTTGTACTGCTCCTTTGGTGAAGCAGCCGCTTTGGGTGCTTTAATTGTACAAGGTATATTCAATATTTAAGTTTACACACGCACAATTATTATTAATTTTATTTTTATTTTAATTATTCAGGGCACATTTAAATTAAGTCACTGCCGGCCTCATTTGCAAGAACATATTTTTTTAGGAGCCCACAACGTTCCACAACGTTACTCCTCTTTTTTGTTGTTGTATTTTTATAGCACTTGTAATACTTACGAATAAAAATGGACATACTTGTATAAATTACAGAGGAACTTGGAGACTATAATGAGAAATTTCATATAGGCGATTATGTTTCTTCACTTGAATTGGCCTTGCGGCAAACGGAAAATCTCGAAAAGAAAATTATTGAACTCCACAAAAAGCGAGAGGCTGGACAGGATTCCTTCTTAGCTATTCACGATTTTCTGGGTATAGCTCGCACACTGGAAACCTATGGAATTGAACCGCATCCTGTTAAAGATCACCGTGGATCTCAACTGTATGTTGGTATTAATAATTCGGGTATAAGCACGTTCATTGCAGGCAAACGCTCACAACATTTCCGTTGGAATGAAGTGCATAAGATTAACTTTGAAGGGAAAATGTTTATTGCACATTTAAGTTATACTGATGCCAGCCGTGAACCTGTATGTATACGGAAATAAACTATTTCATTTTTACTACAGCTTACATTGATTTATAGAAAAAGCACACTATTGGATTTAAATGCCCATCGGGAGCTGCTTGTCGATATCTGTGGAGATGTGCAATCGAACAAATGCTATTTTTTACGTAAGTTTGATAAGATTGGACAGATTAATGCATTCGTTGGTAAATTGTAATCATTTCAGACTGCCCAATAGTGAAAATGCTGCCGTTGTTTCTGGTGGAGGTTTTTTCTCCTGGGGTACAAAATTCCGATACACTGGCCGAACTGAGCGAGAAATATTAACTGAAAATATAAATGCTTTACGCGAACAAAAAATAAATGGTTCCAGTTCGAGTAAACGAAAGGCGAGCAGTGTTCCAGCCACTCCTTCCAGTCCCCAGGGAGAATTATCACAAATACGTAAGCTAATTTGCTATTGACCTCTAAATAAAAGGAGTCCCAACAGCCATAATTTTTTAACAGGTTACAGTAGCTTACCTCGTTCAACAATGTCTGAACCGTTGGGCTCCTGCAATGTACAAATGAATCGCAATCACATTTATGGCGCTCATCCGCAGGATCAGAACACTTGCATAATCGATAGCAATGGATGTATTCAAATGCCTATTTTAGAGCCCGTTTGCGAGGAGTCTCGTTTACGTTCTTCAAACCATGATAGTGCCAATTATTTTTCAAAACCGTTGACTGGATTTCCATACCGAGAGTTGACCGAACATTCCTCCACTGAAAGCGGTAGTGGCTATGATCATTCCAGAAAACATAAAGAAAATATAAAACCATACACGGGCTACGCGTCTAGACTGTGCTATCCACAAGCTAACTCTAATTCATCAGCCGGTATGACAGTCCCTAAGAATGTTGATAATTCTTCGAACATGCATACAAATTCCATTCATGGTGTGAAAACTTTTCGCAAATTTCATTTATTGCATGCCTTTATTCCATCGGTTATTTTCGTTGCTTTCGCGATGGCTGGAACAGCTGTATTTATTATGGAGTCAGAGTCAGATTTATTTGATCAAATACGCAATTCTCCTGAAATGATTTGCCTACGCTTCCAATATTATCAGCCTTTAAAAGATTTTGTTTTGCAAAAGTTTGGTAAAAAAGATTAATTTGATTGCTAATATGGCTTTTAGTTCGATTCAATCTTTAGAAAATATTAAGCAAAGGTATAAAACTAAGCTGTTCTCATAATTCTCATAATGAACATTTAATTGAAGTCCTCAGATTTATTTTTATAAACTGTACGACCTACTTTTCCAATGAGAAGAATGATCTGTGATCCTTTAAAGCTAGTAAGGAAGATTGTAAAATGTAAAATGTAATTTATTGACACACATCTTCCATTAAAAATATACCTTGGCATATTCTTATATTAAAAATGTGTGTAATAGATTTATTTTAGATGATTATTAAAAACAAAAACATGCTTTCATCTAACTGTAAATTATGTTTCTCTACTACAAAATATTCTATAACACTGAATAAAGCCATTTTATAATACCTACTTTTCCTAACATTTGTTTGGATTTATGTGACTTTGTGTGGGTGTGCATTTTTTTGTCGCCAGATCTAATGGGCAGAAAAAGCATACATATGTATGCATGTATATCTTCTTGCCTTGGAAGCGTATAGCTTAGCTCGACTTCGCGTTTTCTCTGCAACCTGTCTTTCTACAGCCGATTGGAAGGTGGCTAAGGTCGAGGAGGTCTATAGCCAGAGGCGCCAGGTCATCCACGTCCTCAACGAGGAGTTACTTGTGTTCCTGAAGGAATCCGGGGAAAAGGCAGATATGGAGCTTGAAGGACAATGCAGGAAGGAAGCACGGAATTATTGGATAACTCCATTCAGGCGGAAAGGTAATGCCATTAATATGTGCTTTATACCCTTATAAATTGATCAAATTAGTACCGAGTATAAAGTTAATAAATTATAATCTCCATATAATCTGTTTTCGTTCGACTGCATGAACAAGTTTTAAACCTCTTGCGCTTGTTTCCTTCCGTGTTTCTTGTTTCTGTCGACAAATAATAGATTCATTCTTTCTTTTGCTGCGGTATTTCTAGTATTTAATTGGCTGGGTTTCTGATATATTTCCTGCTGATCTGAGTACTAAACTGCTCAATTCTAGCGGCAAAATTGTCTGACGAACAAAAAATCTTATCGTTTGTATGGGTTTATTAGCTTTGCTTCTGTCGTAAGAAAACTTCGCGCATCTGAGCAGTGGGCTAGAGATACAAAAAATTCCCATAGAACAAAAATATCATCAAACAATTGTAAAGCCCCAAATCTATCAGAAAAAGTTGGTTGATGTTGTGCGCATGTCCAACCGTAAGAGGAAGAAATAATTACATACGGAAATATATATGTATGTGTGCATATTTCAATAAACATTAAGTCCAGTTGATGCTATAATGTTAGCATAGAGAATTTAAAATGCGTTACTATTGGACTTTTCGGGTGATTGTATATATTTGTAAGTTTTACTACCAATCAGTTATATGAATATGTTCACGCTGTGCATTTATAAATCGTTTTTATATGAACTCTTTTTTTCCAGTACTTTCGCGAGGAACGTCCCCAAAAACTATATATTTTGATGAAAAAGTATCAGTTTTAGAGTATGCAAATACAAGTAATGAATATATTGCGAACATTAATAAGCCACTCAATAGAGGGCCTTATTTTGATACTTCCGCAACCAAAAATGTCACATCTCTCGTGGGGAAAACGGGACACCTGAACTGTCGAATCAAGAATCTGGGCAATAAAACGGTACGTCATAACTTAAATAATGTCTGTAGAAAATATTTAAAATATGCCATACAACAGGTATCATGGATACGCCATAGGGACTTACATCTGTTAACTGTAGCAGAAAGCACATATACATCGGACCAGCGATTTACTTCCATTTACAATAAACAGACTGGAGACTGGTCTTTACAGGTGCGTGAAATACAGAAACATTAACTGCGGGAATTTACATTTCTGATATTCAATTTTGTATAACACTTCGTATATTTTAGATAATGTTTGCACAAATCAGAGATTCCGGAGTATACGAATGTCAGGTATCAACCACACCTCCAGTTGGGTATACCATGATATTTTCAGTTGTAGGTAAGTTCAACAAAATATATGAAACTAGCAGTAACTTATTCTAATTCGCTGTTGCACAATCTCGTTGCATGGATGCTGGGATTGCTGTGATGAAGAATTAAAAATAAAACTGAATAGAAGTTTTCGATAAGTTTAACTTCAACATAATGTATGGAGCGTTTGAACGCGACTCACAACGCTTCTACTATTTTATTATACATATTGCTATTGTAGTTTGAGCCTGTAAGCCATTTATATATTTGAATGTTCCAATTTGAATTAAATTATAGAACCTATTACTACCATTCCTGGAGGTCCTGAACTGTATATTGACATGGGATCAACAGTGAATTTAACGTGTGTCGTAAAGCATTTACCCGATCCACCCTATACAGTGCATTGGACCCACAATAATCAGGTAATTAAGATTACGATAAAATAAAAATGACTATCTTCAATAAACCGTTCGGTGTTTTCAAGGATATAAATTATGATTCGCCACGAGGAGGAGTGTCAGTAATAACTGAAAAAGGAGATATAACTACTTCATATCTCTTGATTCAGCGAGCCAAGATATCTGATTCGGGAAAATATTCTTGCTTACCATCAAATGCAAATCCAAAGTCGGTCAATGTTCACATACTTATCGGTAAGCACTTTTCCTTTCTTATAGCTTTAAGTTTCAATAAATCACAAAACTCAGCAAAAACAAACCATTTAACATTTATTAAAGAATTCTGTTTTTTCATGGCATATACTTTTTACACCGTACGCGTATACTTTGTTATGAGTACGAACGCGTTTTACACCGTTCCTCCTCGTTCTTATATAATCTTAAGTGAAATTTGAAGCCGCGGCAGCCCAATTAAGCTTTTAAGCCAAATATACAATTAACGCTCCATTTTCTTTATTTTTATATAGGTGATCATCCTGCTGCCGTGCAAAGGGCCCATAGTTTACTTCCCTATAGTTGTAAAATGCTAGTTTTAACCATTTTTGCATTCTTGAAACTTAGCATTTAAGTATAAACATACGTATAGTTTTGTAAATAATAAATACCTTGTCACATACAAAAACTGTACATTGTTTCCCTTTTTTACGGATTTAATGTTATAGCAGCTCAGAAGCGACATTCTGCTTTGAACACTTTTTTTGTGCGAGGGGACGAAGTTGAAAATCTAATGGAAACTCTTAATGTCCTTTATGTTCAATGCTCAAGGAACTACCTACCTCAATACAGGACACGTTTTTCACAGGATCCTAAACAGTTGTATAGCTTCGTAAACAGCAAGCGTGTAACGACTGCACATCCATTCTCGGTATAAATTCAAAATACGTAGAAAAACAGTAATCAGGTAAACAACTTATTCTCAGAAAAGCTACTCTGGTCATCTGTATCCATATAGTTTACCAAGATCGAACGACATTTTCAGCCCCTTGTCAATGATCATTGCATTATGAGCTTCGACAGGTTAGGTCTGCGTTTTTTCGGGAACTCCCTGACGGAGCTACCGGCTATGTACTCAGGGTACTGCTTAACCCATTCACTCCATTTATTAATTCTTCAAGCTTTTCCCCCAGCGGGAAGGAATCTTTTATAATTTATTTCCATAAGAAAGATAGCAAAGGAAAGATGCAAAAGTCCTAAAATGATTAAGAACATTTTAACTCCGCACTTGCACAACAACCACAAATCGTTTAGACTTCACATCCGCCTATTTTACGCTTTATTCTTTCTCAGCTTGGGCGACGCATTCCCAATGCGGCCCATGCCGTACATACTTACCCATTTACAAACTTTATCCAGAATGAGCCCTATTTAATCGTACATACATGTATGGCTTTACTGTTGTCTACATTACAAAATTTACATGAGTTTATTATTAAACATTAGTTTTATAACTACTTAAATAAATATCATAGTACAGTATATTTACAAATTCGATAAGATTAGCCAATTGCTTAGCAGTTTGATTTACTTTTCTACATCACCAAGAATTATAAGTCCGTAAGTATTGATTACAGGCGTGTTGATTCACCTGAAATAAATATAGAATTAAAAATATATTATTAGCAATATATTCAAAAATACACATAACATTTTTGTAAAAAGTAAATTTTAAGCTAATAACACTGATCAGCGCTTAGTAATGGATGTATACCCGTTATGTATGTATACATGTACATATACTTATTACGCTAAATCGTATCTTTTATATGATCTATAAAATATATTTTTATAAATCTTTCTCTGTATTTTGTTCTTGTTACGCAGCCAAATATAAGTTTTTATACATAAACTAGAGGGATCGTTGCGAGTCGCTGCTATTGCCGCGACTCTAATTTTGACAAATTATGTGACAAATATATCATTTTTGAGCCGCTAACAGACTACCATCAACAACCGTTTTTCTCGAACAAATCGTTTTTTTGGTTCTGGGTACTAGGCTCGTTTTTTTATATTTTTATGTTTTTATTTTTTGGTGCAGATGATGGAGATGGGTTGTGATTTCTTGTGATCGTCCTGGTGAACACACATGATCAGCGTTTTTAACGCAAGAATACGGACCAGTGAATTCGTGCCCTATCCATTGATTTTGGATTATATCGATATATTAAAAATTTTGTTTGCTAGATCTTACATTACACATTAACACATAATTTAAGATCGTTCTCGTCCGCTAGAGACGCTGACTACACGAGGCAGTGTGCGAGAAAAAAGAATGAGCAAGCATAAGCCGCACGGAACTGCTTGTTGTTTGTCTCGTATCTTTGAAATTTTGGATGCCACAGATTTTGGCGTGCCTAAATTTTGAAATAAAATTTGTTCAGTGTGAAATCACACGAGTCTTAGCATACATTTTTGGTGTTTCTATCTCTAATAGTCTCTGAGAACTAGGGGTCAAACAAGATGGAGAGATATGGCCATATACTTTCTGTTACAACTGTTAAAAATCATAGTAAACTCTTCAAGGCTATAAATATGAGATTACTGGTCATTGAAGAAGGCGTAAATAGTGGTTTTGTTTTAAGTTTGGCAGAAAACTCACCAGATTCCCAATCTTCCTCTCCATCTTTTGGAGATGATTGTTTATATGTGATGTATGAATCATAATTGATGTGTTTATTATCATTTATACTTCGAGTATCGGAGGTGATATTAATTTCACCATTCTGCCAAGTGGTTAAGTTACTTTTTGTAATGGACGGTGGTTTGAAAGTATGTATATTTTTTAAATCCTTTCCTGTGGAATCATTATTCAAGTTTGATACAAGAGGTTTGTAATTGGGTTGTTTGCGTTTTGACGCAGTCGAGACATTTTTTAAATTGGTTGTTGTGTCGTATTGAATTTTAGTCTATGAATATTAGATTTTATATTACATATATTTCGTTTGGGCTAAAATATGTTCAGACTTACCGATATATCCTGGGTTTCCAATGCGGCTGCTGGTTGTTTTTTCGATTTTTTATCATCATTAAAACACGCTTCTCCCTCAAATAATATGGAAATCTGTAAAAGGAAACACTCTTATTTTAATATTCTAAACTTTGTAGAGTTGTTTGTAAAGGAGAATTTGTTTTATATGGATAGATACAACAAATTTGATTAGATTCCATACAGCCGTTGCAACATATGTACATGAGCTTATTCTATCCTGTATCACTACAAGAAGTGCGACCACAAATCAAAAATCTTAAAAATTAAAACGAGGAGGAACGATTTAGAATAACATGATACCCTGGAGTGCTCTCTGCCGTCTCATTGAAGAGTAATCGTCCCCCACTTTTCCGGGAACTGCCCGGCTCTGGGAAACCGTAGGCTCCAGCTTCTTGGGACTGCTTACCTCACGGAAAGGGATTGCCCTTAATTCACAATACTTGCTTGCCACGGTCTTGGCAATTAGAAGGGGCCCATGCTTCATCAAAGCGCACCTATAGTAGGTCAAAGTGAGCTGGGGAAGGTTCTCTACCCAGCTACCGCCTTAACCTAACTTAATGAATTATATTTAAAATGCCTAAAGACCTTTTATAAAAGGAGAATTACAATAAATATTGAAGCTTACCTTGAAGTCTTCTGAAAACAATTTATGTTTACGGTCTTTATGAACATAATCGATTTCTGATTTGTTTAAAGTGTATGTACATTTCAACAGTGTTCCGTCGGACTCGCAAACTGGAAAATATAGATTAAAAATAGAGTACAGTTCATAAAAGAATTGGATGTTCTTTTAATAACTAGTTTTTATCTTTTTATTCAAAGCCTGTACTCAGCTTTTATGAATGTAATTTGAATTAAAGAATCGAGTGTGAATATATATTTACCTGAAGAATTTTGAACGAAGAATGTATTTAGCCAAAAATGGCAAAATGGTTTCTGTGAAGACTTTCGTGCAAATTCAAATTTTATATCACCGGCTACCGATAGAGATGGATTACTTATTTTCAATACACAAGATTCTTGGAAATCAATAGTCCACGTTTTCGGTGTCTATAAAAATAGGACAAAATAGTTTTATGATAAATATATTATGTAGGTGGCCCGTATGGAAAAAAATGGGCGTTAATTACAAGGACATGCTTTGACTTTATATTATTAAAACCCTCAATATATTTTTCAGCATCTCTGATATGAGGAAACCATTTAATAACAGACTATCTAATAAGGTTCAGGTTTCTTTTATGTTACACACTTGTGCTTTTACATTTTCTGTTGTAGAGTCCTGTGGTACAACTACTGTACATTGTACCGTCCCTAGGTTTTGCAGCAAACTGGACTCCGAAAATCGTATTTCACAGATCTGGAGAATATGAATTTAAAAATTAGTCTAGGAATAATTAAAAATTGAACATTTTAAACATATACATACTTTAAGGATTTTTTTTGAATATGGAACACTAGAACAAACTAGGTTTGAAAAATACTGAACATATCGTCGCTGAGATGGGATTGTGACACCTTTACGATCCTTTGTACGTTTTACGTCATACCAGGCCAATGCCTCATCAGCGGATTTTTGTAAACCACTGTACAGTAAATATGCACATATCATGGTACCTTAAAAAAATAATTAAAAAATAAACTTGTTAGTTTCGATTTCATTGAACGCATATTTAGAAATATCTTTCGTACCAGTTCTCCCTTTTCCAGCTTTACAATGAACGGCAACGACATTTGATACATCTTCCTTAAGCCAAGAATCCACATCTTTACAAAATTGTTGTATTAATTCAATCGTTGGAGGATTATGATCTTCAAACGGAAAAATTGCAACTCTCTGAAACATACAAGTACAAGTTATTTATTAATTGATACGAATTTTCAAAGTTTAGCTTACCCCATGAAATTTATCGGCGTTATACCTATAATTGGATTCAAGACACAGATTATATACTTTGTAATGATCTCCATGGTGTTTTTCTAACAATTCGCGAACCTCTGTTAAAGAATTTCTATATATGCTCTCCAGTTTACCTGGCGCTGGATACCCCATGGCAATTATATTGTCGTAAATATCTGTTAAATGAGCAATTAAAAAAAAATGGTCAACGTTTTTTCTCAATATCTTTTTTTGTTAATATTTCTATGGCTGTACATTTTTAAGTTAAGAGGTATACGGAATATATTTTTAAGTAGTAATATATTTTTTACAATAATAATAGTAGAGCTGATGTTCTTACATGTAAGATCCAAGTCGTATGGACCTTCTTTGTACCGAATACGTTCTTTGCTCACTACATTGCGTATCACATTCGACATTAACGATATTGTGTTTGCCATTTTGTTCTCGTTGATGTGTATTCTATTTATTTAATTTTTTTAGTTCCAGCATTATATCCATTGGGAAAATTATAGGTTTTATTCTCGTTGAGCAATATATCCATTAAGAACTTTATAAAGAGACGTTTTTCTCATTATTAATACAAAAAATTCCTAAAAAGAAAACATACAAAAACATACAATATAAATAGTGTTGGGCAAAATATATTTATTTGCTATATTTATATTAAATATGCCTGCGGTCATAATAATAGTAGTGGCAATATAAGCATTCAAATATCAACAAAAGATTGCTAATTTTTCAAATATATTGTGATTATATAGTACATAAATGATCAAGAATCATTAAAATTATCCGAACAAAATATAGAGTTAAAATCGCTTAAAAAAAGGAGGTCTTCAAAAAAACAGTGGTATAAATGTTACTATGAGATTACACTAAAAGAAACTTTATAAATATTAGCTCACTAAATGTTGTCCCTTTTCCTCAGGACCTACAACCTAACCTCTCGGGAACCCTACAAAACACCACTCCCTGTGCAGAAGCCACACTGCACGCAGAAATGTGTGTGAGAGAGAGGAAGAATGAAATAATAATGATCCAAACTGAACCATACATTTTTAGACAGTGTGATTTCACAAAAGACGGTGGAAATTTTGGTTGCTTTGGGCGGACAGACACACTTGGCTATAACGAATCGGCTGTTGATGCTGATCAATCTTTGTGGGGTTGCCTTCAAACCCATCACCTTTGCCGGACGTTGAATAGTTCGATATATAATTTACAAAACGTTGCTGCGTTTTACATCTCATTATTAAAATAACATGGCAAAAATAAGTTACAAAGGTGTGATGTAACAAATTACTTGTTTCTAAGTTTATTACTATGATCAAAGAATATACAACTACATATATGGTATTGCATCAGGAACAAATTCCATTTCAGTTTTCTTTCGATGATTCGTGGTACGGGCACGCAGACTACGCAGGGTCATTAAATTATCTTTTAAGCTATCCTTCGCCTCTTACCGCAGATTTTTTACCTATAAGGTTTTGTCTGCTCCTCAATTTCTAGTATCAGTGAGTTCGTCTCAGAACAGGCGAAGAGGCAAAGCCGAGAAGGCAGCATGCCGCGGTCAGAGATAAAGACAACAAAATTAAAACCCCGCGCGTACCATCTGAATATGTATTGCTTTTTGTAAACTGCTTTTTGGTCACTCATAAATCAGTGTGGTATTTAATAGTCTTTGATATGATATACAAATAATACGAATGGGCTTTTGTAAGAATTTATTTTAGTAACCAAAAATACAATTTAGATGAATGAAAACCGAATAGCAGTGCGAAAAGAACATTTTTTGTTTGTTGCTGGGTGTATGTTAACGTTATGGGTACGATGCTTTCCTGTTTGCGTTACATTTGACTATTTTTTTTAGCAGGTTTGTTGCCGTTATCAAACTATACTTTTTTGAATAACTAAACAATGAATCAAAAAACATTGAAAACATGTAAACACCAAAACACTAGAACTATCACAATCATTTAAAATTTGTGATTTTACATTTTTGGTCTTTTTGTGAACCTCCTTTAATGAAGCACTTGCTAATTTTGCACTATACATAGATGCGTAGACTGTTTGACATTTTGTTAACATGTACGTACATATGCATATACATTTGTAAGTGAGTCGGAAAGTTATCAATGATAAACTAAACGTGTCGAAAATTCGGTGTGCAAAAAGTATACCATAACAATACCAATCGAGAATAAAAATGAATATAAATAAATATGTATATACATACGTATGTACATTTCTAAGATGTTCAATATACTACCTTCTATTTAAGTAATGAAGATTGCTTTTATGAAGCCGTGTATGGTTTTGGATGGATTGTAACGATTTAAATGCATAAAGAAACTTGTCTTAACCAGAAATTTAAGCCGGAAAATTCACTTTTTTGTAATTTTTAACATTTTGGCCGAAACCATTGGAACTTGCTTTGAAAATAATATTTTTTCATCACTTAACAGTTGGCAATCCGTCTATAACATTTAATATGATACACCTAACCATTTACATATCTAGATAAATATTTGCATTTATTTCATGTTCACTTTGTACATACATTTGTATGCATAAACAAAAACAGATTCACAAAATCCACAGATATTTCACACAGCTATCAACTGCTAAATATATGTATATATCTATACATACATACATATGTACATACACTGTTTAAGGTATTAAGGTTGATAATTTTATGTACATATGTAGAACTTTAAAACAGAGTCTGTTGTCATAACTTTAATTTAAGTGGTTATCACATCAAATTTACTAAGCCACGTAGTTATTTAAATTATGGTAAAACTTAAACAATAGCTCATGCTTTTTTAATATAAATTTATCAAGCGTGAGATCTACAGGGTGATCACAGTGGGAAAAACGTACATATGAACATATAATATCATAGAAAAATGGTATACCTACTTAAGCTGTCGTGTGGGATAGGCTTACTTCTATGGTTTTCTGTAAGTGGAAAAATATGAATTATGGTCATACTTTAAGAATTTACTAGCTGAGAGATCAGAGAATCAGATATATATATATATATGCATGCGTCAGCTTGGCTTTTGGTGTTTTGAGATTAGATTTTGTTAACTGACCAGATGTAAAACAGATGGGAGACAAAATTATGTATTTTAACATATACAGCCACTAAGGCAGCAAAATTGTTTTTGAAAAGTATAGCATTATCGATTTTTTCTACAGCAGCGCTGCGGGATCACTAGGAAGCTAAACAAGACATCATCTGACTGCAGACTCTATTTTCGCAGCTACTAAGTTAGCAAAGTCTGATGTCATAGCACCACGTGTGAAAATGCTGCTGCATAGTAATTTCTAAACATAACGAGCTGGAGCTAACATGTTAGGTGTGATCAGGAATACATTTCTATGAAAAAAATGTACGGTTTTCAAATCGTAGTCCCTTACCATATGGAAAAACGGATCTGGATATTTTGAGATTTAAGAGTCAATTCGCCAATTGTTGCAATTTGTGATAGATATAGCATACCTGGACATTTTTCTTAAATTAATTCCAAATCTATCAGGTTTATTATACCCGGTACTCAATATTATAGATAGATGTATCTTTAGATACATTATATATGTATGCATATAGATGTAGTATATTCGAGAGCCCCAGAAACGCAAAGATAATAATATTTATAATAAACAACAACATAAACAACCAAAATGGCAGTATCTTGCTCCGTACATTATCTTGAATGAACATATAATCTTTCAGATCGTTGAATAGATCTGGTTATGTCTCATTATCAGGTGGAAGTGCTTATTTCAGGTTTATTTCATTTATGTCCAGCTGGAACGGATTTATCTTATAATCCGTTACTTTTTAAATTAATGTTTATCATGGCTAACTTTGTATGTAAACATGGACGCACTTTGCACCGAGCTATTATATTGCAATTGCTCTCAATAAAAAAGTTAGAATTTCTTTAACGAGTACCTTATATATATTTACATAAGTTTAATTAATAACTCGATAGTACACTCGATTGTTTTTTCAATGTTACGCTTCACTAATAAAAACGTAAATATTTATGTATTACTACACGTTTAAATGAAATGCCACAGTATATTACGAATTAAATTATAATATGGCTTTAAATGGATTTGTTGAGTTCTTTCAAAAGGGCAAAGTACGATAGTTAACCAATCAAACTCTTATACAGAATCACCCTCGACAATTTCATGTTCATTACAAAATATATATATTTTGCAGACTTTTAGGCCAAAAAAAAGATTTGCGGCAGGAACAATAAGATATTCTCTCTATAAGCAAGCCCAGGCTAGTCTTCAATCTGGAATAAATTTACGTCAGGTAGTGCGGTTACCTGCAGGGGAGAACATGAACGACTGGCTGGCTGTGCATGGTAAGTGGCCACAATTCACAATCGAATAAGTTTAAAATTCAAATGATTTTATTTTTATTACAAAGTTGTTGACTTCTTCAATCGAATCAACCTTATTTATGGAACTGTTTCCGAGTTTTGTGACGAATCAACTTGTCCAACTATGTCTGGAGGATCACGCTATGAGTATTTGTGGGCAGATGGAGATATGTAAGTTTTTACGTTCCCTTCCCAACTAATATCACAAAATTATAATCTGCGTTACGCTTTGTATAATTAATTGTCGTCTTGAACTAAAAAAATAACTCCGCCACAAAATGTACTGTGCTGTATGTTATTATGTCTATGGTCAACATAGCTAAAGTTGCTATCAATCAAAAGGAAACCTTATAAAAGTTTTAGGATTTAGGTTTTAGGTTGGTTTGGACAAAGGCATTAAGTTTGCTTAAGAGATAGGGAGACGGGTTCTCTCCCCAGATACCGCCTTAACCTAGGGTAATGCATTTTTCTATGGCACGTGTTTTATTGAAAATTATAGCCATCGTGCAAAGTAAAGCTCGAAGCAGAAAATAAGATATAAGCCCCAATCCATCAAAAAACTTGGTTTGGTTTGACACCAAATTATTTAAATTGTATTTAAAAAGTGATATTAGTTTGCTGGTTAATTTTTTTTCTTTACTAACGATTGCAGCTATAAAAAACCAATTGCTCTTCCGGCTAAAAAGTATATTGAACACTTAATGGACTGGATTGAGAGCCAAATTAACAATGAAGCCTTATTTCCCGTATCCACTGGTATGTATCCAAATCAAGTACCGGGCCTTGCCGCGTCTTACAACGTTCCCGCTGGTTTTGTGCTCCAATAAGTACATAGTTTTGTATATTTATCCATTTATCTTGAACAAAATACTCACTTATACCTTTGCAGATGTTCCATTTCCAAAAACATTTGTTGCACTTTGTCGCAAAATTTTAACGCGATTATTCCGTGTTTTTGTACACGTCTACATTCACCATTTTGATAGACTCGTGAGCATCGGCGCTGTAAGTAAATTAAATTGTTTATAACCCCTCGATTTCCTTGACCCTGTAATAACTGGAAGTCATAGATATATATACATATGTACGTATACTCATATGATAATAAATAAATATCAGGTATAGAATAATCAAATCAGTCCTCAGAAAATGAATTAAATGAGGATTCACGTTTTGCTCGACCCCGTTGTTATCGTTCGTTTTCTTTCGAAATGACCAGACTTGTTTCCCCGAAACAAAATCAAAAGCCAAGAAACAAATTGTCGGTCTAGTAATCTCTTTCCTCTGGTGTTAAAGTATTCTCTAAAATAACCCCCTAATATACAACTCATTTCAAATGCTTAGTGCAGCGAAATGACTTCCATGCGATGTTAGCTCAATAACTAACATGCTTAAACACTTATTTTTTATTTACAGGAGGCGCACGTCAACGCTTGTTATAAACATTTCTATTATTTCGTTAGAGAATTCGATATGATATCAAGCAAGGAATTGGAGCCATTGCACGAAATGACGTCCCGGATTTGCAAAGACAAAGAGTGAAAAAATAATAGTATTTGTGTAAATTGATTTTTAATGTTTCGAATACGGAAATATTTCTTAAGAGATGCGACATAAAATTATATTCATATAATTTTTGTATTTTAAAAAGTTGAATCATATATTTTAAAAAATAAATGAATCTGAATGTGGAGAATAACAGTTTCAATGTTTTTCCAATGTTTGTCTGGAAATGAAAGAAGTTTTAAAGGTTGAAACATTTTGACAAAGAGAGTGGTCATTATAGCTGTTGTCACAGTGGATAGTTTTAAGTTAAAGAACGTTCCCCTTCTTTTTTGATGTAGTTTTTACCCAAAACAGATTTTCAATTATTCAAACGGATCGGATGGGAAATCATGGTCTGCGATGAATGTACGATAGCATTATCAAACATTATTTATTGCAAAGATGGTGTATGTGTTTAAATATCCACAACAATGAATTAGCTGAAAACAATTGGACGAAATTTCATTCATGCAACAAAAGTTGAAGTTCTTTTCGATTTTTTTAGCCGTATATACGTATACGTATATAAGAGGGAGTGGGCTAACCGACCCACTGACGGAGCATTGCGAAGGGGAGCAGCAGATCAACAGAATTTCTTTCTTTCGTTAAAATGCATAAAGAAGTACAAATGTTTCCCTTCTGGAAAATAGGTGCTCGGGTTAAATAATTTTTGTAGAAAACGCTTCCTGTTCTCAACCGCTTCTACAATGTTTCACTGGGTTATATTTTGACAGCGCCATAACAAATCGTAAACATGCAAACAGATCTATATGTATGTGTGCACACATTAGTCGAATTCCGCTGAATGTATATAAGAGACCGGCTGGTTCCAGAGCAGAAAAGAGGCAGAACATCTTATGGCGATATTCATCTTACTATTATTAGTCTATTTTTGTACTAATACTGTCTTTGCAAGGACTCTTGACGTAGCCCCAGTGTAAAAATCTCTTAAGGAAAGCCTACAGTAAGTCCAAATCGGTTACTGGAGTACCCATGATGATGGACTATTCCACTATTCCCATTTAAGTATTATATTGTTATATATTGCCCCCTGGCCACTCATATAGTTATTCCTCGTACAATACTGCACACATTGAACTACACGATATTAAGTATTTTAAAATAAGCTTAAGATGGATAATTTCAGTTTTGGAGGAGTAGATTTAACAAAGGGACAGATTTTACAAGTGTTATTACGTATATCTGTTGCTTCAATGGTTACATATTATTCTGTTAAATGGATGATGAGCCAATTGGACCCTACCAGCAAAAACAAGAAAAAAGCCAAAGGCCTCGCAGAAGAACAATTGAAAAGGTAACTAAATACTTGCATTTTTAAGTATGTACGTAATATTTTGTAATGACGTCTGGAATTTATAGGTTGAGTGAAAATGATGGATTAAAAATCAATTCCCACGACTTTAATGACTACGAATTGATGATTGCGTCACACCTTGTTGTTCCAGCTGACATTACAGTCAAATGGAGCGATATTGCAGGATTGAATTTGATTGTTCAAGAGCTTCGTGAATCTGTGGTTTTACCAGTTCAACATAAAGATTTATTCAAAAACTCCAAACTGTGGCAGGCCCCAAAAGGTATTCTTCTCCATGGACCGCCTGGTTGCGGAAAAACGTTAATTGCGAAAGCTACGGCAAAAGAGGCTGGTATGCGATTTATCAATCTGGATGTTGCCATTTTAACTGATAAATGGTACGGGGAATCGCAAAAACTTACATCGGCAGTTTTTTCACTGGCAGCAAAAATCGAGNCGGGCGCGTAATTCAAATGACCACGAGGCCACCGCAATGATGAAAACTCAGTTTATGATGTTATGGGATGGCCTAAGCACAAATTCCAATTCGACCGTGATTGTAATGGGCGCAACAAACAGGCCACAGGATTTAGACAAGGCAATTGTTCGCCGAATGCCAGCACAATTTCACATTGGTCTTCCATCTGAAATCCAGAGAATAGAAATACTAAAATTGATATTAGAGTCTGAGGACTTAAGTCGGGATGTTGACCTAAATCGTTTGTCAAAGCTTACAAATGGGTTCTCCGGATCAGACCTTCGAGAAATGTGCCGGAACGCATCAGTTTTAAGAATGAGACAACTAATTGGGGATAAAACTACATCAAGCGCTGGTATATCAGCTATAGACAAGACAAAGTTACATATTACAATGGATGATTTACTGAGCTCACATTTAAAAATTAAAGAGTCTAAAATGCACACCGGTAGTATGTTTTTAGAAAATAGAATAGAGCTAGATTAAATTAAGCACCACATTTACATACATGGTAAATAAATGAATAACTTAAACCATACCATTTTAATGAGTTTTATGTCAACCTTTATTTATGCAAATAATGAAAATGAACATGGCCTCAATGTGAACTCAATAACTCCGTGCTGGAGATATAAGTTATTTGCAGAGAGGTTGCAGTTGCGGAGCTACCAACTTTATCAAGTTATTGAGAGGATATTGAGTTTTTTTTTTGGTTGCTCGTATTTTCTGCCTTTGTGGAGCATTAAAAGGCGTCTCAAAATGTTGTAACAGTGTGATATCACATGCGGGTGCTCTAGCTACTAGGTTTGAAAAGTGGGCCACTGCTTTCTCTGATAGTTTGAACCCCAGTCGTAGCATACAGTTGATGTTTTTTCCATGGTAAGTAGCAAACATGGTAGGTCAGTTGGTTAGTTTTTCATGCAATTTAAAACACATTGAATTGGATTGGATTTGGATTGAATAATTATGTAAATGCTTATTTGAAATATGTATGTTTAATAATTATTCAATAAACAGAAGAGTAATTTATTTCAAAAAGGTTCATGGGTTGTATAATATGTGTTTCAATCTTAAATCGACTTTTCCTTTATATTGGAGATCATATGGTATGCCAATTATATATGTATATATATACCCGTGCTTCCATTTTCACTTCATTTATCCTGCTGCGATTTGATCCAAACAAACTTTTATTATTTTCAGAAGACTCAAAACTTTTAGACTACCAATTTACACTTTAACTTAGTTTCCGGCGTAAATCACAATTAAAGTACCAAGCCACAAAGCCAAAAATTTGTCAAACAAATAATTAAGTGATTACCCACTAGAACGAACAGTTTTTTATTACAAGTAGTTTCAATAAACTCAACTGCTGCGCAATATTAAATAAAAACTTTGGATAATCTAGAAAAAGTGAAATTGGAAACACACCGTATTATGATTTTGCCCCCAATGAGAGATTTTCATTTTTGTATCCAAATGTGGGTTCACTTTGACTTTGCAATGATAAAGTTGTTTTATTATTATTATAAATGATCAATAGACGCCGAGTTCAAATTACTTCCACCCAGCTGATTATGAGCTATCATTAATATGTCCTTCTTTTCTTTTGGAAAGCGTAATTCTCGACCAGCCATGCGAGAAGTCTCTAGCTCCCGTTCCGCCAAAAGCAACTCCCTTCTGATAACGCCAGGGCTCTCATGTTCACGAGCTATCCAATCTAACGACATCTGTGCACGCATTTCGTCATCTAAACTGCGGTTCGAATAGTGCGCCACTACTTCTTGCCTTGAACAATGACGTTCTCGCATGGCCTTTAAAGATCCATTCCAATGCAGCAGTTGGAATACAGTCATCAGTTCTTGGAATTCCAACATGGTTCTTCCCTTATTTGCTTCCAGCATAAACCTAAAATAAAACAGGATATAAGTTAGTTTCATACCTTTAATTACCCTTGAAGAAGTATTTTAATGATACAATTAGAAGTATATATGTATGTATTATATTTATTTATCTTACCTGAACGCTTCAATGCCAGACTCTGTTCCATCATTGCCTTGTTGTGTTGATTTAAAAGAAGCACGTGCATCCTGTACTGCCTTCAAAATAAACTCGTCGCTAATTCGACGCGACGGATGCTCATTAAATACAGAGTTCATTAAAGCAATTTTAGCAGAGCTACGTCTTGCTTCCGCCTTTGTTGGACAGTTCTAAAATGGCAAACGATAGTATACAGTTTGGTTCTTATATCAAAAATTCTATGTGTACCTGAAAGCTACCAAAGCAACTACCCCCTGGCAGTGTTACGAAACATACATAAGGCTGGCTATTGGACGGGATCGATTCGTATATTACAAGTGCGCCGTTTTTAAGGTCCGCTCCTCGCGACTGTTTCATTTGCCAAAATTCTTGAAGTGCTTCCACTACATTTACTAAAACACATGACATTCTTTTATAAAAACAGACATTTTCTTACAAACTTTAAAATTCAAGCGTACCTCTATAATCTCTATCTTCGTAAAATCCAGTTACCGTGGGTAAAACCCAAAAGGGTTCCTCAGGATATACCATTATGAAGATACTTAAGTAAGTATTATATTGAAAAAAGATTAAAAAAGTTGCATTAAATATTATTGAACTAAAAATTAAAAAGAAGACTTGTCTACACAATGAAAAAATAATGATCAATCTAGTGGGATCATACATACATAAATACATAAGTATGTACATCAAAATTTAATTTGTTAAAAATTCATAAATAATAAAACTAAACACTAAACAATTCAAACGAACGTAGTGAGACACGCTCCATGGCGTCTCTATTTTCATACCCTGTACTCAATAAGTATATAAATAGATACATACAAGCATATGTGTATATGTATATACAAATGTACATATGTAATTAGACTTTGCCACCTGTTTTCGTCCGAGACCCCACTGCGCGTCAACAAAATATTTTGCGAAACCAAAATCAACTTATGTATGTACATATGTACATACATTGTACAGTAGTAGGTGTTTGGGCTATACTGTAAGCAGTAAGTTACATGGGTGACATGAAAGAATATTAAACAAAGATCAGCTGGACAATGAGAATATTTTATTTATTTTCAGTAATGTCATGGAAATGTACTGAACGTTTTTTCAGCAGATATGTATGTACACACAGATTTATGTATGTATGTAAATGCATGCAAATGTTGTTTCCATTCATTCTGATATTCGAACTTTCCTTAGAATTTTAACCTTTTGTTTTAAGTAAGGAAAACTATGTAAATACACACATATGTATGGATGTACATATGTATTTGCATCTGTTGATGTTCTGGTCAAAGGCCGAATAATTTGTTGATCTGAGTACTGAATGTGAGGTGTTTGATTGCTTTATTTGATTGACAAATTGTCATATAAACATATGTACTTTCATATGCAATTGAAAACTGTTCTTGCTCAATCCTAATAGTCGTGCCTGATCTCATTGGATTCACTTTATGTACACACACACACACACACAAATACATATATGTACGGCTAGTTTATAATGGACATTTTAGGGGAGTTAAATAAAATTTTCGATTGTGTTGTAGCTCTATTCCAGTATCGCGTTATAAAAAATCAAAAAAATATGTACATATACATACATATGTGTTTAAAATGCACACAGATATTATTTTTTGTTGTGATATAGCCACGTCTTTAAAGATACTTATGTATGGTATCACAATACATACATATATGTATATGCACAAACCTTCACTTGCACATTTTTTCTGGTCGTATGTAAGTTTGTTGCTCAAGTCTTTTGATCAAGACCTTTTGAATTATACATATGTAAATATGTATGTACAATGTCACTAGAATATACCAAAAATGTATATATTTATTTAATTAAGAATTATGTTTGTATGTCCTGTTTTATAAGCAAGAATATTCACTTATCAATGTACATATATGTACATATAGTGCCTGTATGTTTGTTTTTGCACAATAATCTATGGTAAAGATGTAAAAAAAGAATACATTAAAATTCATACATACATATGTAAATAATTAATTATACATTAATATGTATGTATATTTATCACTATTATTTCATTAAAGAGTTAAAATCAAATCACCATCAGGTGAGAATTGAAACATTCAACTAGGTTACAAGTCAAAATTGTAACTGAATTCATGATTGTGGTTCTGCACAGGTTTCATGTTTATTGTGTCTTAGGAAAATGGAGTTCGAAACCATGGTATTCACGTAGGTGCTTAAACGCTGATTTAATTTAGCCGTATACATTAAGGTGTTACGAAGCGTAGCTGTCAAATATTAATTTAAATTGAGCGAGTTAACAAAGCAGCAATAAATGACTCCTTAATCACAAATACTTTGGATTTCTTTCGAAAATTATAATAATTTTCTTAAGCTGTTAAGCGTTTAGCGTTAATAGCTGATTATTGCCAAGAGGGTTCGATGTCACAGTACGATGTATAATATTTTGGTTAGCATTTATTTAATTTTGTATACAAAAAATGTTTTATAAAATCTATTATATTAAAACCATTCTTCTTTTAATATTGTTAACATTTGTCTAATGTTTTTCATTTTCTGATATATGAAAAAAATGTTGAACGAAAGTTCAACCACCAAAAATTGTATATATTGGAATTCCATTTACCTAAAAATCATCTTGACCCAGTTAGTCAAAAATATTTAATAAATATTTATTATAGAACTTCAACATGACGACATCTTTCATGCCTAGTTTTTGCGCGGAAGTACGATACTTTGAACGGTCTTCAGCCTCGTTAAGTCAGGCTCTACGTTTGCCTCATACGGGCCTCCCAAAAGCAGGTGCGCAGGATTGTTTAAGAGGTGAATCAGATAAATACGCTGATGTAGCCGATGTAGCTTATGCAGTAAGTGCCGTCGGGTAATCCGAAGTGCGAGAATGCATACAGATGTACAAGGTGGGTACCTCAGTGGACACGCGGGTATCTCCCAGACGACAAGAACAAGAGCAACGTATGTAACCAGAAGCACTATATCAGATTGGGTTTTGATTAGGCCTACTGTCGCATACCTTTCTAATCAGGAAAACTGCAACCAAGTGAAATTGTTGTTTTTCAAATAGGTATTGCAAATACGTAGTAAAATATTTTTTTTCATGTGTGTTTTTGGGATTAGGCTTTGCTTTATTTATCAGTATGCTTAAGACATCTATATACATATGTTTTTGAACTCCTTTCACTGTGGGGGGTTGCCCCCTAGTGATCTATGTTACTCTTATGTCAGAAAGAAGCAAGAAGTTACAGCGTTTCAAGAATGACAAATAGCGACTCTATTTAAAGGCGTGACTATAGGAGCGCGTCACAACGTTCCTTCTCTTAAAATTAATAAAATGTTTTTAATGTTATGCAAAGTTTCTTAGTCCCTTTTCTCACACTCTGAATACGTCTGCGAATACTATCTACTATATTTCCAGGTCCTCGCTAGGAAGCATGTCCTACTTAGTTTGAATTCGGACCTAAATTTCATCCATTCCTTTTGTGTATGAGTGCTAATATTTGGCTGCGTAACCAAACAAAAATAATACACATTTTGCATTTTTATTGCACGAGTGTAAGAAGATTTAGAGCTTTAAGTTATGAAAGCAATGATGAAAGAATTAGAAAGAGACTATTAATGGCATTCTTGTGATATTATACACTTAGCTGACAATTTATACCACCTGCAATTGAACCGGAGACTGTATTATAAGATCCGTGGGCTTTTCATAACGAATTAATCTATTTTGAAAGATTTTGTGATCTTTGTTGTAATCTGCATCTACTACGAAAACTTCTACTACTTTTTCTATTGTGTAATGTTCATTTTTTTCGGTGTCAATCAGTAATAGGTTGCAAATTTTAATAAGGCCTAACTTCGATGGGGAAACCGATAGTGGAAACTCTGCATTTTCTCCAGCGTTCACTTTATCCAGCATGAAATCAGCACACCCTGTATATTGACACTCCGGAGATAACTTAGTATCTAGTCGAACGTGCAATTTCATTGTCTGCTCGGATGTATTTGTCACTCGACAGTTAAAGGTAAATATTGTTCCAATTTTTACTGTATTTGTAGCATTTAGGATTTCTAACCGTAGATCCTTACATTCGTAGGGCTGTAAAAAACATTGTATATTTAAATATCAAAATTTTAAATCAAAATGCTAGTTGAAGACCTTACCAAACGCTGCAATTGACTGGTTTGCAATCGTCCTTTCTCACCGAGATTTGACCGCCAAACGATGTCAAGTTTGCCTACATTGCTCAACTGTCGAAGAACATGTGTGTCTGTAGCTATATGTGGTTTTGGCTGTGGGAAATATTAATATATTGTTTCATTTGTTAGATTCTTACTTATTACTTACTTTAATGCAATAAAGAAACTGACAACTGTTGTTAGGTTGTAACATGTTCTTAGTATTAAAAACAGACTCTCCATTAGGCAATGTATTTAATGGTGTTACTATATAATCTTCCGAGCTATCCAATTCCACTTTCTCGAGACAGAACGGACTGGTGGTAACATTTTGTATTTGAGCCTCTAAATATATTTCTTCAATTTCGGCATTATAAAATTTCGTTTTTACGTCAAGTGGTTTTAAGACTTGAAACTTGAAAAACTTTCTTAAGGATTGAGCGTATCCTGCTGGACTCATATAATTGACCTCGCAAACAAGTCTGAAATAGTGAATTTGACATTAATTTTAAAACATTGTACTCAGTAAGTATTTACGTACATATGTGTTCCAATCTCTTTTACTTCATATCGTATAACATCATCAATAGTGCCCCCAGGTTCCAAAGTTATTGGAGACTTGCTATTTTCATGCAAGGATAAATTTATACGCGTAGTGTTTGACTGCAGGTCCGTTTTAACGTTAATACATTCAACAGATTGGGAAGAACAGTTGTGAACACAAATATAACTAGAGAATGTTTCACCAAGATATATGTTTCCAAATGACTGTGGTAACAACAACACTTGACCTGCCGACAGTGTTTCAGAAATGCTTCCAGAAAATACATCACCATAATGTTTAGAAGAAAAGCGTTGAACCAAGTCTTTATGTTCACAACTTACAACTGGCCCAAGTTCAACTAAAGTCGGTCGCATTAACCGCATAACTGTAATACATATTAAATCAAAAAGGTTTATTAAAGATACATCCCAATAATTTTATTTAATGCACTTATTGTAATTATTACCTTTTAAAGCCAATAAATGTGCATCGGGTTCTACTGTGTCCATTTTGTACAGAATTATAATGTGTGGAATAAGAAGGTTGTGTTATTATGATTAAAACAAAAACGATGTCAACAACATTGAATTCACACATTCGTGTTATGGCTGCTTACACTGGCATTAGTTACTTATCGATAGTTAAGGCAAGTCAATAAAGCGAAGTACCTAGATTAATAAAAACAGATGCTAGCAAAGTGTGCAATTTAGTTTTCTAGAGGTTGAGTGAACTCCATTCCGTACGGTTACACGTAAGTGAATTTTAATGGATGTAGGCCTGAAATTACGTATAGTGTGATATTGCCGTCGATAAATTCACCTAGCCGGTTAATAGATTTACCTTTATTGGAATATAATTTAACAATGCTTACGGTTTGTTTGCTAGGTACCCTGGCAGAATATAAAAATAATTTTTTTTTTTCGAGATGATAGCAAACTAGCATGGAATACTAAAAAATACCATCGGCTGCTTTTCTATAAAGTAAATAGTAGATATAAGTAAAATATAAAATATAATATTTCTAAAATAATATATGAACTGGCACATCTATATACTGCATGGTTAGTGTCTGAGTACTACAATATACGAAATGTAAAAGTATCGATCAATATCATAGTTGTGAACTATCCAATGGTAAATCGATCTTCACCAACCTTTCGAACATACATATGTACATATATGTATATGTACGTACCACCCACATACAAATATTTATGAATGGTGTCGAAATCAGTCCAAAACCCCTATTGCATTCATTTATTATTAATGCTTTAAAATTAAAAAATTAGTCTAACGCTGGTATGTAAAGGAGCTTTATAAATTTGAATTTATTTGTTCGCATCTGTAGTACATTTTACAGTAATCATAACATATTCCGCACTCAGGTATATGTACATATATACATACACATGTACATATACACAGTCTTTCTTGAAATCACTCAGCATTTGAAGTTTGAAAAGTTGTTATACACTTATATTAATATAAATTAAGTTAATAACTTAAAAGTGCAATGCAGAAAAACAAGAAACCGCATGCGCAGCACCGTTATGATGGAAGAGACGGATATTGTGATGCGTGTTACTTAGTAAATGTTCGTCGATCAAACAGCTGTCTTGTTTTGCGAGCATTTCATTCTTGGTTTATATGCAACAAGTACATAGAGCATTTACATTTGCTTCGTTCCCTCGCATTCGATACGAGTCTGATTTTAAATATTACGCTCTTCAGAACGTATTTTTTGGAACGGCACGGTCCCAGATTCAAACGCTTTAAGTCCATACAAAAATGTTCGGTGTAGTATAGCGGGTCTGGTTCTATTTATTTTAATTAATTTTTTAATGCACCTAATTGATAAACAAACATTTTATGGTTAATTCTAGCAATGATTTCCGAAGAAGACCCCATTAAGAAGGATAGTTCTGTACGGGTGGCTGTAAGGTGAGCTTAAACATGTAACATTAACTCTGTGAAAGTAACACTAAAATAGTTTTTGTGGACAATTTGTAATTGCATTTTGGTATTTCAGAATTCGACCTCAAAATTCAAGAGAGCTCATGGATATGTGCCGTATATGTACATCAGTCACTATTGGAGAGCCTCAAATTCTTCTTGGATCCGACAAAGCTTTCACTTTTGACTTTGTATATGATTGTTCTTCAAAACAGGTAGTTCGGTTATAGTTAAACAAACTTTAGTCAAACAATTTACAAATTCAATCCTTTTCCTCAGGATCAAATATATGATGAAACCGTGAGGGCATTGGTTGAGAGTACGCTACAAGGATATAATGCTACAGTACTTGCATACGGCCAAACGGGATCAGGGAAAACATACACAATGGGAACTGGATTTGAGCGCGAATCTGATGACGTTAAACTTGGTATTGTACCTAGAGCGATTCAACACATATTTGCTGGTATCGAAGATTTTGCAACTACTGCCAGTGAAATGTCGCCTGCCAATGGAAATCCACAGTTCAGCCTTGCTGTTCAATACATTGAGTTGTATAATGAGGATATCTTCGATCTCTTAGACCCATTTAATAAAAACACGAGTTTTAAAATTCATGAAGCAGCCAATGGACAAATCGAAATAACTGGCGCATCTATAAAGCCAATTAGCCATCCTCAAGATGCATTAAAGTAAGTACCAGCTCAACTTATATCCAGGTGTAAAAGTGGTGACTCGTGGGAGCAAGACTCAGAACGTTCCTTCTCGTTTAAATATTAAACTTGTCTTTAAATGTTCGTTACAGATTTCTTCAGCAAGGTGCTTTAGCTCGAACTACTGCATCAACGAAAATGAACGACCAGTCTTCACGATCGCATGCATTGTTTACAATATTTGTGCGCAGGCAGCGTTTACTTACGCCTACAAACGATGCGTTGGATAACGACCTAGAAACATTGACTTCGAAGTTTCATTTTGTCGATTTGGCTGGTTCTGAACGCCTTAAACGGACTTTGGCTACGGGAGAACGTGCACGTGAAGGCATCTCTATCAATTGTGGACTTTTATCTTTAGGAAATTGTATTTCAGCGCTTGGTGATAAATCCAAAAGAGCGTTACATGTGCCTTATCGCGACTCCAAGCTAACACGACTACTACAGGATTCTTTAGGTGGTAACAGTCGGACTTTAATGATTGCATGCGTATCGCCAAGCGACCGAGACTTTATGGAAACATTAAATACATTAAAGTATGCAAACCGAGCGAGAAATATTAGGAACAAAGTGCAAATCAACAAAGATCAAAGTTCTCGAACTATTTCACAGTTGAGAAGAGATGTTTCAGCTTTACAATTGGAATTACTAGAATATAAACAGGTACTTTTTAAGCAAATTCTGAACCAATTTGTCTCAAACACTCTGATGGATTTTTCCCATAACGTTTTATTATCCAGCCTAATTTGATTGAAAACGAATTTTTCTATTCTTTTTAGGGTAAAATAGTAGTAGACTGCGAAGGAAATGCCACACGCTCGGACACGTTTAATGAAAATATTCTGCTCTTATCAGAAAACAAACGATTGAAGCAACGCCTTAATTCGATGCAAGAGACAATTAACACATTAACTGATCGAAATGCGCATCTGAAACTAGAAAAAGATCTAAATAAATGGTCATATGATCCAAATTTAGATTTAGATAAAAATAATGTTGTTGAATATTACATTAAAGAAATCGAAAAACTAAAAGCTAAATTAATAGAATCTAAAGAAATGCAAAATCAACTGAAAATTTATATTGGAAAATGGCAGCCACCACTTAAAAATGTTTATAACGGTAAGCATAACTAAATTCCGAGTTTAGATAATTGTATTTTTACTTCAATCATATCCAATCATATCCAGCAGATCAAGGAAATATTATAAACTTGGCAAAAAAAGGCTTGGAAAGGGACAAAGAGTTATTGATGTCGCGTTCCTTGCCAGGGATACAAAACCAAAATGACAGATTGGAAGAATCTGATACTTCCAGTAGCGATTCGGAAGGTAATTTTCGTATATTCGTATGAAATATCTTTGTACTTAACATTTGCATTATAGAAGAAGGAGCAGTGGCAGACTTGAATGACATTAACTCAGACATTGAAATTAAAAGTAAATTAATTGAGCAACTCGAGCTGTCACAGGAAAGAATGGAACTTATGCGTCGGCACTATGAAGAAAAACTTACTGTGCTAAATTGTAAAATTTTGAACACCCAAAAAGAACGAGATGAGTTCTTGACAAATATGGGTAGGTGGTAATGCGTTTAAATATAAAAAATACACATTTAATAAAACTGGCTATGTTTCAGTTTCATCCACATCAGTATCATCACAATCAAAAGATAGTTTAAAAAAAATGAAAACAGATTATGAACGCAAGATCACAAATATGCAAAGTGAACTCAAACGATTACAACACGCCCAGACAGAACACATTCGACAGCACAGAGAACTTAAATCACAAGGAGCAAGAATAAATACCTTACGAATTGAACTGGAACAATTGAAGTTCACTAAAGTAAGACAGTTTTATTCTTCTGATGTTTATCGAAACTAAGTAGCGTTTTCATATTTGCAGGTTAAATTGATGAAATCAATTTCAGAACAATCTAGTCGACATAAAGAAGAGGATAGTAAAAAATCAAAAACAATTTCGAAATTACAAGATGATCAGCGTCGACAAAAAAATGCATTATTATCTTTAAAAGAAAAAATTAATGCCAAAGATCAAATGTTAAAGCGAAAAACAGAAGAGGTAATTGCCCTGCGTAAAAGTCAAAGAGGCCGATTAAGCCAAAGAGGGGCTTTCAATTTAGTATCGAAAGTCGGAAAATCCACTCGATCCACCCATCAGCAATGGGAAAAGTTGTATGGCTTCATTTTACACGCCTCAAGAACAAGGCAACTAATCACACAATTGGAAAAAGAATTGCAACGCTTAATATTGGAACGGGAAGATCTTTGTCGTGAGCTGAAAATAATGCAAAATGACCAAAACGTGGATAAGACATCTGAAGACTTCAATGAACAAGACAGCTTAAAGACCAACATTAGGTATCTACAAGAAACCATAGAACATGTACAGCAAGCCATAATGGAATTTGAAGACAGTAAAGACACTTCTCAGAGTGGCATATATAAGATACAGAATTTTTTGGACAATATTAGAACCGTTGAAGAAGCTAAATATATTCTTCAAAAGCTTTCCGACAGTGCAATTATACTGACATGTAATTTGGCCATAGCGGAGACCCATTTGCAGGAAACTGAATCTCTCCTACAAGAAGCTCAACAAGAGAACAGCATACAGCATCAGATATTACAACATTTTCTGTCGCAAAACAGTAATATGCATATATCTGATGTCTTTGTTTCTTTAAATCTCAAAAGCAATATAAATACATTGAGTCACAGTTCTCAAAAGTCTTTAATAAGTTCTGGAACATATGATGTACCAAAAGAGGATATATTTGGAGACTCTAAACATAAAGACACAACAGAAATAAGTAATAGAACCCCATCACCTTCTGGAATCGACACGTAAGAATATAAACTTATATAATCTTTGGTTAATATTGTTAAAAATAATACTTTTGTTTTATTATTTTACTGGTAGCTTACCGGATATTTCTTCCAAAATTCGACGCCGCACTGCTCAAAAACAAGATCTCCTTTTTGGGGACAATACAATTCCTCTAAAGGTAAAATGCCCTTAATTTATATTATGTACTCAAACTATACTCTTCTTTATCGTACAGACTGACAGAATGTCACGTTCTTACACACAAAATGATGTCATCTGTGATAATCCGCTAATGCGAGTTTCAAGTACTCCAGGATCTTTATAGATATAACACGTACAAGATAAGTGCCTTAAATAATTCATAATAATTGTATGCAACATAATGTAACCTTTTTAAAATGTGGAATTAAATAGCTTATTTGCTTTTTTAGTTTTATCTTTGACTTGCCGTCTAAGTAAGCTTTAAAATAAAAAAAAATGTATAACATATTCGTAGTGGTGTTTATTTGTGACTGAATATGAAGAGCTAAGAAAATGTCCGTCGCAGGCACATGACATCGACCACAAATCTAATATAACCCTTTATTCTTCGAGTACCAGGCATAGAAAAAAGGCATAAGAACTAGAATCTATACTTATATGTATTTCAATTCCAAAAATTAAAATGCTTAGCGTCATATTTATTTCATAATTCAAGCAAGAAGCTTTTTGATATCGTCGGTCTCTGCGGCTTCAATATAACTTTTTCCATCTGGAGTGGTATCGCTTTTGTTTGCTCCCTGTTAGACAAAAAACAAAGGTAATTAGTTTCAATTTTGTCGAACAAAAATTGACAGATCTTTATTATTAATCCAAACCTTATCCAAGAGAAACTTGACGCAGCTTGTATGTCCTTCCCAAATAGCAGCAAGAAGCGGTGTAATGCCATGTTTATCCTTTTTCTATGTTAAAGTATATAATAATTGCAGTAAATAAAAAAGATTACAAGAAAGGGATCCTAGCTAGAACTAGTTTTTACTATTTTAGAACATGTTTGTGGTCTTTGGTAAGTCGGAGAGGGGTGAAAGTCGTACGTAGACTTTTGCCGGTTAATGTATACAATGAGTGTGTGCATATGCACATATGTACATACAAACATGTTTTTTAGGAAATGATAGAAGAAAACTTACGTTAACATCCGCTCCTTTAAGAATCAAGAACTCGAGAACCTTTAACTGGCCAAAATCGGCAGCATAATGAAGTGGGTACCTTCCTTTAATCTCCTCATTTACTTTCAGAATCTGTAAGTAAAATGGATACAATTAAATTAAGTTTTAATGCTTGTCTACGAACACACATCGTTTTTGAAGGCATCTTGCACAGCATCGAATTCTCCGTTTTTAATAGTCCAAATAACTTTTTCACTCATTTTTATTAATCATACGAATGTTTTTTTATGTTGAGAAGACAAAAGCTTGCGATATTTTACTACAAATGTTTTTAAATATCGATCAATGTATAAACTTTACAGTTATCGATATTAAAGTGATATACGACTGTAGAAGGCCTGTCTCCAGCATCGCGATAAATTTTATATAACCAGCCATGCATTTCCTATTTATTTTGTTTGTGCGTGGAACGTATCTAGCACAGGCATACGAATCAGCTGCGTTTTGTAAACATGTATACTGAAGTGGCACTTTGAAATTTAAATTGAGAATAAAAAAGTAAAAAGAGGGTAGTTGAATTAAGAATGCATTTGGGATTTTCCAATAATTCATACGGTTCGCCAAATGTCCATTATTGTCCGGGGTTTTCATCATTCATCATTTTTAAACCTTCCCTTTACGTTTTTTAACTGCAAGTAAGGCCCTTTTCACAATTTACACTGTTTACAAAAATAAACAGCTGATTCGTCAGCCTGTTTTAGTTAAGTTTCACGCTCTGACGAAATATATAGCAAATTCCTGTCAGGAATTGTTCACGGTGCTGGAGACAAGCCTATACTAGACAAACGAAAAGGCAAACGAAAAATTCCTGGAGCAGTTTTCTTACGTTTCTATACGATTGTGGGGCATTGAAGTTTACAGGATAAACGCCTGCCCTAATGGAAATATTCAAATTCAAGACACCGTCTCAACTCTGTTTCACTTGAGATTCTCTAAAACATGCCCGTCGAACAAAAAACTGGTTTGACGAACACAAAAAAAAGTAAGTTGCTCTGTCTAGTGTAATCAAACAGTTCTTCATCAACAATTTGTACTGTCACGCTTCAAGCAACTGATAAAGTGAATGAACATTAAATCGAAGCTAAAACCAGAAATTGTATATATTAACATATATATATCGGCGAAATATATCGCCTTAGCAAAGTACGCCAGATCAGTCTAAATTTTCAGTGTTCTATTTCACCCGTCTCTAAATTTATTAGAAATGTTTATGCTGACCCTCACAAAACAGCTGTTTAGCCATTCAGGTTGATTATCATCATACCATACCATACCATCAAAATGCTTAAAACCGCTGTCAGCCGCTTGTTACAAAATAATGCAGTAAGTTTAAATAAAGGTTATAAAAATGCAAGAACATTCGTAACATTCTCTTGTTTTAATAGGTAAAATGTGTTGCCAGAACAAATTCTGTTCGGAGTATCAACCTTATTCCCATGGTGGTTGAACAGACTGGCAGAGGAGAACGGGCCTATGATATATTTTCACGACTGCTAAAGGAACGAATTATTTGCCTAATGGGCAACATAACCGATGACATTAGCTCTACCGTGGTTGCTCAATTGTTATTCTTACAATCTGAGAATGTTAACAAGCCAATTCACTTATATATCAATTCTCCCGGTGGCGTTGTTACTGCTGGTCTAGCCATTTACGACACAATGCAGTATGTCAAGCCGCCTATAGCAACTTGGTGCGTTGGTCAAGCATGCTCAATGGGTTCACTTTTATTGGCGGCAGGAGCACCGGGCATGCGGTATTCATTACCTAATGCCAGAATTATGATACATCAACCATCTGGCGGCGCACAAGTATGTTTACAAAAAACAATTTTTCCTTATGCAACCATTTTTGAAAAATTGATTTACTCCAGGGTCAAGCCACTGATATTTTAATACATGCAGAGGAAATAATCAAAATTAAACGCCAACTCACTAGCATATATGTCAAGCATGCTAAGAACTCGTATGAAGAAATGTGCCAACGAATGGAGCGAGATCATTTCATGACCCCCGATGAAGCCAAGGTACTGGGCATTATTGATCACGTGCTTGAACATCCACCAGAAACTGTTTCAGACAGTGGCCCGACATCTGATGGTGGTATAGTTGCTGGCAAATCTGTTTCTGATGAACCCCAGAGGAAAACCAAGTCAAACTAGGTAGCATAAGACGTCTTCAATTGTGCAAACCAAAATTCAAGCTTTATCTTTCAAATTGAAGAGCAGATCATAAGAAAACTATTTTTTCAATAATTTTGTCAGTTAAAAAATAAATATATACAATATATATATATTTATTTCAAATTGTCTATTCAGACAACTGCATTTTTTCTCTTTAGAAAGCCTATCAGAAAAGATAGTTATTTGTGCATACGAAAATGTTTTTAGACAGATTAAGAAATTATAAATCTATGCTTGACTTTTATTAATCCATTTGATCCATTAAAATTATTTCCGAGCTCAGGGCCTTTAACTTTGATCCATTAAAATAATCTCGGAGCCCCCAGTGACAGAATCCTTCTGAATATACTCGAAAATTTTAGACAGTTCCGGAGTTTCCTTAATTGATTTTAGAAAATCAATTAAATGCTGATTTTTTTCTAATTGAAAACAAATTTGGGTTATTTCTTACGACCAGGTATGAACGATTTTGCGACGACTTACTTGCTTTGGGTATTTGAGAGAGTGCAGACACGGCGCGAAGTGCGGAGCGCTTCAATTCATCTTGCTTTTCGTATTCCTGTTTCACAGAATTGGCTTTCACCTTATGTGTACATGTATCACGCAGTTGTTGAATAAATTGATCAAGTCCTAGAATGGGAAGAATCAATTAGAATGGGTATAACCATATTTTAAAAATAGACTTTACTTAGCAAAACCTTATCCGGACACAAGACGGCTAAACGAGCTGTCATTAGGTATGTCAACATCTTAATATCGTAGTGGTCGCAAAGACCGGCTTGCACGTGATCTAAAAATTGCATTACATCAACACGATCTAAGCCTTGCTCCAGCAGGGTGTACATGCACTCAAAAGCAGCTTTACGTATATCAAGACCATCGTCAACTGTGTGTTTAAACGGTCCCATTTCCACCTCTCGTATAAGTTCACTTTTAACTTTTGTTTCAGAATAGAGCCATGGCAAAAGGGTTGGCAGCAAGTCACGCACCAGACTGGGTTTGTTGTGCACAGCAGAGTTGAAAGCAACAAGAGCAACTCGACGAACTTGTGGCTCTGGGTCACGCAGCGCAAACAGGAATTCTCCAATGCTCTGCTTGAGAAGAACATCTATTGGCTGTGGCTGATCGGAAATGGTGAACTTAATTGAAGAGACAACAACAGTACGCATAGTAGCACTCTCCGAACGCAAAGCTTGCTGTAATTGCGGCAGTAATTCCTCAGGGTTAACCAGCACAAGCTTACCAAGGCATTCCGCCACCACATTGCGTGAACCTTCTTCTGAACACTCACAATGCTTGAAGAGCTGTGTCCATATGGATGGTACTGATGGTAACAATTGTGCGAGTCCACTAGGAGTTACCGAAAGAGAAGATATTACTTCTTTTAAGGAATGAAGAAGTAAATACTGCCGCTTAGGCTGTACTTCAATCTCTTTTAGAATGAGCGGTAAGTATGTTTGCAAACTTCCAACAGACACCGCTCCAAGCGCATGTGACGCTGCTGCTTTCACGTCCTCGGAGGTTGCACCAAAGCATTCGATTATAGTTTGTGGGAGCACTTGTATGGAGCTCAGATCAAAGTGGCGACCTATTTCCCCAATTGTCAATAAACAAAATATGACTTCTGTATCGTTACGTTTCTGTAGGTCTGTTATCAGTTTTGTGGCCAATGGTGTCGCTACTTGCGAACATTGTTGAGTTAGAGCAGCAATGCACTTGGCTGATGAATGATATGCTTGTTTATGAAGTTGTAATTGTTCACTTGGGGACGTGGTTGAACTTCTAGACGACATGTCACCACCGATCAAGACTGGTGCCATTAGTTTTGACACTAGCGAGTGATAGTCCAAACCAGGCAACTGCGTTTGAACCAAAGCTTGAAACAACTCCAACGTGCAATTTAATGCAGCTCCCTATAAAGATATTGTTATATTAGCTGTAAGCTTAAATAAAAATGCTTTTACATACCTGCAACAAGGGTGAACGCACTAGGATAAGTACTGATGGTAAAAACTGTTCGTGAATACCAACTAATGCTTGCGGCTGCCTTTGGGCTACAGTACTCAGGAGGGTTAAGGAATACTGAGCTACGTGTAGATCTGTATCAGATATGAGTGGTGGAATTTCTACTATAGCTGTCTGCAAAAGATTTGGTTCAAAGTTGCTTGAATAGTTGATAACAATTTTGTTAATCAGATCCAAAGAGTGGAGCTTCAGGGCACGATGATTCTTGCGCAAGAATGTACCTAAAGTCGGTAGTACATCATGCAATATCGGCGTGAGATCTATACGTAACGTAGATGCTGCAATCATAGTCAGCGCTTTGACACTGCTCAGACGGGTCACTTCGTTCTTGAGGCGTTCCATAAAGATTGGTAGGCAAACGCTCAGTTCGGGTTTTAGCATATCTCCCATATTAGCAATAATTTGTCCCATGCATGCTATGGCTCTTTCCTTCACCTCTTGATCTACATCTGTTACTTTTAACTTTTGCAAAGTGCAAGAATACACTGGACCAACGAAGGATGACGCATCGAAGCCAGATTTGGAATCATTTGTATCCAATGGTCGAATTACTTTAACAAGTTGCTGCAGCACCATTAATGCTTCTGTGGCAATTTTGTAAAATGGATCGAAAACTGAAGTCACTACTAGAGGAACTAATGACGGTATGTGTGGATGAAACACATTCGGTGGATGACCTTGAAGTAGAGAGTAAAGAAATCCTAGCGACTCAATTTTCATGTTACTTGTCGAGCTCTTATCATTTAACGAATAACTTATGCCAGGCACAACGCTATCCAAATGGGGACCCAATGCTCCTGGTAGTGAATTTAGCAGCTCTCGCAGCAGCAAGAAGCAATCTTGACGCGTTTTCATTGATTTTTCTCGCATTAACGGTTGCACCGCTTTGACGATTAGTGGCAGCTGTTCCATCAATAATGAAGTTGGGCCCGATATTTGATCCATTGAGTCAGGGTCTGGAGTCACATCATCGGTCAGGCGGGTGCTCTTAAGCAGTGCGACGTATGCGTGAAAAATATCAGACTTTACATTTTCCTCTCTTTCTTTAAAACGAGCTATTAAAGCTGGGCTTAAGGTACGATAAAAATCTTCAATAAGTTCTTGTCGAGTTGCAATTAAAACTTCCAGACACTTGGCTGCTGCACGTCGAACCTTCCAGCTCATGTCGTCATCGTCACTATATTCCTCGCTGTCAACGTATTCATCATCTTCGGTATCCATTGCAAATCCAGTGTCACCATCATCGGTCTCATAGTTGTAGTTTGGGTCATATGTAACATATTTAAGACAAAGCGCAAGAATCTTTTAACAAAGAACTCGAATGAATACATAATAAATCTACAAAACTGATAGATTACATACCATCGATATATGTGGATGTATGGCATCGGGACAACGCATAACAAATGCTTCACAGGCCTGTAGGCAAAACTCACGTAATTCATCGTCATCCTGCTCGCTATATTGCTCCAGAACACGCATTGAGCGTTTAATAGTGTGATTACAAAGACGATGTCCAGCCTGTCGGCTACCTCGATACACAAACGTTATCAAGTTAGTGATAATAGTGATAACTATCTGATCTTACCATATTGAAGCTAAACACTGAATGTATGTTCGAATTGTAGCAGGGTTTGGTGGTTTTTCGAGTCCATCGAGAAGATGATCAATGACGCCATTGTAGGCATTGGAATTGGCTTGAATTAAAAGGAATGAGAGTGCTACGATGGTACGCTTTCGTACAGCTTGACGGGATGAAGCCAATTGTGGTATCAGTGATTTTAATATGGTGCTATGGAAGGGAATTAAAAACTCTCCAAAACGAGAAAGTAGATCTGCCAGAATGTCAAGAGACTCTAATTTTACGGAAACATCTTCCTGAAAAATTAAAAAATTACAAATTAATTACGTGTAAATTATTTGAAAAGTGAATAAAATACCAACCTTTTCAATTGCCGTACTTAGTTTGCCTGTTATGCGCTGGCAAACATTTGGGGCAAGAGAGTTCGAAGACTGAGGCAGTTCGGCAATTACCGTTTTTAATCCAATACTCGAAATATCCCGTAGCTGTTCTGTGTTTGACATCATATTGGCACAGAGGGAATCAACAATTGTCTCTACTTGGTTTTCTTTTACCTTGTTGACTAAGGGGCCAAGACACTTGACAGCCAGATTCTGCACTTCGCCGTTTTTGTCCTCCAACAATTTCAAGACCATTCGCACAACTTTTTTTTCCGAGTCATCATCAAGAATAATACTATCCTTTTGTAATTCCATCATTAGATCGTTGGTTGCCATAAACCGAAAATCTTTATCGGTTGAGGTCATCTGCATGTGTAAAATTCAATTATATATGTATTTCATTCATTGCGAAAATAAAAATCTGTACGTACTTTTTCCAGCAAATTTGCAATTTGGTGGTATTGATGGGACGACATGATGTAGTCTTTGCAAGTATTTATCAAGCGTTTATATTATAAATAAGTTATAGTGAGGTAATTGGAAATAAACTCCACTAACTTTATTTTACTGGAAAATTGTATACTAAAATGTTCCGGCAGAAAATTCGAAGCATACCAAAAGCATTTTGGTTATCGATGTATGAATTATACTCGTGCACGAGTTATGTTATCAATGAGAATATCGCCATAAAGGTTGTAGATTTGGAACACTGGAATAGAAACGGAATCAAATGCAATTTTATAGCTGAAGGATAAGGATATATCCAATTATATATATATTCAGTTAAATACGAAAAACTGGGACTATCCCCTGCACACATTTTAATTTCGATAGCTAACAAAAACGCCATAGAGAAATAGATGGTGTAACTTCAAAGAAGATTTTAGATCTGTCCAGTTGTTAGCAAAAGATGTGGCTAACCCAATTTAGCTTCTTTCTTGTTCCATATTTTATTGTTCCGAACGGTTGCGCACCCTACGGCGCCTACTTGACTCAAATATTCGATCAAGTTTTTAATGTGACTTCCATCACTACAATATAAATATGCCCGCTATATTTGTTTGAATTCATTATATTGTATTGTATTTGCATTTGTTCAGCATAAAATTATTGCAAAATGGAACCGACTTGTTTGGCCAAAGAAAATTCAGGTATGTTTCATTAAAACCCAATATATGTATTCACTTTTGTATATTTTGACCTCTCATATATTTATTTATATTTAGTGCCATCTATGTCCATAAAAAAGAATTTGTTGTCTATTAACAATAGTACCATAAAAAAAAATGCCAGAAAAGTAGTACTAGGAAATTTGGATAATGTTCTACATCAAAACCAAACTCCATTTAAATTCGACTCCCAGAATATATCATGCCCTAAGAGCGTTGCAAAATTACCACTTCAGAATCTCCATAGACATCTTAATGAACGCGGAGAAGACAATCTGAAAATTATACCTAGTTACTTGGGACTCTACTCTTTGGCTAATGAAGTGTGCTCCCAGAATGCCTATGAAAATATATTTGATTATATGGACTTTTCAAATACGAAGTGTTTGAATAACTGCTGGAGATGTAAGTCACTTAAAAATATTATATTTATACATAGGTGCTCGTAGATCTGCCCATCAAAAATATCTTGCTGCCAAGATAAGAGCAGAGCAAATTCAATTTGTTCATTTGTTACGTTATGTTCTCTTAATCACAGAAGTGAATCAAAAACCAGTAGCGAGAGCAAACCCAAAAACTACGGAGAAGCGTAGCATTTAAAAACCATTCTTAAAATAATTTCGTAGAAATTGCTTGATATATAAATATTTTTTATATGTCTGCATCTAAACCATTCATTTTTAAATTGAATGAATTTCATTCATTCATTTTTAATTTTAGCGATTCCAGAAATATGGTTGGATAATCTATCTGGTAAAGATACCTTTACTGAACAATTTTTAAACAATCTAGACGGCTTGGTAGAACATTTTGAAAATGATTACTTTATCTCAGTTTGCAATGTTTTGTGTGAAAACGATGAGAGAGACGCCTGCTCCCAAGAAGATACTGATAACACTGGCACTGAACACTGCGAGTATAAATTGGATTTACAAATGCCAATGCCAAATTTAGATGATATGGATATACTATTTTAGAAATGATAAAATAATGCACTCTGACGTTTTGTCGACGTTTTATCAGCTCCTTATTAAATTACTTTAATTATGTTTTAAATTAATATTTTGTTGTTTTTGCTGTTCGCAGTGCACAAGTTGAAATCGCCAACAGTATTTCAATAATATATTAAAAGCTTAAATACCATAAAATTAAATTATATTTATACATAATTAAATACAATTTTTAATTACGTTTAGTTATGTTTAGTTCGATAATTGTGATTTGTGAAACTGTCAATATATGTATAAAAAATATTGTAATTTATCCCAGATTTTAAATAATCTTCTTGATATTTGTAAGCGAGTGTACAAGTTAGCCAGTGAAAACCTGCGGTTGTCTGAAAAAAACTGAGGCCGTAGTTTCGGTGTTCAGCGGCTGAGTTCTCATGCACAAGTTTCCTGGCCAGCAACTGTTTGATGTAACGGGTCCGCTGAGTAATATGATCCCACGCACCCGGCGCGGATGCAGCGCAGACGGGGCACTTATGTTGGGTGCCGTCTATAATCATGTCATTTGATTGCCCGCTTTGCTAAACACGCTTGACGGATGTGATCTGATACCAAACGCTCAAGATGTGAGTCAAACGTGTCTGAAATGAACAGCAAGTCATCAAGGTAGACGAAAGATTTTTAAAAGGCATTACGGGAACAATTTTTAGTAAATACCTGAAATATTTTTTACATTGTTTAGTAGCTTAGAAAATGCTAACTTTAGCTTACTTATACAATTTAACTAATGTTAGATCTGCACAAAAATAAAATAATATGAACTTTCTATTTTGTTAATTGTGTAATTTGTAGTTTTATACAATTGCATATGCAGCGTAATTCGCAATTCCACATAAGTTTGAGCCTTTCTTCAATCTCATGTATCCAGATTCGCCCCAACGGGCACCCCACCAATTTTTTAATATCCAATAATCCTTTCCGTATCCCATTACCAACATTGCGTGATTTACAGATGTGGATAAGCATGAAACATCGTCATAAATACCGTCGCTAAAAAAAAAACAATTTGGATTGGATTTAATTATAAAAGTATGAGGAAACTTACCTGTATAATTGAAATGTTTTTGGAGTAGCATTTATTGACACGGCAACAGGACCGATATGTGCAACAGCAGCTTGAATTGCCTGTTCATCATTGACTGGTAGTATGGCCCAAGAAGTAACATTAACGACGGAAAGGTCGCCTACAAACTGGCATTTCCCTTTCTGTAAATTAAAAATATAGCAATTAAAACTATACATACAGGGGTGGCACAGAAATCGCGAACGGAATGGGAGTCAGCGGAAAGCAGCTCCGTCTACAAATTTCAGAGATGCTTCTGAATTCCGAGCGATTTAATTTCTTAGCTTTTTCCTTCCATCTTTCATTACCTTCGAAGCGTATTTGTAATCATCCGATCTCATTATGCCGCCTGTGCTCTGTAAGTATTTTAAAGTGTTTCGTAAGGATCCACCAATGCATCCTTGATTTCCATGAGACACACTACAATCAACAATTTGTTGCACGCTTAAGGTTAATATTTTTCCAGTTCGCTTAAAAACCTGTCCTTCAATGCTTTCAGCAATACTAAAAGCGTAGCATGAGCCACAGCTTTGTTGATTCTGTGATGGGGTTGTGAACCCTTTCCTCCGCCAATCCAAACTTTCGGGTACGTTACTCATTTGTGCCGATCCAACTATATCAGCGATGTTATCGTCCGCTGCATTTGATTGACTTTTTAATAAGCGTAGAAAATTTCTTAAATAACCGTCAGTACTCTAAGGGAAAAATACATATGAAAGGTTACCACGAAATTGCATATGTATATAGTAAATATAGTTATACGGGGGTGTCACAAAAAACTGTACAGCTGTGACTCAAGAGGTTTAGAAAGTTTCGTTTTCAAGCATCACTACATATGTATACTACGGAGTTATTATTTTCAAACAAGAAAATATATATTTTCTTTTTATGAACGAGATAAACGAATTTTAGTGTTTACATATTTTACATGTTTATACCTACCATATCAGCCATAACATTTGTTGCCAACCTGAAGCTAGTCTGACCGTCCTGATAATTTTTGTTATGATCTTTTATTATTTTGAAGTTTGTCTGAAATGCTTTGAAACTACGCATTTCATCAAAACCATGAACGTATTTCTTGTTATTTATCTTCTGTAAAATATATTTAAGCATTCATTTCTGTTTGCAAATTCGGGCAAGGTCGCTCCTACCTTAAATTCTTCGAATTCATTTTTAATGTCTAGACTAGAATCATTTTCCATGTTAGAGGCATTAAGATTTGATAAAACACAGAAACTATAAAATATTAGAAGTTTCAACATATTTGTAACTTCTACACAATTTAAAAATAAATAGTTTAACTTTAGAGAAAAAAACTGCGCCCAGTAAATTTATTAGATATTTAAGCTTGATACATTAATAACTGTGAACGAAATAAGATATCTTGATGAAAAAAAAGTAGTCTGCCCGAGTAAATTGTAATACAGTGTCTCGAAGCGTTACAATAAAGTGTAAAGCTTTAACTTTGTTTGTTTATTAATTATAAACTTTTACTACTCATATCTCCTAAATTAAAAAATTTTATAAACCTTGGAACATGATCTAGCAGATACGTAGTTTGTATGTGTTAGTTATATTGATAAATATTCTCATTATATTTTATTCAAATTACTCACCACCTCTTTTCGACCCACTGTGCGACGCACGAATAGCTACTTACATATTTATTAACTTTCAAAATACAAAGTCAGCATTTCATTTTGATGAACTAATCGAATTTTGAATACTCTTTTATATGTATGTTAAACCAGGGGGCAAGCGCCCTATTGTGGTTTGTTGTTTGACATTGTCTGCCATCGTCTGCCTTTTCTGTTTTAGTGTTTCACATGGTGGCTTTAATGTGCAGCTGGGATTCTTAAGCCCATTTTGTGGTATACTTGCCCTTTGATGTTATATGTGGAACTGTATTGTTGACCAATTTGCTTAGTATTATTTACCAGTTCTGTTAGGATGAAACACATCTGCATTCAAAAATCGCATTCAGGAGTTACCACTTACGTCCCAATGGTTAACATATGTGAAAAACTGCGTTTTCATCAAAACGCATTGATGCCCAACGCGGCCATGGTGTACGCAGCTCTGCTTGTTGGCTGGCTCTGCAAAAGCTCTGCATTCAAGTGAATACCGCTATTAAAACAAATCGAAACCAAAATGTATGTATGTATATATCGATATTCCATTTCAATTCTATCTATCTAATTTTGTTGACATTTTTAAGCAAAACAATGTCAAGAGCAAGTGATTTAATATTTAAAACAAGAAAAAGTATGTAACACAAACAATTACCCACATCAAAGAAAGGTCGTTGTAGGGAACTTATCTTAGCGTATTTAGTGTCGAATGCATTTATTTAGTTTAAAAATCTATACAATTACCATACGTACATCAGGAACAAATTGCATTTCAATTTTCGTGCTATACAATTTAAACAATTTATACAATTTACTTATTGTTTAAACAAACAGATTGTAAATATAAAGAGAGAAAAAAAAAAAATGTTCGTGCGACAGTTTGCACGGAATACTGTTATTTATGTACATACATATGTATTTACATTTGCTTTTTCTGCTATCTGCTACGCCTATAGAACTGTGTAAAATTAAGAGGTTTTCTGGTCAATTGTTAATAATACTGTGGTTTTAGTATTTACACCAGTTACTCAAAGAGTAAATAGGGTAATGTACAGCACGACCCCATAAAGTAAATATATTATTGGTAATCATCAATCCAAGCTTATACGAACAATTGTATGTTCAAATCTAACTTGACTTCGGTTCTGGCCTTCTTTTTCTGTTATATGTATGTACATATATATTTTTAATGCCTCACATTTATATTGAAGAACTTAATATTATCACTTTACCTAATATTAAAACATTTTATATTTTAGCTTCTGAAAAAATCTCGGAAAATGTACACATATTCGCTAATGACCCCTCCCTAGCTTTTTTTCGAGTTCAGGTACGATTGTTGTTGTATGTTGTTCCGTAATCTCGAATTTAAAATGAGTTGAATATATTATTTTCCTACTTCAATTTACCCTTTTAATTTTCTATACTTTATTTTCATTATATATTTCCGATATTACTGCATTTAAATAAATCTAGGAGCACGTGCGGAAAGTATTACCAGCGATATATGAAAAACGTGAAGAAGTGTTCCAGTTGCAAAAAAATCTTCAGGGACACTGCTATGACATGGAATATGGAGTAGAGTAAGTCAATATGGAGTAGAGTAACTTGATACAAAATTAACGTTTGAACATTGCGATTTTTATTTACAGAGCACTACAAACAATAGAAAAGTCGGAGCCCTTATTTTCCAATGTGCAAGCAATTTTAAAAAATGCAATTTTTTTAAAGCAACAACTTGCTACCGAAGAAAACAGGATGAAAGTATTAAAAGAAAGCATAAAATCCTCGGTATACAAGAGATTTTCGGCGCACCTTGCCCTAGATCTTCCTGACTTGCCTGACTTTAGTGGTGTAATACGGGACACGAGTCAACGAATTGAAAATAAGATCGGTCCAAGTAATGGACGCGATGCACAATCTAACTTAGGAGAACTTCAAAGGTCCTATACCACATTACACTAATTGTTTATGGATGATAAAAAATATAATTAAGAACGAAAAATAAATACTAAATAGTTCATATTTTTTCACAGTCTGTTTTTTGCCCATTTAAATTGTATTTTATTTTTGAAGCACTTGCAAAACATTATTATTACCATTTAAAACAGCTATCAGCAGGGCTTATTTATGAGAACGCTTATGAATACGTTGTCCTACCGTTTCATCAAGTTGCAATTATTTGTTTGGACGTTGATATTCAATGCCTGAGCCAGTAAGTTATGCTCGGAAAATAGCAAATACGATGGACAAAGGAATAAGGAATACCCTGTTTTAATTTTCAAATGAACAATCAATTATATCGATAGAGCTAGTTTTTTTGGCATTCATCGATAGTGTCATCTTCTGCATCACCACCGGCTAAGAATAATACAATTAATTTTTTGCATAGAAAATATGAAATCTGAAATTTTAGCAATAGCTTGCGTAGCTTTATCGCTTAGATCCATAGTTTCCATGTACTCATTCTCAGGCTTTGACTCGCCTCCTATGTACGGTGACTATGAAGCACAGCGCCACTGGCAAGAAGTCACCATTAATTTGGAGCCCATACAATGGTATACGAATAGCTCCAATAATGATTTGCTGTACTGGGGGCTAGACTACCCCCCACTTACCGCACATCATAGCTATTTAATGGGTCGAATAGCTAAAATTATTGATCCTCGCTTTGTCGAGTTGCATAGAAGTAGAGGTTTTCAATCTCGATCGCATAAAACCTTCATGCGACTAACTGTTTTGCTTGGAGACGTTTCAATCTATTTACCCGCTATCTTGGGAGTTTGTGTTTGTATAGATAAAAGCTTTCAATGCAAAAGTAAACTCTTTTCCTTCATGTTGTTGGCCGCCTATCCAGGCCAAATGCTTATTGACAATGGACATTTTCAATACAATAACGTATCGTTGGGCCTAGCTGCTGCCGCTATTGCTGCAATTCTGCATGGCAAACAATACATTGCAGCATTTGCTTTTACATTAGCGTTGAACTACAAACAAATGGAACTTTACCACAGCCTGCCGTTTTTCACATATCTGTTAGCCGAATGCATCGCACAAAACAGGTACGCTTAATAATACTATGGTATGCTTAGCACCTATAAATGGTACCCTACAATGTTCATGAATTGTTCATTTACATTAACATTTCACCTTAAAGAAGTATTCAGAATTCAATCGCTCATCCTCTCATATTTATGCCTAAAGCTCAGAGTCCAGTCCAAAATCACAAAAATCATTAAATACCACATTGCAGAGCTTCTATTATATTACAAAATTCAGGCAAGCTCCGGTTTTCACTTTCCTAATTACTTTCAAAAACGCAACAATTAGTTGAATCAATTTTTTTCTTATCTGTTAGCATTACCAGCTGGTTCCTTCCTTGTGAAACATTTTTCTTAGCCCTACCTCAAGCTTTTCTTGGAAGTAATTGGTCAGTGACAACAAGACTTTACATATTCGTTCTTATCGATAGATCGGAATAAAATCTCTATTATAATGTAAAGGGTATTTGAGTTAATTGCATTATTTGTATTTTATTTTTAGATTTAATTATTTTCTCGCTTCCTGCACCCGGTTTCCGGCACAAATTTAATATATAATATATATAGATATATAATATAATCACAAATATTTTCAGCTTCAGATTATTTGCAGTTAAACTAGCAAAAATCGCAACCATTGTTCTAGCTACGTTCTTTCTAGTTTGGTACCCCTGGTCCGGATCGCTTCAGGCAGTGGCTGAAGTGCTAAATCGACTTTTTCCTCTCGGGCGCACAGTATTTGAAGACAAAGTATCTAATTTTTGGTGTTCATTAAATATAATATGGAAACTAAAGTAAGCCCGAAACAATCAAAAGAATTATAGTTTATAGAAAAAATAATTTATATGTTTCAGGCAACATGTGTCGAATCATCACATGGCACTAGTATGTCTGGGTTTCACCTTAATTAGTTCTCTGCCAACTAATATCACACTTTTTAGGAAGCGATGTAAAATGGGTTTCTTATTATCCCTTTTCAATACTGCTATTGCTTTCTTTTTATTTTCATTTCAAGTATGTATGAGGAAGTAAACTTTAAACCACTATTTTTTATATTTCAATACGTTTCTAGGTTCACGAGAAGACTATTCTGCTAGCTGCACTACCAACGTTATGCTTATTGACATGGTGGCCAAACGAAATTATTCTCTTTCTCGATGTTTCAGTGTTCACCATGTTACCACTTCTGGAAAGAGATGGGTTGTTAGTACCATCACTTGCATGTGTTTTAATCTATCACTTGATTTGCAAATGTTTTTGTTCTGAAACTAAACCGAGTTCTGAACTAAAAGCATTTTTAAATATATCCAAAATCTTCATGATCGTCATTGTGGGAGCTTCACTACTTATCAAAGCCCCTTCAAGGTATCCAGATCTTTGGCCATTAATAACGTCTGTTATAGGTTGCGCATACTTAGTTTTATTTTTAGTTTGGGGAAATTTTAGACATTCGACCTGCACCTGCAGGACTGTTAAAATAAAAAGTATGTAACTAAACAATAAGATTATTTATTTCTTTTTTATATCCATATTTTAGTTTGTCATCGGTCATCTAAATTCAAAACTTTTGATGACTCTTCTGATGAAGATAATTCTTACATTTAATAGAAGTTGGATTTTTTCTGCCAATGTCAAACGAATCGCAAAAGTTTTTACAAGGGCAAAAGCAACGAACTTGTGCACTTGCCAATCGCCAAACATTTCAGAATACCTTAATACCTTTCCTATGCAGAGAAATTCTAAAAGCATGAAGAATCAATGGATAGGGGGGCAGTTGAAACAACTGTCCACACAAAGCCGCAGCGTCAGAACTAGGTAGAGACATTCTGCCGCCAATTAATTTCTTAATTCTGGCTACAATAATGATCCCATCAGATCCCAACCTGAAAGATATGGCCATTTCCTACGTTACTGCGTTTTTTGTTTTATCGTAGCTATAAAATTTTAGATGTCACAAAGTTTTGACCTTCCTGAGTCGGAAACGGCCGGGGCTAATTTTGAATTACCCTTGCGACAGTGTGATATCACAGCAGACTGGATGCTAAATTGGGCTGCTGTAACTTTTATAGTCTCTCAGTACTAGGCGCTTCTCAGGAAGGACACAAATATGTACATACATATGTGGCAAAGAATAATTTTGGATGATGTATTTGCATTTGCTACAATTCTACGCTTTCCAATAAGATTTTGATAAGATTAAGATCCAATGAAAATTCGATCTTTACCGATGAAGCCCAATTCCTAGCTTTCGTCAATGTTTAGGGCTATTATCCCGTTAAGAGGTTCCTTTTCACAGACATTTTTCTACTAGAATACGAACACTTCGGACATACAGCGGCGCCAGACTATGAGATATGTACTTGTTCATTGGAGTGGTGACCTGGCAGCTCCTGCCACAATATTTTAAGAGATACAACTTTTAGGAACAAGTTCTACGGCGTGGTTAAAAAGGCTAATGATTAAGAAGACAAAGAATATTACAATTGTTAGGTTTTTACATGTATTATTGACGAGTTTTTGATTTTCATTTCCATAAAATGTTTACAACACAAAAAGTTGTACCGATATATCTGCAGTAACTGACCATAAAATAAAAACTTCTTTGTAAAACGGTCCATTCTTTATTCGTTTTAGTATCCGTCTTTGATGGAAATCCATACAGCTTCTTATTAATGCCTTTGATGTGTCGATGTATTAAAATTAACAATGGTTTTAATTATGCTGGAAGTTGGAGTTTCTTGCCTTTAAGAACTTTGGTAATGTATAAGTAAAAGAAATCGCAGTATAGAATGGTCTGCACGATTCCAGCGAAGATCGCAATAAGGTCGTAATGCGATTCTACCATGTAGCGATAGACCCAATTTAGCAAATATAGCGCACGGTATGATCCAAGAGCAAATAGGTAATGGCTCGTTATTGATTCTGCTTCTCCAGTTTTGCTTACCAAAAAGAGCTGTGGTAAAATGGCAACAGATTCCAAATAAATTGAAAATGTCCAAAGCACTTCCATCACTGTGAATTCGTGATTAATGACGAAGGAAAGCAAGGCGCATGGTATGAGAAGGAACTCGATACGGAACGAATCATGGTTGTGATCATAAGTTGCCTTAAACTTGACGTACATTAAATATACCGTTGCACCAGAAGTGGCCAAAAACAGCACCTTCATAACCGAGTTATAGAGGCTTACATATGTGGTGAAGAGATCGAGGTAGCGAGTTAAATAAACTACAGCGAACAATATTTGCGATTTTCCAGATATCCCGGCACATGATCGAGTTTTCCATATTTTTAGCAGAAGTATTATTATGGCAAAGACATGAGATAGATCTCCAGCAAACCGAAAAATATTCATCCTAAATAATGCGTCAATTTATAAACTTCTGTCGATTTTTCCTTGTTCTTGGGTATTACTGAGAGCACCCTTAAATAAATGTTGAGAATGGACACTTTAATTACGGCATTGAAGTGTATGTGTTTTTTCATTACTGCATACGTTACCCAAGATTATGTTTTTCACGTAAATTGCCAACGAGTTAAAACTTAGGGCATCGGCGTTTCCTCCCCAAACTTCTGAGTAGAATGTTGGCATAAAAGAGAATAACGGAGAGAGACCAAATGACGTGGCCGTATTAACTCTGGATCCCTGACATGAACTTCAATATTTGTTTACAATGTTTGTAGGGCTGCAACTCTGTATGCATTATGGAAGTAGTCGATAACCGATAAATAAATATATTATATCATATTATTTTATACCATTTTAATTATCTACGCAAATGTTAAAGCAGCTATTAAACCAGCATCAAATGTGCAACGACGATATACAACTACCTACCTTTTACGAATAGGTGAATTAAATTTGGTGTTTTTTTTACATATAGAAAACAACAACAACTGTCAACTCGTTGACAAATGTGGGGCAGTGTACTATAAATATTCAAATGTTAAATTTACTTCAATTAAAGTGCGCCGACTTCACTAGGTGTTTTTTTTCATTATTGGCATAAAGTACCTTTGCGGTGCAATATGACAAAAATTCAATTGAGGTTGAAACGCTGAAGATACTTCGGTAGCCTCAAGTCTCGCAAGAACGTGCGTATTTTTTAACAGGCATGCGCACCTGGACCCATTAATGATATCGAAAAGCCACTGATCTCAAAATAGAAAAACCTTAAATACACTACATATATTCCTAAAAAATCCAGTGGTTTCATTAAACCAGCATATATAATATATATAAAATGCATAGGGACAATTTAAGTATCTCTGAAGATGATCTCAGTTCCATCAAGTTTTTTTTCCATTTCTCTTCTCACACCAGGAAATATTTTTATATTATATATAATATATATATATATATATATATATTGAATTTATTATATTCGACTCTTCCAAACGATAGCAATCGCACACGAGCTCCATTTACAAACTAATCGATTAGTTGGTTCACCTCAAACTAATCGAATAGCTAATGCCGCTATTTTAACTTTTGGTCGTATTCCACTACTTTGGTAAAAGCTTGTCTGCGACCATTACTTGACTTGACTTGTTTATATATACTTTCACGCCGTAACGCAGAACACACGTTTGCATAGAAATGCATAGGGACAATATATATATATATATATATATATATATGGTTATAACCACAAACGTGTGTTCTGCGTTACGGCGTGAAAGTATATATAAACACAAAACTAGCGTCAAGTAATGGTCGCAGACAAGCTTTTACCAAAGTAGTGGAATACGACCAAAAGTTAAAATAGCGGCATTAGCTATTCGATTAGTTTGAGGTGAACCAACTAATCGATTAGTTTGTAAATGGAGCTCGTGTGCGATTGCTATCGTTTGGAAGAGTCGAATATAATAAATTCAATCTAACCCCGTGCCGGCTTGCGCAGAAAACAACTTTTTATTAATATTCTGCCAAAATAAATTGAACAAAATGGTAAGATTGCTACTGGATTTTAGTGTACTTACAATTGTGGAACAGATGGATATGGAATGAAGAAGAAGTTTATTTGGTTACTTGTGAAATATGATTATGTTGCTGGGTTTGTGTCGGCACCCTGCATTGTCTGCAAACATGTCGTACAGACATGAACAAATTTTGTAAACAAAAACTAAAAATACAATACAACTTTAATAGGCAGATAAAAATGAATTTCATGTAACTGGAAATTATTCAAAGTATTAGTTATCTTTCACAACCATTTTTACATATGTACATACACACATACATACATTCATATGTAGGAACTATCTGAAAACGACAATCCAGCCAATCTAGCGGCATTTTCCGATAATTGTGTTATAAACTACAAACTTAGCACATTAACAAAAAAGAATGGAGTTGAATCCAGACGATTTTCAAAAGATGTAATTCTCCATAATTTTCCAAAACAGCATACACTCAAAAGTCACAGCCTGCAGGTTTTTTTTATTAAACTATACCTCCGATATGGCTTGGACTCTTTTACTTTCTTTCCTTCCGTGTCGCCATGTTTCATTTAATGTTTTCTACCTTAAATATAGTACTTACTGTATGCATATATAGATAATAAATGTTATTTATATTTCAGACTATTGGAAAAAATAACAAAATGATTCAGCACCTTAATTATCGGGTGCGAATCGTTTTGCAGGACTCTCGTACATTCATCGGAACTTTCAAAGCATTTGATAAGCACATGAATTTAATATTGGGCGACTGCGAAGAGTTTCGCAAAATAAGGTCCAAGAACTCGAAAGTTCCCGAACGAGAGGAAAAACGTGTGCTAGGCTTTGTTTTGTTGCGTGGTGAAAATATAGTCTCTCTGACAGTGGAAGGACCTCCACCTCCGGAGGAAGGACTTCCTCGAGTGCCAATACCAGGAGCAGCCTCAGGGCCAGGCATTGGTCGCATAGCTGGCAGAGGTGTACCCTTGAACATGTCGTCAGTGCCAGCGGGATTACAAGGCCCAGTGAGGGGTATAGGAGGGCCAGCTCAACAACATATGGCTCCAATGGGCAGAGGCGTGCCACGAGCTCCCATGATGGGAGCACCTCCCCCAGGATTAATTCCTGGTGGTATTCCTTCATTACCAGGGAACCTTGGTCGCGGGGCTCCACCTCCAATGAGAGGACCCCCACCTGGTATAATGCGTGGCGTACCTCCTGCTGGTAGAGGTGGCTTTTAAAATATATTCCCGAATGTATTTGGGCAATACAATTTCAATAAAATACTTTACATACATATATTTTCTGTAGAAAATGTACTGTCTTACACAACACTTAAAAATACTATTCAATTGTTATAAATATTCTATTATTTACTTTAATTATTTATTTTGGACGAAGCCGGGGCGTTTACAGCTCCTCTGGCCTTTTTTCTCTTTGGACTGCATCCCACTGTCTCTTTCAAATGTGCTCTAAACTGACTTTTAATAGTATTTACATGATTTAATGGTATAGTCCATTCAACTAGGCTTGAATGTGTGGTGGGATCAGACGACTCTGTATATTCTGATATTTCAACACCTAAACACTTACACACTTTCGAGAGTATTGCATCCACATAACTTGATATAACTAAGTTCGCCTTAGAGTCCTGCAATATAAATGTATTCATATTAAATTGAGTTAATAGCAGAATTTGTAAATGTCTTACATGTTTTGTTGGTTGTAAATTACATATAACCAGCTTACCACCGCCTTTTCTATTTTTTAAGGGCAAGTTTCCACTTGGTACGATTTGTAGAGTTGTTCCCAGAGTTATATTTAAGTCGGCCATTCTATTAAATGCAAGAAAGGTAAAAGGTTAACTGCTAGTATCATTTCAATTTTATTCTTAGTTACATATGTAAAATAGGAACAAACGTACGTAGAATGCATGATAGCCATATCGAGATCTTTTGGCGGTAAATCGTGTTCCCAGTCCAGCACGTTATCATGCAATGAGCCAGATCTGCATGCTCGGCCTACATCACTGGCTGTCAATCTACAGCGGATTCCTAGTGATTTTTGACCAACTGATTCAACAGATGTCGAACGAACAAACTGACGTCCACATGTATGGCATTGCTCAATAAATATGTTACCGTGCAACTCTGATATGTATCTACGATTGAGTCCCGACCTTAAGTGTAACCCGTCTATATTTTGAGAGACAATATACTGCACGTATCCAGCCTCTACCAATGCTCGCAGGGCCATATGTGTCTTAGTTGGTGTTGCCTTGTCAAAAGAAGTGTTGAGTTTAGGGACCTCTCCTTTTTTTTCCAATGTCCACACGCCTTTCGGTCCTCTGTAAAAGTTTATTTATATATGTAAGTATACAAAAAGTATACAAAAATAAGAGCATACATGTATCGTATACCTAAAGTCAGGAATGCCGGCTGATGTACTTATCCCTGCGCCAGTATGAAATACCACATGTTTGGAGTTCTTGATGTAATTGGCCAACTCGTCGCATTTTTTACTGACGGTATCATCGCTGTCAAAACTCTTAATTTAGCGTTACAATTTTGTTGTCATAAATTGATAGCCACATAAATATTTACCTCTGGGAGGCCTAGTATTCCCTTGTTTTCATAAGGTGAAAGACCGTCAGCGTAATTAGAACTCATTGTTTTACTATCATTTATACTTTTCAGGGTTTCTGTCTTTTATAGTTTGAAAAAAGTTTACAACCAGCATAAAACATTTATATGTTGATATAATTTTAAAACCAGATTGATTAATGAATGTCGCACCATCCGATATTTTTTTGGACATACTAAACGTCGATATTTCCTATGCCCAAAATCGAATATGATAAAAACAATCTCTGCACACCGAGCAAAACATCCATGAAAAGGCAGCCGATGCTTACAGTTTGGCGCAGCGGAAAATGTCTTTACTTAATTAATATGATAAATAGGACATAACTCAGTAGGAGAATATTTTCATGGACTCGCTACTTATCTGAGTTGAAAAGCTCTTTGGAGCAGCGCATTTTTACTTAAAATCTTTCCAAAGATAGACGAACTGCGGAAAACTAGTTTAGAAAGTTAAAAGCCATATGACTCTTGCCTCTAATGCTACTTCTATTCTAACTATTTTTCCCTTATATAAGTGCTAGTTCTTTCGAGCTCCCAGCAAATATTCAATATGCTCCTGTCAGTCATTATTTACATTTTCGATGTCAATATATATCATTTCGTTGTGAAATAGAAAGAGAGAAAGATTCACCAGAAAATTTAGTGCATCTGAGTACTAGGCAGTGTAAATAGGCCTTACAATTCATATTTATCGCTATCGAACAAAATTAATACAAAAGCATCGATATTATTATTTGTGCGATTTGCATCACTAGTGTGAAGTGGGTTGTATAAATGGCTTCAACATCGAGGTATTTTGGAAATATTTTATGCATAATTACTGTATTTATAAGGTTTTTATATTTTTAGACTTGACAACAATAAGGTGTGCTGTTATGCACACCCTGAATCTCCCCTGATCGAAGATTATCGGGCTGGTGACATGATATGTTCAGAGTGTGGTCTGGTTGTTGGGGACCGCGTTATTGATGTTGGATCGGAATGGCGTACATTCAGTAATGAGAAAAGTGGCGTAGATCCCAGTCGTGTTGGCGGTCCCGAAAATCCACTTCTTAGTGGTGGGGATTTATCCACAATAATTGGACCTGGGACGGGGTCTGCATCTTTCGATGCATTTGGTGCTCCAAAATATCAAAACAGACGCACCATGAGCAGTTCAGACCGCTCTCTTATATCAGCTTTCAAAGAAATTTCATCAATGGCGGATCGCATAAACCTACCAAAAACTATAGTCGACCGTGCAAATAATCTATTTAAACAGGTATGCATTAACACAGGTGGTGAAATTCGATATAACTATTTCGTTTAGGTTCACGATGGAAAAAATCTTAAAGGTCGATCAAACGATGCCAAGGCATCTGCTTGTCTTTATATTGCTTGTCGACAAGAAGGAGTTCCACGCACATTTAAAGAAATATGCGCCGTTAGCAAGATTAGCAAAAAAGAAATCGGAAGATGCTTTAAACTAACACTCAAGGCTCTTGAAACAAGTGTTGATTTGATAACAACTGCTGATTTTATGTGTCGTTTCTGTGCAAATCTGGGTAAGCTTTTTGCTAAATCGTTGACATTTTATAGTTTTATTCTAATATATATGTCCAAAACATATTTTTTTATAGATCTACCGAATATGGTTCAACGCGCTGCTACACACATTGCGAAAAAGGCTGTCGAAATGGACATTGTTCCAGGACGATCTCCAATATCTGTGGCTGCAGCTGCAATTTATATGGCATCGCAGGCTTCAGAGCATAAGCGCAGTCAGAAGGAAATCGGTGACATAGCTGGCGTTGCTGATGTCACCATAAGACAATCGTACAAGTTAATGTACCCTCATGCTGCGAAACTTTTCCCGGAAGATTTTAAGTTTACCACACCCATTGATCAGTTACCACAAATGTGAAAGTTTAGATTGTTTAGTTATCGATGCTCAATAACAATGCTTACGCCTAGTTGTTATATAATCAAAAAGGTACGATTTTATTAAATAAAGCTAGTATTATTTTGGATACAAATCAAACGGATTCCCTGTTTAAGTGGATTTTTAATTTTAACTAACATTTAGAAAAAGGGGTATGCTTAATCCAGTTACCATTAGTGAAATTATGTTTTACTCAGCGATTCAAAGTAGTGAAAATGAAAATTACGGACCTCCGCAATTTGTTTAAAAAAATTGTTTTCTTAAGCTATCTTGTTCGTGAAAACCTTGATTTAATTTAGAACAAGAAATCCTCTATCTGTAAAAGTCTGCCGCCAAAACATAATCGAACCCACTTGTAATTAAGTAATCATCACCAAAATTTGTATGAGACTTATTTGCAAGCCTTTAGCACTTTATTTTCTCTTACGATAACTTGCGCACATAACTTTAATTACTTCCATATTTTATAACAATTTTAACAAAACACATTTTTTTAAACAAAAGCATTTAGGCAAGGTGTTTGGACCAAGTTCCTAGTATTCATTGCAATATACACACATCAATTGGCAGACTATAATAATATATGAACATAGACATACTTTTTACTTCTTAATTGTTTTTAGATTTTATGGCGGAAAGATAGTTTGCAGTACACATTGGTTATAATTAATTGCAGAAAATCAAAACTATATAAACCACCAAAGACAGACTGAGAATTAGATACCTAAATATGTATGTATGTACATATACACCGTTTGAAGTTCGTTCTTTCAAAGTAGCATGACTTGTCACTTCGATTCCCTATATTTCAAGGAAGTTCGTGGCACTGCAGTTTATATATACATATATATACAATACATAAATATGTATGTATGTATGTATGTACGTGTGTAGCTTCAGTACGAATGATCGACCGCAAAAAAAACCACACAGGCTATGGCAGTTATGCATGTGAATTAACTTCGTTGGTTACGACTTTATTTTTGGTCTATCGCTTATATTTCAGGTTTAATGTTAATATAGTATGCAAATAAATACATTTTTCGTGTCGGGAATGCATCTTCATTTGCTTTACAGTCATACATAAATTATTAGCGGCTTGAAATTTGAAAGGAAAAATGATTTTTGGTCAAAGCTTAAAAAATTAGGATTACAACTAAATGCATTTAAGCCAGTTAAAAATAAAAACAGTAAGGGGAAAAAGCATACAATTGTAAGGGGCAGAAATATATGTATGTAAGCTTTACAGTTTTAGACGTTCTGGTGGCAGCGCGGCATGAGATAAATATAAAATTTCTCAGAAATAATAACTTGGTTAATCTGAATAGCTGTGCCTGCGAAACACAAATGTATCGATGTCTATTTAAAAGAGTTGACAGTAATGTAGAACTGTAATGTAATACGGCATCGACATGAATATAAAGTTTTTAAATTGATGGAATCGACAATCAGTAGTCAATCGAAAGAGAACATTTTTCGTCATCACTATGCCCGACACACTCAAGTGCAGGTCGGTGCTCAGAGTCCCACATACCAGGTCCACATCGCTTACATAGGCCACTTAACGTACAAGGAACTTTTGGTATTTGACGGTATTGGTATAGTAGTCCACGAGCCTTCCGAAGAATCAGTTGTCCATCCATATACATGGCCAGCGAACTGAAGTGCAGTAGCATTTCGTCCGCGCGTAATCCTTGAGCTATCACGTCATCGGCATACACAGCTATGATGGCCAAACAAAGAAATAGATGAAAGTAGTCAGTCAAATAGTTCGACCAACAGGCTTCCCACATGCGTATTACGACAGCTTCGGTGAACTCTCGCTTGAAACAAAGCAAGAGCCATCGGTGACAAAATAGGAGCTCCATAGAATCGTTCTGGTGTTCCAAATGTTCATAGAAACGTGGCAGCATAAGCCTTATAAGTTCTCGCAGATAACTAAGATTATGGTCGACGTCACTGTCTGTGGGAGTGCAGACAAAAAATGCTCGTTGCATTAATCCAACGAAACACCAAAATGTTTCAGACTCATTTTGCACCTCGCATAGTACAGGCGCCAGTAAATCACTCATACCCTGAAAACGAATTCAATAGTGAATATTTTCGGGATTTAACTTAAACTACAAACCTGAGAATAGGACAATCCAGAATTATAAATAGCGAAATTGAGCAGAATGTTTTTCATAACTTCGGTGTTGGGGTTATCGTCACCACAGAAAAAAGGATTGGTTCGATCTGTACGTACAACATCCTTTTCAACCACACACTGTACGGTTTTCCAAAAGTGTACTTGTTGCTCTGGAGACATTGAATATAGACGCTTTCGTGTGATTTCATCATACTCCTGTCGCTTAATGTCCATCAGGACTGCTCGATCTTCAAATGTTGACGAAAAGGAATAACACTTTAATAAAAATGGCCAAACCGTTTTTCGTAAACTCTTTTCAAGACCACCAAAAAATACACATTTGCGTAGAAGCAAATCGTCTTCGATCTGTCCCTTTTCGTTTAACAATGTTCCGTAGAAAAAGTTTGTAGTTATTTTCTTTACGTCGCCCTCATCGGGATGCATTTCCGATTTCTTGACTTCAGGACGACAGACCATAAAATGCCTGTATGGCAGATCGAATTTTTCTGGACAAGTGGCCAAGGTGATGTTGTGCAAAAAACAATGCCACTGGTGAAGTACCTGGGCCAAGTGATCCAATCCACCATAATGGAAATGGAGTATCTTGTACTGAGATTCTCGGGATGCAATCACCAGCTGACCCGATGTGCAGTTGGTGTCATTGAAAAAGAGACGGAGTGATCGCATTTGACTTAAGTCTACGGAAAAGTGTCGACACTTTAGTGAGGCGGTTCGGCGAACGGCTGGCATCGAGTTTTCACTTTCTGGGAACTCCAAATTGTGCTTAAAGGCAAGTAGTTCTGGGGTCATCCATTTTGGGTTGCTGTCCTCCGATGCCGGGCCAACAGAGTTTAAATGGTCCCTGTTTCCGCTGAAGCAGTCACTGCTGTTATCGGCGTCTGTCCTAATCGTTATACAGTTGAAGGATTGTGAAATATTAGTGTTTTCGATCTGCGGATTCGAAATAGTTATATTAACTGAAGTTATTGGATTGTTTTTTAGCAGCGCTGTTAAGTCATCTATTGAAGCAGTTTGTCCGCCGAGCAAAGGCTGTAGTTCACTTTTTAATTCTTGCATTTCCGACGCGTCATCATCTTCTTCTCGGATGTCGCTTTCATTAGTCGTCTGAGACACCGATAAGAAACAGTGCTTATTGCTTAAATCTGTCCTCTTTTTCATAGGACTACAACTATCACTGGAATCTTCCTTCGACGATGTCGTATATTTACATAGGGAAGAGTTTGGGATCCACGTGAGAAGTAGCGTAGGTCTTTTTGCACAGTTGTACTGATCCACAAATGTTTTTGTAGTGCATGTTAAATATCCTGGGTTGTGCAATATATCAAATTCATGACGAGCGATTGTAGGTGGATGAATGCATACATTGTTCTTGCAGAACAGAATTTCGTTGTCTTCGTAAGAAATATCGATTTTTTTATTAATTATTTCTTCACCCAGTATAAAGCTTGATGCTTTTTTTATAATACTTCCTATTGGCATTTTTAGATCCAATTTGTTTATCCTTACATATGAGTATCTTTCTTTTAAAATGAAAGGGTTTTTATTATAATTTAATGTTACTGTGTGCTGGGTGTTTCTAGCTTGTAACAGCTTTTAATATGGGTATGGGCTGTTTGTGGTGCACGGTAGAAACGGTATCTTTTTGGACAAGGGTCACTCTAATAAGTAAGCTTTTTTCTTGCGAAAAAAACTAGGGTACTCCCGTAAAATTTTAATCTGCTCACCAACAATTCAGCTTTGAATTCATGCTTACGATTTTCTTCCGCTGAAAAATTAGTTGTGCCCAGTCAGAAATATATTAGGGACTGGGATTCACTTAAGCAATCATTGCAGCAGGATTCTTCAGTGAAAATATCTTCCTCGGAATTGCATCGCAGGAAAAATGAGCGAGGGGATACCTTGACAGTTTCATTATATTTATTTAAATCTACAGATATTATTTTAAGACTGATCGACTTTGCAAACACTGTAGCTCGTTGAGTAGTAAAGTAATACTGTAACGCAATCGCTGAAACGTGGACAGTGGCAATTCCAGAGTTCGAAATCCTCCACTCGGGAGCTTGAAGTGCAGTACAACGGTTGTTTTATCTTGGATCGTACTAAATAATATAAAGAAAATTAGTCAATTTATTTGATTATCCAAAATGATTGATTTGCATACTTTAAAGTTAAGGAAATGTTGATCCTCCACTTCACATTTAACATTTTAACTCGATCTAATTTGGTATTCGAGTAGTTTTTACTAAGTATTTCTCTATGATGTAAAATAACTTTGCAAATATCTTCAACGCATTCTTCTGAAAATCTGTAAAGATGTTTAATGGAATTAATCAGTTCTTCAAAAATGTTTGCAATGGATCCACTGGTTGGTGTATATATATTATAAGTAAATATATACAATGTAGAAAATATGTAAGTGTTCTCAAATAAACTTTGAGAGAAATGGTGTGCGTACACTTTGTTGATTCACTATGCAAAATAAAGTATATGTACATGCATACATTGGTAAACATATAAATACAATCGAAAGCAATGTATATTTTATCTAGTATAAGTATTTAAATATAAGAAAGTATTCATTTGTATACCCTAAATCAACCAATAGGCATTGTCGCAACTCGTGAACCTTTACCACTCCTTTTGGATATCGCAAAAATAGTTGCATTATCAAAAACACTATAGTAAAGAGCTCGCAAAAATTTTTAGGAACTTCATGACCGGCATTTGTCAGTTTGCTTTTTGCAAGGGACAGCACTTCGGAACATGATTTTTTGGTCTCTACATAATGCACGGAAACTTGAATTAAGACGCGCAGCGTTGATTTAGATAATTGCGGTACGAACGAAGAATATGGTTGAACATATCTCAGAATATTATATCGAAAAGTACAAGACATTTTGATCAACACAAGGTTTGTTATTGTTTATCATTTAATACGAACAGGAAAAGGCAATGTACACATACATATGTATGAACATACATATATAAAATACAAAAATTGGATCATTGAAATAGGAACATGAAAACTAAAATGTATATGTTCACACTTTCTGAAATTAAATATAATCTTGAATTACCAAGTTTTCGCAAACTAATGATTTAACATTTTTGCTTTCCGGGTTTTACATTTCGTGTTTCTTTCCATTCATTTGTTATGCGAGTAAACAGCTGTTCTAGTTTTGGTTGTAAAACCAAAAAGTAAATGAAGACTTCGTATATTAAACTCATTAAAGAAAATCCCCGGAATAGTTTAAACTGTTGAAGGACTCTACACTGGCGTCTCCCTTGCATAACACAAAAATGTTCTGTAGGTATTTAGGCCGTTCACCTGGGCAACTTTCGTACCTTTACGACTCGAAACAAAAACAGTTGCGTTAAGTAAGAATACAACGGCCGTTAAATACTGCGGAGTCCGAGGAAACTCACGGTATGTATGGGTTCATATTGGGGGAATCAGCCTGAATACCTGAATACGTCAGTCTGAATGCAGTGATATTATCACTTGGCTGCCGTTGACAGTGGGCGAAACAAGGAAGGCGACAAGGGGAAGAGCACTGTGGTACCCGAATAGTTCCCGAGTAACTTTCCCTACTATTATAGCACCTTCTCCGTCTTGTTCTCACCTACGGCCCCGCGTTTTCTCTCTCGGCTTCTGCTGTCGGATCATAGCTTTGCGATCGGCGCTCTCTCCAGCTTTGAGTGTGGGCGTTAAGCTGGTTTTAGACGATGCAAGGGATTAAGAGCATCATGTGGACCTCATTTTTGCGCTTTTTATAATTTTTGCATTTGAAAGCTTCTGAATGGCCCGATGGAATGACAAAAAGAAGAAGCGCTTCCTCTAAAAAAATCACTAAACAAAAAAAACATTTTGTTTTTAAGTATTTATTTTAATTTTATTTAGTTCCTTAAAACTTTTGAATGGCCCAAATCTATTATTAAAAGTCAGTTTGTCCATTAAGAAATGTAAATGACGCTCATCTATCCAAACAATATAAATAAAACGAGAAGGGACGTGTGAGACGCTTCTTACGCTTCACAACTTTTAGACCCGGCACTGTCATCATCTTCTTCTTCTGTCATCTACATACATCAACAACACTACTCACACCAACCACGCTTCTTTAGCTCGCCGCCCTTCCCCAGACCCACACACTTCAGACTCGCTGCAGAGGCAGAGGCAGCACCCGCACACAAAAAAAACAAATAAAATCTGAGGGACGGGGTGGGTTAAAAGTCGGAAGAGGCATCGGCAAGGGGAGGGCAAAGGCAGAGGACGAGTGAAGCAGAAGCAGAGAATGTAAAAGGAACAATAAAAGCTGCGGGACAGGGTGGGTTTATCCACTGCAAATGAATTTCTTCATTCTGGCTATAATAATGATCCCAATTAGGTGATCTGATAGATATGGCCATTCCCTACGTAATGGTGTTTTTAGTTTCGTTTTTCTGTATCTTCAAAATCTAGATTTGGGAGGTTTTCGCGCTTTTGCGTGGGCGGGGCTAATTTTTGAAATACACTGGTTTCAGTGTGAGCATACAGCAGTCCGGAGCCAAAATTTGGTGGCTCTAGATCTTAAAGTCTCTGAGAACAAGCCGACAAACAAGACGGAGGGACGGACAGACAGACATGGCTCTATCGACTCGGCTATTGAGCTGAGTATATATCAAGAATATATATACTTTATGGCGTCGGAAACACTTCCTTCTGTGAGTTACATACAACCGTTATTCACAAAAATACAATATACCCATTTACTCTTCGAGTACCGGGTATAATTAAAAAGGTGATGAAAACCCTATATTTTTGGTGCAAAAGCATAATTTTATTTAATTTTTTGGGTATGATAAATATATGTTAATATGTAACGTAATTAAATTTGAAAATCGTCATTGAACCTTGCTCTGTTATATAGAGCACTACTGGAAGCCCCGTCATGTTTATGTAAAGTAAAGCAGCCACGTCTATATAATACAACAATTCCTAATGTAATCGGTAAGGCAATAAGTATAAAAACTAGCAGACCGACCCAGAAAATACTACTGCCACTTGTATTTCCACTTAAGCGATCCGTCGCTACACTTAAAACCTCCACGTCTGTCAATTCAGAGGGTGTCTCACACCGTACATTTTTTGCCAGAAGTGGAGTTGTTGTATTTATTTGTGGCAGAAGGATGCTGATTAAATAATCATTCGATTCTTCGCAGTTCCATGGATTAAATCGAAGATCAAGTACGGCAAGTTTGTCCCAGCGTACAAGTAATGACCTTGATATTGCTGTCAGGTTGCAATTATTTAAGTAGATCTATTTTCATTAAAAGAAAAATGTATTATTAAATTATGTATAAAACGTTGTTACTTGATTTTTGTAATTTACTTTTTCCAATGGAGGATAGTTCATATATTGTCCATCAGTCAGGTTCTTTGCAAAGGCGAGCTCATCGATTTCTACTAGAAACTTGTTGTCAGACAAGATTAGTTCGGTAAGGTCTAAGTAAGAATTGAAGTAAAATACAAATAAATACGTTTACCAAAAATTTCATTTTGTAACTTCAATATTAATTTAGTCGGTCCATGTGCCCGTATAGAAGCTAGAGCATCTGAGCGCTAAACCCCAGAGAATTGGGTTCAGGCTTCTGTAATGTAATAACCTGTTTATATTTTTAAACTTACTCTGCAATCCACTCATAGCACCAGCTCCGATATGGCGCAGCTTTGGCATGTAAGACATACTGAGATACTTTAAGTTAGTCATCACAGGAAATAGGCTAGAATGATGGTTAAGATTAAATAAAATAAAATAACATAAGGTAGCGCTTTAAGGCAGAGAGATCCGTTGATCATATCTTACTTATCGCCTTGGAGATCTTCAATTGGGTTTTCATTCAAGACAAGACTGGCTAAGTTCTTTGCAAATGTTAAAGCTTTTGGCAGTTCATGGAACAGATTTCCAGCTGCTATAAAAGTCTCAAGATCTCGTGGCCCATGAAGAATTGTTTGTGGCAATGTTGCTAATTCCATATATGAAATATCTAATGTCTGTAGAAAAAACCGAATTTCAAAGATATTAATTAAATAAAATGAATTCAAATAAATAGAAATCTAGATGAATAGATTTAACATACCTTCAATGATCCTAAGCCTGAAATTGCCACTTCTGAGAGTCCATCCAATAATTGAAAATTATTTGAGCATAGAATAAGCTCTTCTAGGTTTGGAATATGCTCAAATAAATCTGCGTCCAAAAAATGCAGGTCATTGTGTCCCAAATTGAGCGATTTCATATTAACTAATGCCTTATAGTCCGTTGTTGTATAGGGTCCTCTAAAAACATCTGGCAGCAAAACCTTTGAAGTTAATTTGTTATGCGACAAATCTAGGCTTGTCAAGTCAGATAAATTTTGAAAGGCGCCAATGGCTATTGAATCTATCTCGTTATTGCCAAAGTACAAATGTTTTACAGCATATGTTTTCAAAATTGGGATTTTGCTAATATTGTTGTGATCGAGCTTGATAGTTTCTAGGGCAAAGTCTCCGTCGATTAAGAAATCCCATTCGTCCTTGGAAAGCCAACTGCTCAAGTTGCTCGTGCAGTCGATTAAATTGTTCGGTTGATCGCATGTGCATTTTGTACACAAATCACTTTTTTTTAAAGGTGCAGCAGCATTCTGGAATCAGTATAAATTAATTAAAACTTGTATTAATCAATTCGATAAACGGATGAACTTATATACAAATTAATCACAAGCACTGAGGAACATTATTAAAGACTTTGCAACATCGCTATAAACAAAAACAGCAACACAATATTAGTAAAAGCATGGTTAGTAGTAACGGATTGCGCCCCAATTGCGGATCCCCGATTCCCAACGTAAGAGGTAAAAATGATATAAATTTATAGAACAATCACAGATTACACTTTAAAATGTCAAATTCCCCATACACCGTATAAAATTCGGGCGCTCATCAATTCGAACACAAATCTAATATAACACCAAACTCTTCAGCCATCATTTTTTCGTTAATGACGCACCTAATTTAATTTCTGTTGTATTAATGATGAATCGGTAGGGCTATAAAAAAGCACCCGAAGAGAGCTTTGTATTCCTTGCTTTTAATTGAAACTTAAACTCAAATTTAGGGTTTTACACAAAGTCCTCGAACACTTTAATTTTAAAATATTACAATTAAAGAAAACGACAGTAAAGTTTCTGTTTCAAGCATATTAAGTCTTTTAGGTGCAGGATAAAATAAAAAATGTATCACAATAACATATGTATACCTTTGTAGGCGTATCAGTGTCTGCATGAGTATTTGCAATTGTTAAAAAAATGTAATAACATGTACAAATTAAAATATTATTTATTTTAAATTTCATTTTTGGAATGATTTTTTTAATTGGCTGAATACAGAATAACTAAATATGAAATGGCTCTTTACAGTCCAATGGAAAGTATATGACTAACCAGCACAGTTCAAATCGAACATTTTATCTATTTCAAACTATCTTATCTTCCTCTGGGCATTGAAAGCACTGATTACGATATCTCGATGAAATTATTTGTCTAACCCATGATAAGAATCCCAAAAGTTTTCCCAAACTTGTATATAGAACTTCTTAAGTATTCGTACTCTTATGAAACTCTATATTTTAGCCAAAATTTACAAAATTGAGCCGGATTTGGAAATCATTTTTAGAATAGCCTCCCAAATTACAACCCCCCAACTAAGGCCTAATTTAAAAATTAGCTATTTGCCATGATCCCAACTGATACGATATTTCAGTTCAAACGATTGCATTTCAAAATTCGTCAGGCATTACATTTTTTGTCTGAGATTAAAATTTCATATTTTAGATAAATATTTTCAACTAAATAAATCATTAGATACAACATTTCCATTAACCCCTTAGGCCATATATATGCCATATTAATGCAGCAGGTACGTTGAAGACTATCTTCCAGAAGTTTAACAATTATATGGCTCAATATAATAAATATATATGCAACAAGTGGGGGAAGTAGTAGGTGAAAGTCTGGTAGTCAGTCACTGTTAATACCAGGTGTCTTAAAATACTTGTGCCTTTCTTTGATACAATTTAATTCGATTTAGCCAAATTAGACTTGAGATGATTCGAGTAAAATGACACTTTTAAAGCTAAGAATCCTAACTAGCTGGTTTTATTATATATAACATCAAAATCGAGGAAAATTTTTAAGATTTACAGCATATTTACAGTATATTTTGAAAATGAAAAGGTATATTTCCGAGCGACTGTAGGTATATTTTATCGATAAGTTCGCGGTCTCACCTGATAATAGCAAAATTATACAATGAGCATATGTTTAAAAGTTTTATTTCCAAAACAATCTTTAATAAGGCATTTTGTTACCAACAGTTGCAAGGGGTATGTGCAATACTTTTTTTGTCAATGACTTTAATTTACGAGTTTATATAATACAACTTTGCAGCGATGCAGGAAAGTATGAAAAGATATATGCGCCCGGCAAGGTTTCCAAGGAGCGGACTGTTCCTGAAAGAATACCAAAGCCACAATACTACTACGAAACTATGCCACCTGGAAGCACATTAGGGACCCCAGAAATTAAAAATACTGATCAAATAAAAGCAATGCGTCTCAGCGGACAACTGGCGGCGAAAATATTACAGGAATGTGGCAGTTTGGCAATTGTTGGGAAGTCCACCGATGAAATAGACGCATATGCACACGAGCTTATTATTAAATCAAATGCATACCCTTCGCCACTTAGGTATGCAGGGTTTCCAAAGTCCATCTGCACATCAATAAATAATGTAGCATGCCATGGAATCCCAGATGACCGCCAATTAATTGATGGAGATATAATAAATATTGATGTTACAGTTTACCTCAATGGTTACCATGGAGACTGTTCAGAAACATTTCTAGTTGGCAATGTGGATGAAAAAGGCCGCTACCTGGTCGAGGCCACAAGATCCTGCCTAGATATGTGCATTTCGCTTTGTGGTCCAGGCGTCTCTTTTAATAAAATCGGGCAGTTTATACAACAATATTGTGAAGAAAAAAAACTAGAATCAATAGTTGCTTTTATTGGACATGGGATTGGTAGTTATTTCCACGGGCCGCCAGAAATTTATCATTACCGTATGCACAATTTTTAAATCTAATTTGTATGGTAATCTAAAAAAATTAATTTTTAGATAACACCATTGGTGGCAAAATGCATCCTGGTATGACATTTACCATTGAACCCATTCTAACTCTTGGTGAATCGGACGTAGCTTTGCTGGAAGATGGATGGACTGCAATCAGTCTAGATTGAGCACGAAGCGCACAATTTGAACACACCATACTTATCACAGACACAGGAGTAGAAATACTTACCATTTTTCATAAATAAATTGATGAACACATGTCCATATTTTGATTTTTAAAATTTATATATTTGCTTATTTAGGTCATAAATATGTAAATAAAAGTGAAATTAAATTTTGTAGCTTGGGCTTTTATAAAATTTGGATATTGTGTGTTATGTGCAGTTGATTATGGATGCAATTTCGGCGGCGGAAAAAAACCTAGCCGCATATAGCATTTGACTTTTGTACTGGTTTTTGAATTGGAAGGAACAACTTAAATTCGGGCGGCAATTCATCTTCAGAATAGAGACGATCAGAAAAGTACACGCGTCGTATACGACAATTTGCATGGATTTGGACGCGAAGAGTTTCTACGTAGTTTGTGCCATAGGCGCGACGCGTAAAGTCAGATAGGTTAAATTGAATTTGATTCCATCCCTCATCCAGACGCATGGGCATCGTGCAAATAAATGGCTTTACACGAGTGGTCGATTGGTAATTGCTGGCTCGAAACCGGCGACGAACATTTTTATCATCCAGGACCTTAAAATCATACGTAAATTATATCATAGGACTAGCTAAATCAAAAATTTTACCTGCACTTCGAATGTGAAGTATTTCTTCATGTTCTTTATAATCATTACAAGAAATGGCAACTTTATACCGAGAGTCTTTTTTGGATCCGCTGGACATGTTATAAACGTGGTGCTCACATTGGTACCAACTATTTCCAGAACTAGACTCTGTATGTCATTGTCGGTTATACGTTTAATATGTCCATTGCGCACTTTCTTGTCCCAAAGCTGAAGCGGCTTGGATCCAATGCTGTAGAGAATTGATAAAAATCCAGATTGAAAGGTATTTTTAAACATTCTGCGATTGAATTGACAGAGCTGTTTCCCAATATACTGCTTTTTAAATTTAGTATATGACCAGTTAGTGCTGGCCAAAAAATTTAGCACAGCCGAAACTCGTACAAGCCACGAACATGAATACAAAACTATTCTAAATTTTTACGTCAATAAATTTGTTTGGAATGATTGTTGCCATTAGCAATGGGGAACAAACAGGGTTGACATAACAATTTTATGCTTTGAAAATTATCAGTTTGACGTTTAGGCGATAGTTATACTAGTGACAAAAATTCACGTTATTGTAGTCATTTCACGTGCTCTGATGATCATGAGATGGTTATAGACCAGTATTTAGATGCGCTGAATTTGTTTTCAACAAAAAGACCAAAGTAGGCAAATATATATTATCTGTCGACAGGTTCGCCCCACAAGCCATACGAATATCATCGTGTATTTTACTAACTAGTCGTGACTAGACTTGAGTACTAGACTTTTTTTTATGTCCACGAATATTCTGAGTACTTGTCATTACTTTAGTATATTTTTGTTTTTAGTAAATGGTCACACTTTCTAAGCAAAAATGTGATTTTAAAGAAAAATATAAATAACACATAAATAATACAGTTTTAATTATGTGTTACCATTACATTGCTTAAAAAAACGAATAATGATGAGGGTATTAGTCAAACGAGAACTGGGGCTAATCACCCAGTTGCTGGCTCCGGTTAATGTACAATCGACTCGAGTAAGTTTATTGTGTGTTATGTAATTTAGAACATTAAAACTCTTTGGTTTTTGCAGTATACGACCAAATCTACTTCCTCATGTGATGCCACGTCTTCTGGCCATTCAATATTACCAGCAACTCAGTTGAAAGATATTTGTATGCCTGTTAGTAAAGCCAATGTGATAGTTCCGGCTTCAAATGTAACATTACCCGATTATAATACCTCTTGGTTACCGAGTCCATGCGATGACACTGGGAAAACAATCAGTCAATACAAAAAACTTTCAAAATTTCGGCTTACATGTAAGTTTTCTCGTAAAACGGAAAATTAAACGAGCTGCTTGTTTATTGTTACATTTCAGCTCTGGTTGTTATTACCACAATGGGTGGATATGCGATGGCACCTGCTGCGTTCGATCCTAGTTCCTTTGCTATGTGCACCTTGGGAACAGGATTGATTTCAGCTGCAGCTAATGCTATAAATCAATATCATGAAGTTCCTTTCGATTCCCAAATGTCGAGAACCAAAAACCGTTTGCTTGTTACAGGCCAAGTTACTCCACTTAAAGCAGTTACCTTTGCCGCTGTGTCCGCTTCAACTGGACTGTGTATGTTGTATTTTGGTGTTAATGGTCTAACAGCGGCACTAGGAGCTGGAAATCTTTTCCTTTACACATCTATATATACACCAATGAAGCGAATAAGTATAGTCAACACGTGGATAGGATCAGTCGTCGGCGCAATTCCACCTTTAATGGGCTGGGCCGGTTGTGCCGGAACTCTTGATGCAGGAGCAATGATACTGGCTGGAGTACTATTTGCGTGGCAGTTCCCTCATTTTAATGCTCTTTCATGGAATCTGCGACCAGATTACTCTCGCGCCGGGTATCGCATGATGGCGGTTACAAATCCGAGTCTGTGTCGTCGTACAGCGTTGCGATATTCACTAGCTATTGTCGGACTTTCAGCGATGGCGCCGGTTCTAGACGTTACAAACTATTGGTTTGCTTTGGAAACACTTCCTTTGAACGCGTATTTCGCATACTTGGGTAAGTAAAACATACGCGTGGTCGTATAAGTAATGGTTACGCCTACTTTCTTAGCCAAAAACTGTAGCACGGTGATAGGCCTCGATCGGATGCTTTTCTGTGTGTATCTCTCGCTTTCTCTCGCCAAAAGCAGCACCCGCGAAAATCACTTCACACATCTGTTGACCCTTGCTATTAAGTGAAATAAGATTTCGTCTGTCGATGAAACAAGAAAGATTTTTTTTTTCTCTCTCTTTATATTTACAATCTGTTTTTTTAAACAATAAGTAAATTGTATAATTAATATTCAATTAACAGAAATAGCAGTTTTCCAATGAGCCCTGTGATGGGCTCCACAAAAAATCTAGGCTTAAATAATGGTTATATAGTGATGTATGCCAAACTAATCCATTTTCTATTTATTTTTTACAGCTTATAAATTTTATAAAAAATCAGACAGCAAAAGCTCGAGAAGCCTTTTTAGATTTTCGCTACTGCACTTGCCAGCCCTGATGCTATTATTTTTGGCAAATAAAAAGAATTGGTTTTTCAACAAGTCTGTGGAAGAGGAAACAAAAGATTCAAACGTTATGGTATTGAAGCCATCAAAAACAGCAACAAGCCTTGGAAATGTTTTACCTGTCGCTGTGGCTGAAGGACCTAGATAATTTTACAGAATTTCTGTATTATAGACATTGTAAAAACTTAATTTATAATTAAATATAATTTAAACTAGTCCTTTGATATTTAAAAACTATCTATTATTCTGGGCTCTTCTGGGAATAAGCGTACAATTTGGGTGGAGCACTACGATTTTAGGCAAATACATAACATTTTCTCTACAAATGCCATCTACATCTATGTCTGCTTACATTTCCGGTGGAACTCTCGAAAAATTTGACAGATGTGAAACACTGAATAACACTGGCACCATTCAGCATCAAAGAACAAAAAAGTGTATAAAATAACGATTTGTCCCCAAAATTACCATTTTGCTAATTGTCTTTATTCTATATTAACACAGTTTTGAAAAAGGTAATACTGTTTTCGATGTAAATAAATTGAGTTAGTCAAAATTTAATGAATCCAATATTTCCTCGTTCGTTGTTTTAGAAATTAAGTTGATCCTATTTCACTGTTCCAAATTGTATCCTACTTTGGGATGTTAGCTTGGCTGTGATATTCGTGTTTTGATGGCTTGGACACAACAAAAGATGCAAAAGTATTTCCTACTTCAAAGGTGTTATTTTGCAGACAAAGCTTAAAACAAATAAACTAAATGGAATCCCAAAATAATAAAATGGCTGTCACGGAGGAAGCCTTTCCATCAGTAAGATACATAGTTTGCTTTGTAAGGTTTTAACTTTTGGATGCGAACAACGATAATAGTTAACTGCGCATTTTGCTAGTGTTGTTCTTTTGGTCAAAACATTTTGCTTGGATTCAGCAAAAGCTCTTGAAATTTATATTTCTAGTAATTTTTAGGAGATATTAGTTGTTTAAGTTTGTCTTGTTTGCACTTCTTGACGAGAAAGTAAAAAATAAAGAAAGTGGTTGTTATACATATGTACAATGTACATGTGTATGTTAAGATTGTTTTTATTTGTATTTTGAAAATAGGCAGTATATAATTTTACCCCAAGGTTGATTAGAGTATGTACATAGATGGCAATATTTAGGAATTTTGTGTTCTGAGCCAATCTGAGCAAAGCCTCACTTGGCTGGCGAAGCATCCATCCTCAACTTACTTGATATGCAAATTCATTAAAATACAATTATTAACAGGTTCGCAAAGAATGTGGAAAGAGAGGACGGAAGCCTGGAAGAAAAACATCGTCCGAGAAAATAGACATAAAGGCAAAACTTGGTAAGATAAATGTAAATTAATTCGAATAATTGGTTTACACTTTCACAAAAATGTTTTTTAGAACGTAGTAGGCAAAGTGCAAGGGAATGCCGGGCCCGCAAAAAACTACGCTATCAGTACCTTGAGGAGTTAGTTGCAGATCGTGAAAAAGCAGTCGTTGCACTGCGGGCTGAACTGGAACGCGTTGGTATATATATTACAATGTCAAGTTAAACTTATTTATTGGGTCTTTTTTGCTTACAGTACATACTATGGAGTAGACAATTAAATGAAAATCTCTCTACAACCAACACAGACCAGTTCCTGAAAGAAATCGGAATTATTAAACAAGAATAAGTCATGTAACTCTATAACTATTCCTATACAAACATATGTTTCTGTCTAAGTTTAATTAACAGTTCCCCCTGGTAATGTTTTGTCAAATTGGTCATATATGTATATGTCGTTAAAGAAATCAGCTCTTACAACATGAGCTTCGGTAAATATGTACATCTAAACAGCACTGGAAATAAGAATTTAAAAAAATCATGTAAACTATCTGCATATACATACGTACCTGTAAGCACCATAAATGATACAAATAAAAACGAGAGGAAACGCTGAAGTTTCCGCGAATCTACTTTCATATTTTCCTGCTCTCTTACACCAACACGCCGTTCCAGAGCCATCTGTGAGCAGAACAATCAGGTGGACTGGAAACAGCTGTTCATATCCAGCCGTAGTCACGCGGTGGAACGATGCCTGAGTGCACAAAATCTTTCGCATATTCTAAAATTCTACGGAATCAAAAGTGCACCTTAAATTAATCATAAAGCCGGCGAGCGACCGACACAGAATGTTCCAGTCCATTTAAGCAGAAAGCCCAACAAACTAACCATATACATATAAACAAATATGCACATGCATATGTTTATTGAATAAATATTATTCGCATTAATTATAGCTGGTTATTTTATGTACGTAAATGTAGTATATTGATTTACAAATATAATTCAAAGTCTATTCTATTGCTGGAATAGAAGTTGGATTTTTCGCCACATTTTCTAGCATATACTCCACTTTTGAAATATTTTTCTTTAGACCATTTTAACATTTTCTCAGTGGTAAAAGGGCCTTGAATTTCATCCGTGTTTTGGGTCCACTTAAACTCCCACATAACTTCAGACGAATCGGCCACAGTTTGAATTGATGTGGTACGCGCTTTCACACGTTGAGACTCTTTCACATCGAAATCATCAGCATACATGTCGACCTCACCTTCAACTGCAGCTTTGCTCGTACCAGGCAAACCGGTGAGCTTTAACTCAATGCTTTTCGTAGTTTCCTCGTATACATTCATGTTGCCAGTTTTTAAAAGTACTTCATTAGCAAGCTCAGTTAGCTTCAAGATATCTTTCGCTCTGGGATCAACAATACCAGCTTTCTTTTGTCTTATTTTTTCTAAAGTTGATACCGCTGGTCGTTGATTTCCCAATCTTTTCAAAGCTTGCTGAACACTTTCCCCCTCTTTTAAATATTCCAACATTTGTCTTAGAGTCGATGCCAAGTTGAAGGGATTCCCTGGGGCTGCCATAGAATTATCCGACGAATTTAAGCCCTGCTCGTCATTTTTTGAGTCACCTTTTTCTATCTATTAAATAAAATGATTGAAATATTAACAAATAATTAATTTAATAGTGTCGTCCGTACCTTAACCCAATCGATGTTATCCAACCAATTATCTTTTATTTCCGTCTCATTATTCCAATGGTAGTGGCCATCTTTATCAAAATGACCTTCTTCCAACTCCTCTCGCATATTAAAAGGTGTCACCTTTACATTGTCTTCTACTTTTGGGATTCCATCTTCGCCACCTTCAATGTCACTATCATTCATATATTCACTGCAAGATAACAGATTGTAAAAAAAATAAATAAACAATAATATTTACAATATATGCCTACCGTTCGTAGTGGTCAGAATCTTCTTCATCCGAATCAAGGGTATGTTTTTTACTCGTTCTTTCATTATCGCTATGTAAACGTTTTCTCCGTGCTGCCATTATGTGTTTTAAAAAACCAATTATTTATAAGTTATTTTTATACAAAAAAAATGTGACCGCATGCACAAAATTAAAATTCGTACTCCGAATGATTGTTGAATTGGAACGGAGAGAATGAATTGATTGTATGGCGTATCAAATCACTTACCATACAGTTTATAGATGTTTCTCAAATTGTAAACATATTTTGAAAATGCCGTCGGTTCTGTTCTCGACTTAGTATGCATTTTAATTTGTCATCTAATTCTTGTCTGTGTCTTTTTCAAGATATCTGTGAACTACGTGTGTGTAAGGGGGCCCAGCTGCACCGTTGAACAAATAATGCAACTCTCATGAGAAATAGTGTAGTACAAAGAACAGGAGAACGAATCGAACAAGTTACGTGACTCTCAATCCCTAGCGGTACGAAAAGAACAGAGACATTAGCTTGTTATCTTTTTTGAAGATGAATTTATTATTTCATTATTATTTTATATATGAAAAATGAGGGTAGCCAAACGAGCGATGCGAATTTGAAGGACTTGCCCCCCCTAGCGAATATGTATATACCACAGACATACTTAATGCGAGATGTGCTCTCTGTAGTAGAGCTCTGATTTATTATTGTTCTTAGTTCTATGTTCCAGAAAAATGCAAACTCAAAAAGTTATGTTAAGCTGGAATAGCTATCGAATTGACACCATATCTATCGATATTATTTTTGTTTATATTTAAAAAGGCGCGTATTAGTTTACTATTTTTGTTTAAAATTTTTCCTTGAAATGAGTGATAACAACGGACCTGCTTTGCGCAAGCCATGGTATGGAATCTTTTAAATGAATTCAAGCATACTAATGTTCTATTTTTAGGGTTGAGAAATATCGTCCATATTCATTAGATGAACTAATATCTCATGACGAAATCATTTCAACAAGTAAGTTTAAGAAACAAAATATGGATATGGATAAACAAAATAAATGATTGATTTAATTTTAGTTAGTCGCTTTATAAAACAAAAGCAGCTTCCTCACCTACTTTTCTATGGGCCACCTGGCACTGGAAAAACTAGCACAATATTGGCATGTGCCCGGCAACTTTACTCGCCGGCGCTGTTCAAGTCCATGGTACTAGAGCTCAATGCCTCCGATGATCGTGGTATAGGAATTGTACGTGGCCAAATTCTTAACTTTGCATCTACCCGAACCATTTTCTGCGATACTTTCAAACTAATTATATTGGATGAAGCCGACGCCATGACCAACGACGCCCAAAATGCTTTGCGACGTATCATTGAAAAGTACACAGACAACGTTCGCTTTTGTATAATATGCAATTATCTAAGCAAAATAATCCCAGCCCTACAATCGCGTTGCACTCGTTTTCGCTTTGCGCCGCTGTCTCCTGATAAAATGATACCTAGGCTGGAACAAATTGTTCAGTCAGAAGAGTAAGTTTTACATTAAAACAAAAAAAAACAAATGTTTATAATGAATTTTACTTGCAATAGGATACAGATTACTGAGAATGGAAAAAAGGCACTGTTAACTCTTTCGAAAGGCGATATGCGAAAAGTTCTGAACGTTTTACAGAGCACTGCTATGGCATTTGATATTGTGAACGAGGATAATGTGTACATGTGTGTTGGATATCCCCTACGACAAGATATTGAAAACATACTGAAGGCCTTGCTTTCAGGTCAAAGTTTTCAGGATTCATTTCAAAGTATGTATAAATATTTAAATGTATGTTGAGTATACAAATGTTAATAAAAGAAAATACTTATTCACGCAGATGTGGACGGTGCCAAGTGCGCTAGAGGACTAGCGCTCGAAGACATAATTACGGAGTTGCATTTAATTGTGATGAGACGTAAGTGTTGAAAATACATGAAGTTTGCTTTGATTAATTATATTCTTTGTAAAACAGTTGAATTTCCGGTTTCGATTATGAATGAATTGATTGTCAAGCTTGCACACATCGAAGAACGTTTAGCAAAGGGATGCACTGATGTTGCAAATACGGCAGCGTTGGTTTCCGCTTTTTTTATATGCAGGGACATGGTTTCATTGCATAAGGAATCAACATGAAAGGTTACATCATACAATTGCATATGTTTTTATACAAATAAAATGTTTTCATACAATCTAATTCGAATAGTTTTAACTTCGCATGTCCCACCAGCAGTCCTTCTTAAATTCTTAAAGCTACCCTAATTCTCGCCAAAAATTCACTTATCAGATCATTACTTCAGCAACAGATGCTTCTTAAACACGTGATGAAACAATGCCTAGCAAGGACGGCTGGTTCAAAATAGGCAGAACGGTAGCACTAACCAATAGTATATTATTTGGTTAGTGACGGAAGATACCAGAGACCAACACGAACGGCCACACTGCCAGCTGATCAAAGCAACGCGTTGGTATCAAATCCAAGTGATATCTAGCTGATATTTTGCAATAAAAGGAGCAACGCCTGAGCCTCAGAACCATTCCATTCCTGGACTGCCACGGGTCTATAGTCTTACCTATATTATCAGCTGTCACGCCAAGAAGTCAAACTAATTTCTGTGAACCCCGGCTTGGAAACCATATTTAGTTCAAAGGGCCGTCACAGAACATGGAGAACATAGAGTACATGGATGGTTTTCGGGGAGTCCGAAATTAGAAATTAGCATATTTAAAAAAAATACTGAACACCTTTTCTGCTAGATTATGTATAATCCGATATCGATAGCAGACACGCACAGTTTGAAAAGGCTATTAATTTGACCGTTCTACCGCTTGCAATGCGTACAAACGTCAAATTCTACGCCAGAGAATTGCACATATGTGGAATACATTTAAATTTGCTTTATGCTGAATTTTTGCTAATCAGAACCGAGAGTACCCCTATTAGAACACTTTGACATCTCCAAAAAACATTTCGATTATAACATCTCAATTACTGCATACGGTAGTATTAACATCAATAAAAACAGATGTTCACTATTATGTGGAATAATTGAATTAAAAGTTTTACCACCAGTCACCACTAAGTTAATGGACAATAAATTGTGTTGGCTTGCAATAAATATCTGTTCAACGTTCTAAAATAGTGCATTGGGAAACTTGATTGTTCAGTAAATAGCTGTAATCCAGCATAATCTGCCAGCATGACGACCAAGCATATGTATTCTACGACAAATTTATCTGATCTTCAATTGAAAGAACAAGGAAACTGTTTATTTGCAGCTCGCAAATACGACGACGCAATTAATTGTTATTCGAAAGCTATTGTAAGTATACTTACATACATATGTGCATATGTATTTACATATGTCTGTACATACATAAATGAGTATTATTCGGCCCCAGACTTGGCGCATAAGCTTATGAGATTGAAGTGTTCGAACTCATAAAGAAAGACATAACTACAAGTTTAATCTTTATTGGGAATGTGTAGACACATGTCAGTCCGGTGCGCAAAGACATTCTTATAAGAGCTTTTACATACCTACATACATTTGTATGCATGCAGTCGTCAGTACGTAAACCTTTTTGAATGGTCCAATAAGTTAAGTATTGGTAACCTCCTCGCAGAAGGTATTCTGATTGTAAAAACTGTGAATCAAAATCTGCTAATGCAGAAGCTGTTTTTAATGGCTTTCCCAATCTTTCTAACCGCAAACAACGTCTTATGTTTATTAATGTGTTGTCAGATATCGTTTTTGTTTCATCAGGAGTGCCATTTAATTTATAAATGACCTACCTCAAGTGAATGCATATTATTACATTCTTCGTTAATGTACTGATGTTAAACTGATGATGTTAAAATCTGTCTGCCCTACTGTAATTGGTACTTGCATACACTCCTTCAACTGGACCTAAATAAATTACTAATGTTGTTTTCATTTGCTGATCGCTTAGATCCCAAATATTAATAAGAACTAGGACACCAAATTTGTATACACAGACTCCTGGGATACATTAACAATTATAATTCTAGCTAAACTTTGAATTTGTTGGCTTCAACTTTTTTTTTGTTTAACTCGTGCAGGATATTAAATAATGGATTTAATTTTTTTTAAAGATAAAAAACCCTACAAATGCTACTTTCTTCACAAATCGTGCGCTTTGCAATCTTAAGCTAAAACGGTGGGAGCTGTGCTGTCAAGATTGTCGACGAGCTTTGGATATCGACGCAAACTTGCTAAAAGGGCACTTTTTTTTGGGGCAAGGCCTTATTGAGATAGACAGCTATGACGAAGCAATAAAGCATCTGCAACGCGGTTAGTAGTAATTAATTAATCAGTTATATTTCTACAAAGAGAATTTTTTTTTAGCTTATGATTTGTCAAAGGAACAAAGACAAAACTTTGGTGATGATATAACATTGCAATTAAGACTTGCACGAAAAAAACGCTGGAATATCGTGGAAGAAAAACGAATTCAAGAAGAGATTGAACTTCAAAGTTATTTAAACCGGTATGGATTAAACTTTAAAGCTTTCCCAAAGTATTGAGATAGCATCCACTTGGTTGCTCTCAAAAACATAGATTATTCTTTAAACAATTGTTTATTACATAATTATTTTTTTCAGATTAATTAAGGATGACATGGAAAATCGTTTATCCAATTTAAAACTAAACGAAAACTTGCACGAAGAGCAGCTAAAAGAGAAACAACAAGAAATTGAACAAGAGTGTGTAAGTAACAGATAACATTACTACACATGTTTAGGTTCTAATTATTTTTCTTATTATGATTCCCTCCTCCATATAAAATCCCTTCATTTTATTAAATCACTAATACTAATATAGTCTTTTATAATTATTGTTACAGAAACAGATTTATTAAATAAAATACTTAACCAATTTTTATTATTTCAGGATGACCATATAAAAGAGCTCAACAATATCTACTCCAAAGTTGATGAACGTCGAAGGGTATGTCACGTAGCGAATTTAGTATACATACAAATTACGATATTAACCGGTACTAAGTGTCTGTAGACACATGAACAATCAGCCACTTAATCTAAGGCTAAGGCTAAATACTAGGGGAACTCTGTGCTATCAATTTTTATAGAAAAGATCTTAGTAGAGCTTAAAAAAAAAAAAATGTTGATAAAAATGAAAAAATGCTAAAAGAAATGATTATTCTTTGTTAGGCGGAATATTATCCGGCCGCCCTCGTGAGTAGTGACCGGTTTAAACACATCTCACAACGTTTCTTCTCGTTTTGAATATGGGTTTCGGCTTTCAATCCTGTTTGATAATTGCCTACCACCAAACAGATGTTGTTTTAATGAAAAGTGGGAAAAACGTTTTAACTCACATACATTTCTCATTTTTTAACTTTTCCTGGGTTTTTAAAGTAAAAAAATAAAAAATTCTTAAAAAAAAGTTCTGTCATTGAAAACAAAAATATGTATCAGACAATTTCTAGTGTAATTTTACGGAAATTATTCAAATTCTTTATAATTATCGCATGCATTCTCAATGCAATGCAATTTTTAAATAAAAGTTGTTCAGTTTTAGTTTCAGATAGGACTGGTCTTCAACCAAAACAGACTCCACGATTGTGAACTTTTCTAGTTTGTTCTTGATTTATTTGTTTATTTCTTGTTTTTCAGAAACGTGATGTTCCAGATTTTCTATGTGGGAAAATAAGTTTCGAAATACTAACGGATCCTGTGATAACTCCATCGGGGATTACATACGAGCGTAAAGACATTGAAGAGCATTTGCAGCGAGTTGGACACTTTGATCCTGTTACACGAGTAAAACTGACTCAGGATCAGTTAATACCAAATTTTTCAATGAAAGAAGTTGTCGACTCTTTTATTGCTGAGAACGAATGGTCATTAGATTATTGATTATTAATGTAATAGCTAATAATATAGCTAATAATATAATAATATTATAAATGTGTCAAGATATTGAATTTTTTATTAAGATAATAAAAAACCGATAACTATCTGTTGCGCTTTTATTTTCCTTGTTCGTAACAAATACCCACAAAAATTAAAATGCATACGGAAACGTTCCTCTTCGTTTTTCCCGCAACAAGTGGGCAAACAAGTCTGTCTCTAGCTGAAAGGTTTTTCCATTGCATAAAATGCAATTGAGAACCGGGCATGTTCCATAACAGTTTCTAACTCTACACTTGTTGCTTCTTAACGATTCACATCTGGCCTAGGTATGTATGTCCAAGTCTTTCACAGCTAAAGCATTGGCGCAATCTTTGAATATACTAGTGTACCCACAGCAGTGGAACACCTTTAATTATTCCACAAGACTACATAATTCCTCGGTATAAATGCGACTATATTAATTTTTATCAAATCTTCAGTTTTCAGCTGAGTTTCGAATGATTAAAACTTGAGTAAAAATAGGAGAAAGCGAAACAATTTATTTTATACCGGCACGCATCACTATTTCTCCTTTCGTACCATTTATCGATACCACCCGAGCTATACTAGCTAGTTTGTGTGTTAGTACCACAAAATTAACAGTATTTATAGTGTGCCCATTTCGCTTAGTATTCTTATTCTAATTCTTTGAAGGTATGCTGAGGTTTCAATTAACTGTTTCTAATTAAAGAAGCCTGTTTACATATACAAACATGACATATGTATTTATGTAGTTTGTAAATTTAAAAACAAATAACAATTGTTTGTCTAAAAGGCACAATTGGTCATTTTGGTTTTAGAAAGTATGGACTCGTTTACAATCGACAGCGAAGAGGCTGTTCGGATTATGTGCTTACAAGAACTAATTGAAAAAAATATAGAGATTGGTAAGTAGACATTGAATGTTGAATGTAATTATGTTTGTTTAATTAATGAACTCAATTTGTTTAATCAGAGCAACAGATTGAAAATAAAAATTTCGACGCTTCAATATTGGCTATAGAAACTATTATTAGGCAATCAAACGAAATAGCAAAGGGACAAGAAGAACGTCGTACAAATCCCACAGAGCTTGTACTAGACACTGAGTTGCTAAGGCGCAATCATGAAGTGGTTGGAAAGGCTATACAATATAACACAAACTTTACAGATCAAATGATCCTCACAGCTATTGTAAGTAGAAAAGCATTCCCAATTATATGATAGACACAAAATAACCTGTAATTTGTATAAGACTAATATAGTTTTCAAAGACAACGATGAAAATTGGGACTCTCTTTGCACTGAAGTTATTAAATATGGAATGCCGCTCTACACGAATGACAGCATGATAGCTTTCATAGATGTGGCACCGAAACTTCACATTCAAAAGAAATGTGCTCAACGCAAAAGAAAAACTTTGGTAAGTGCATACATATGTATATATTTACGTATGTACATATGTAATTTTGTACGTCAAAGTAGTATATACAATTTGTCAGGAGTTTAAGTCTGATCAATACCTAAATCGGGCCATTATCTAATTTGTACTTATGTAGATATTTAGATGTATTTGGCCTAACAAAGTAATCTTTAATTTTTGCAGGTTGAAGAGAAGCGACCAAAAAGAAGTGACAAGCTGCTGCGCAAGGAAGAGGGCTCAGCATCGGTCAGCAATACGTTGAAACAAATCAGACAAATTTACAGATCTGGTAACGACCAGCCCATACCGTATTTCAAATTAATTTGTCACCCTACAAATTTTATGGACTCTGTTCAGAATTCATTGAATGTTTCATTCCTTGTTCAAGAAAATATGGTTCATATTGAGCCAGGAAATGATAATTTACCACAGATTCGGTGCGCTGCAAACCCCAGAACATTATCTACAAACGGGTCTTCTGCTCAGGCAATTTGTACCATTGATGTCGACTTCTGTCAGGTATGGTAGCAAAAAATGCTAACGAAGTTTTAATATTAATTTTAATTATTTCACAGAAAATGGTTAAGCATTACAACATACAAGAACCAATGCTGAAAAGACTGGAAAAACACGATAGTTTGTCATAACAAATCAACACACATAGATCTCATTTCAAAAACAAAATATGTTTTTTTTTTTTACATCAGAATTAAATTGGAAATTAAAGATTAATAATATTAACACAACTCAACAAAACGAAACTTTTTATTTATACATAATTAGATGAACGATTTTGGGCTTTACATTTTTATAAAGATTTTTTTTCTGTGCCAGAACTTTACTTTTAATTATTTTTGAAATAAAATATTTTTTTTTATACCCGGTACTTGAAGATCTAATAGGGCTATTGATTCTGATCAAGAATATACATACTTAATGGGGTCGGAAACGTTTCCTTCTGTTCGTTACATACATTCACTTTGTGCACAATATTGTATTTGTCCGTCCTCTTCGTGAACTGGATCAGGTGTTTCTTCCGTTTAATCCAGAGCGAATTCTTTGTTGTAGCCTTGTAGCTCTGACTTGGGTGGCCGATTTTGAAACGAACTATTATTGTCCGTCTAAATCAGCGAGGCTAGCTCGCGGACGTTTTGTCGTTCTCTGTACTGCTGGCGTGACTTGGACACTCGCTTTTGCTCGCACACTTTGGCTGTCAGTTCTGCTGTCGCTGGGCTCTTCCTATACCCTTGCTCGCTTCAATGCCTAACAACAGCGGGACCGCGCTGGTGGCGTGATCTCATGATCCTACATGGTCATGCGATGGAGCACTGATGGCCCGATCGCGCCGGTCCCAAACGTTCCCGCAAAAACGTTAATTTAGGAATTTGGCCTAGTTCGGTTCCTTATCTGACATCCTTGGCCCCACAGCAATAATTTATAAACAAAAATCAAGTGGTTGTAGCCAGTGGTAAGGCTATGGATAAAGCTTTATAAATTTTGCATTTAGAAATACTGATTGAGTCCGAGCTTAAAAGTTGTGTCTCTCACGAAAGCGTCTCACAGCGTTCCTCTTCTTTAGACTATGTATTCTAATTAAACTCACACATGGGTTTTTGACGTAAACAATTCGAATATTCTTTAAGGGGCATTGCATGAATTGGAATGAAATCTTTATATTTCCCTTTATTAAATGAAAGTAAAACATTTTCGAAATTGCGTGTACGTATAAATTTGTAAAAATTAACAGTGTTCTTACTCATCTTTTTACATTTTTACATTGGCTCACCACACATAAGTAAATAATTGGATAAGTGTTCGAGTTTTCTTCGAATTTTCTTCGATTAAAAATAAATTTTAAGCATATATAAGAATGGTATTTAACAAAGCCAAGGATGAGTATGTATGTATATATTTAATGTACTAATACTAATGTATACATATAGATTTTATTATTACTTACTATTACTTACTTACCTAAAACCACATTTGGTGATTTGAAATGTGTTTCTATTTTTAGAAAAGATGAACTAGTTGAAACATTTTAAACACATGTGTCATTTTCTGAAATGCAATGAATATTTGTGAACCTTCGGATTGTCCGAATTTTATTCTTAAGTCAAATGATTATAAATATTTACATATCTAATAGCATACAAAAAATCGACCTTATAATGCATCATTCGAAAAAACCTATTTTTCTAGCTTATAAAAGTCGAGATCCAACCAGTTTCAGTTTCGTAAATAAATTAAATAATAATTCTCACCGAAGACCTCAAGCTTAAGTTCGTTTTAAAAGTACACTTATTTTTTTGTCGGGTATGTGTAGAATTTCGGGCGGCAACGATTTTTGGTGTTCATATGTGTACATACACATGTATGCAATTATTTACATCCACATGCATCTTTTTGTATGCAATGCCTATGTGTACGCATGTATATGTTCATACATAGAGACATATTTGTTCATACATAAATATAAATGGGTAGGCAAGGCCCGACAATCGTTCGTTTGGTTTCAACTGGTGGGTGCGGGTGGTGGGAGGCAACATGATGGCTACTATGGTACTATGAGCTAAGCCCTGTATTTTTAAATGGCTTTTGTTTGAATTCAACCGCTTGAGTTACGATGAATCTTATATTGAGGCTGATGGCTTTGTTTTCACCACTTCGTTCTAAAACCATTTGTACAAAATTTCAGTTCGGATTTGCGAAGCACGCGGCGTTTACGGTGGTTTTAAGGGAAAGGCTTGAATTCAAATGGATAATGGAAATAAAATTAGAATAAAGTGTAGCAAAAAATAAAAATAATTTCCATATTAATAAATATTCGTACGTAATTAAAAAACAAAACCATTTCTTCATCGTTTAAAACTTAAATTATGTTATTCATATGTTGAATTTATAAACGATAATATCGGTTCCATCCAATCCAAAGTTTTGCTCATATGTTATCAGAATATTAAAAAAAGCTTAACCTAGAGTATTTGAATTTCCGTTACCTTTATTAAACCCGATTCTCAAAGCGTGGAGCTATTCTTTTTTTTTTGTGTAGTTGTGTGTAACACCCAGAAGGAAGTGCTTTCGACCTCGTAACGTATATATTCTTGATTAGAAACCCCTACCGTCCAGAGAAATCTGAGGCATCCACAATATTGAAGGTACAGGATTATATATTCTTACTCAGCACCATAAGCCGAGCCAATTCAGGCGTGTCTTTCCGTCTATCCGTCGATCATCCGTCTTGAGGTGCGCCATAAGAGCTAGACCAACTAAATTTTGAATACATGTGTGTTCCAAAGTTTCAACCCGCCCCTCTCCCACCAACGCAACAAGCTAACAACTGTGGGATCCACAATTTTAAAGATGAAAGAAACCAAAAAACGCAGTTCCCTAGAGAATGTCTATATCTATCAGATTCCCGACTTAGATTCAAATTGAATCATTATTACAGCCAGAATAACGAAATTAATTTGCAGTGGATATCTCCTACCCACTCCAGAACCAAGTCAACATGCTTATTCTCTCTCTCGCTCGCACACTCAGCCTCATGAAGTGTGTGGCAATGGCGAAAAAGAACGAGCTTAAAGGGCGTGTTAGTTTTATAAGTGATGTGGATGTAGATGACAGATGTATCCAAAAATGTAAAATGTAAAACACATACATACTTGACGACAAATTTTCTTCGAAAATAAGTCTGCGACTTACCGATTGGGAAATTTTAAATAAATTATATTATCTCTACTCGCATTCTATTCCGTTTTTTCAGAAATACAAAATGAAATATCTATTTGTTATATGCAGGTAAGCAATAAGTAAAACATATTAATTTTATTCTACTATTTTTATACTCGGTACTCGAAGATTAAATAGGGTATATTGTATTTGTGCGCAAAGTGAATGTATGTAACACACAGAAGGAAACGTTTCCGATCCCATAAAGTATATATATTCTTGATCAGCATCAATAGCCGAGTCGATTGAGCCGTGTCTGTCTGTCCGTCCGTCTTGTTGAGCGCCTGGATCTCAGAGACCATAAAAGCTAGATCCATAAAAGCTGCTTCTGCTTCACTCGGCTCCTGCCTCTGCCGACTTTTAACCCACCCCGTCACGCAGCTTATATTTGCTTTTTTTGTGTGCGGGCGCTGCCTCTGTCTCTGCCTCGAGTCTGCAGTGTGTGGGTCTAGAGAAGGGCGGCGAGCTAACTTAGCGTGTTGGTGTGAGAAGTGTTGTAGATGTAGATGACAGATGAAGAAAAAATGTAAAATTTGACAAAACACCGCTAAGGTACAGATGTAGTACTGAGTGCCGGGTATAAAAGTTGTGACGCGTAAGAAGCGTCTCACACGTCCCTTCTCGTTGTAAGATGTTTTAACGCACAAGAAAATTCCTGAAAAGTTGACGAAAAATGTCATACTCATGCAAGTTCCAGCTTTCCCTTTTTCCTGCGTGTTACGTTTTTAAACGAAACTATTCATTTTCGTTCAAGTTTTTGATGTGCTTTATTTGCTCGTGTACTGCTGATAGCAGACTTCCTGATTCAGATGGACAAAAACAGACAGGAAAACACAAGTGGATAAAGTAATTTTCGAGGGTGGACAAGGAAAAATTATATATTTCTGTATGCAATGCATAGAATGCATGCAATCAAGCCCCAAAACATCCAACGTTTGTAAATCTTATAAAAGGAATGTACTTTAAGAAATAAAATTAGTTATAATTTATAAATCAACCATAACTCAACTTTTCTTGTCATTAGAGCAAATTTGTAAAGTGGAATAAACATAAATAAATATATTTTAAAGATTGGTTTAATTTTTTTCAGTATTTGTATTGTCGGTGCTTATATTGCTGGCACTGATTGCTTACAGACGAAAATATCCACCATAGAACGAATAAAGGCAAGTAATTGAATAAAGCAAGAATAGTAGCTCTAAATATAAAGCGAGCGGTAGAAAGGTCAACATAAAACGGACTTTCAAAATTAGTTTAACATTATTCGCTTTCTATTTAACCATCTATTTAATTTTTATTTTTAAATTTAAATTATTATTTACTTTTTTTTAAACTTATTTTACTGACTTATTTAACATTTATTTAAATCCCATTTAGGGCCTTCAGATAAATCTTAAGTTGAAAATTATAAAGAAGAGGAACGTTGTAAGACTGGTAATGCAGTGTCAGAACTTTTGTACCCGGTACTGCTAACAGTGCGAACGACTGTCCCATTAGACGTCAGAGAAATGCCCATACTGACAGTACGGGGTAGAAAAATACCAACTGCGTCTCACAGCGTTCCACCTCGTTTTCTCTATATGTATGCATACATAAGTATAGTATGCATTCTATTACAATTTAAATTGTCTTTCACATTTTAGAAACATCAAGAATGGTTGAAACGGCATTGTAAACCAAAGTCCTACAAAATCCAACCAAACCGGACACAATTATCTGAGCTTTCCAACTTGTGGCGCCAAAAAAAAGGGAACAAAAAACTACAATATATACAAAATGAAACTACATCTAAACATTCCAATAAAACAAATCTAGTTATGCTAAGGCCGTTGGATATATTAGGCAACGAAAGTCATTACGAAATCGTATCATCTAAACTAGCGAATATAACAAAAGCATCCACATTTCGTCCTTTAAAAGTAATAGAAGAGGGTACTATAGATCCAATAGAATCCACTACAAACATTGTAAATCTAGCCATTACTCAAAAGTCAATCAATTTTGCAAACATTTCGGATAGGAAAAGATTGGAAATCAAAGTCCGTACATATCCACGATGGGATAATTGGAGTAACTGGAGTGAATGTTCAAGAAGTTGTGGTGGAGGTGTTATGCATCAAACACGAAAATGCATAGGACGGTAAGCTTAAATGACGACCCAATAAAATATATACACTCTTGATCAGCATCAACAGCCGAACCGCCCCTTTCCGACCCAACCAAGAACGAATATTTGGGACGAATCCGAACGCGTCTCACAGCGTTCCTCATTTGAATTTCACTCATATCCACTTAATACTTAATATTTATACTTTCGTTTCAGAAAATCGTTGACAGGAACTCAATTTATAAGTGATGCCTGTTTCGGCTACTTTAAACGCTATCAGCTATGCAATGATATACCATGCCCAGCGAAGTCTAAAGGCTTTCGCGCTATTCAATGTGAAGCGTACAATGGCATACTGTTTGAGGGCCATCGATATAGCTGGCAACCTTATATAAAGGGTATGTGTCGGGTTGCCCAACCAGAGATTTAGTCGAAAAACGGCAGCGGCCGTTCTTTCGTTTATCCCGCTCTGCTCTCGCGCTCTATCTGCTTTAACGCACGCCTGCAATTTGGTGTGAGAAATTATGGACAGAGTTGACAGATGTAGAAACGATATAAAATTCGAAAAAAAATCATAAAGAACATGCATACGCATGTACATATATATATCTGTGTACTGTCTAAGTACCGGTACAAAAAATCGGAGTCTCACAACGTTCCTCCTCGTTACTCTTCGTGTACCGGGTATAAGCCGTAAAGCCAGCCTAAATAAGAATTCTCTATGTGTGTCTTCGTTTGTCTGCTTGCTGGCCGGTATAAATCTCAGTCTTATAGGACTATAAAGTCTCATTCAATAGCAAATCACATTTCGTACTGCTGATAATAGTTTAGTAATAGTAATAATAGTTCCCTATTCATTAAAACTTTTGCTTCAGATGACGCTGAGTGTGAACTAAACTGCATGCCATCGGGATTAAAATACTATGCAACTTTGAGCGAATCTGTTATTAATGGGACACCTTGTAAACGGTCAGCGGAATATTATCGCCTAAATGTATTGGGACGAGCATTGTGCGTTGACGGTGTCTGCAAGGTTAGTCTACACATTTAATTATTTTGCAGGAAATCATCTTTACGGCTTCCATGTGCTTAATCAATATGTCTAAAGTATTTATGTGTATTTTAAAATTATTAAATGTAAAAATTCGAAAAATAATAAGGGGACATGAATTTATATATGTACGTATATATGTATTTATAATATGAGGTGGGAAACGACTTCTTCTGTGCATTACGCATATTTCTTCGACCACAAATCCTACATATCTTATTATATAGATATAGCCAATAACACTTTGAGAACCGGGTATAATGCAATTTATTATGAGCTTATCTTAAAATTTTAAAGCAGAAGAAACACAAGACATAGGCAGAAACTTCCTCAAACAACTGAATTGAAGGGAATCTAAATTATAGCTCACGAGGTAAGTTTTTAATTGTGGTAAATTGATTTTTTCAATAAATTTCCGTAACATGTTTGTTGTGCGTCATAGAATGGAAAACGTTCTAAATTAATTTAAAAAATTGGAGATTATCTTTATACCTAAACCTCAGAGGGCATGTTCATTTAGTACTAATGTATGTAACAGACTGAAGAAAGCTCTTCCAAATTCTTTTTAAAGTATACATATGTATGTAAAGTATAGCCGATTTGATATTTCCATGTCCTTCTATCCGTGTTTAGTATTCAACACCAACATGTTTCCGCCGCCAAAATGAATAAAAACTATAATTTTTTGCCAATGCATATTTGCCTATGTCTATACGTGTGTGCCAAACTACTGTACTATTTTTATACACGGTACTTGAAGAGTAAATAGGGTATATTGTACATATTTGTGGTCGGAGCAATGTGAATAACGCACAGAAAGAAACGTGTTCTATCCCATAAAGAGTGTATAGAACATCAGCATCAAGATGAGTCGATATAGCCATTCCTGTTTGTACGTCTCTCCGTCTTGTTTGACGCCTCTTTCACAGAGTGTGATATCAAACTCAATCAAGCTTCGAAAATCGAAATCAAATTATATACAACAAATAAATAAGTTTTATTATAAGATGAAACATATAGAAAGAGAGTAGAGGGTATTTTATTGTCGAGTCACGCAGGAATCGAATATACCATTCCGATGGGTCTACTATGCCTTTGTTACTAAAACTTTTCTAAATATATAAATCATTTCACAAAATTAGTATTCGTTTCGGAGTGAAATGCAACAAACGTACAATTCCAGGAGATCGGGAATGTGAAAAAAACGAATATTTGTAAATAAGAAAAGTCCAACTAACCTAAACAAATGTTGAACTACTCACATACAAATTCTAGGAAATAGTGTTTTTTTGCTTTTTATGTTGTGCGCAGATACCTGTGACATCACACTGTATTAAGTTAGCTTCAAAATTTGTAAACTCCACTAACGACCCCTCAAGAAGAGACCTTCGTGTCATCCACAATTTTAAAGAACATTTTCTACATATGTATAAATAAGGACAAATAAAATCTACTATATCGTAGTCATCTGTTCCGATATCAATTATAGTTTTACGTAAATTATATGGCTGTAAATCGGGTATACAGAGTAGTGGCATTGCCCGATCATCGAGCTTTCAAGCATCAACTGAAGGAAAAAGTATTCAAATTCACAAACTTGATTTCTATAATCTTTATATTAGGATTGAGTTTGGAAAGCCAATTTTTTACATTTAGTCCAGAAAATAATAAATAATTAAAATATCTATTATTATCTAGAATCAATCTTTATTTGTACAAATCGTTCAGAGCAGTAAATTACCATCTTTTCATACGAAATTGTGATGCTGCTGCACCTAGCTCTATTATGGCTGGTAAGATATAATGATATCTACTTTGGGAAGCACAGTGGACGCGTCACACTGTGCAATTAATGGAGACATTTCATTCTATTTATGATACAACTGAAAATGTATGTATATTGCTTTTCTTTAAAGGCCGTTAACGCTGATGGTTCCATTAATGGAACGTATGCGCACAGTGGATCTGTTAGTTGTGGAGGTTTGCTATGCCGGCCGGTAACAAGAATTTTTACACAAGATCCACAACCAAACGATGGTTTGGTTCACTTTGCTACAATCCCAGCTGGAGCCTCGAATATTTCAATAACTGAGTTACGAAATAGTGTTAATTTGCTAGGTAAAACAAATTTCTGATTTACACATTTTTGACGGGTCTTAACAAACCGAATATTGCCGGTGTAAAGTTTTACGTACTTCCCAGCAACAAAACATTGTTAATAGCAAAAGTAATGTGTCGGAAAGCGGATCGTATGAAGCGCTCGGTACCATATTTGACTATCACCGAATCGATGGAGTCCAGAATTCTGATGGAGTTACCGAATGGATAACAAGTTCTGGGCCAATAAGGGACTCATTGGAACTTTTGGTATTTAAAATTTAGTCTCTTACATTTAAGTTTAACTATAAATAATTCTTTTGATTTCTTTAGTTATTTGGGAACAATCGAAATCCAGGTATAAAGTATGAGTACATGCTTCCCATAATATCTGATTCTGAAGAGAACGAGCTCTCTGGGGAGAATAATAATAGTTTATTGCGATCTGGAGGGGAGGACGCTAGTACTTCAAGTAATTCACGTCCAGGGCGACGCCGTAACTTTACCTGGAAGGTGGTAGGGTTTAGTGCTTGTACGAAGTCCTGCGGTGGTGGTGTACAAGCGCCTATTGTACGTTGCATTCGCGAAAATCTTTTAAGGTATTATTCACAGCGCCGGTGTATTCATTCTAAAAAGCCAGTGGTCAATGAGAACCTATTGCACTGCAACACTCAACCATGCCCCGCCTATTGGCATTATGAGAAATGGGGCGAGTGTCGCTGTCAAAAAGAAAGGGCATTTAGACGTCGTGAAGTAAGTTGCTTGCAAGAACTAGCATCTGGAACTGTTATACACGTTGATAGCACAGCATGTATGGAGGAGATGCCGCCCACTCAAAAGCAATGTGAGTGTCCAGACAATCGAAGTCGTGAACTTTCTCGGTATCGCCTACATATAAATTTCGAGTCAGCGAATAGTACACGAAGACAACGAATGATGATTGATAACAGTAGCAGTAGCAACAATGCGGTCTGGTTGACATCTGAATGGAATCAGTATTGTTCTGCCACGTGTGGCTTAGGCGTAGAGTATCGTACAGTGTTCTGTGATCGATCCGAGGCGGGTGCAGTTCGCTGTGATCCCAGCAAAACTCCAGAAAATCGACGACCTTGCGCAAAACCTAGCTGTGAATATGGCGAGTGGTTTGTTGGCCCTTGGTCATCTTGTAATGGAGATTGCTTCAACCTTACACGAAGCCGAGTTGTTCTATGCATACAAAATAAATTAATTGTGGATCAAAAAATGTGCAAGTTGGAGCTAAAACCACAAACGTTTGAAAAATGCTCCCACGATGAGGGAGAAATTACTTTCTGCGCTCCTCGTTGGCATTACTCTGAATGGTCGAAGGTAAACAGCAACTTATAAATTTATTTAATGTGTGAAATAGAATCTTCATATGTACATAAATATTTATTCAGTGTACCAAATCTTGCAATGGTGGAACACAGCGACGCAGCGTTAGATGCTTGGACTACGATGCAACACAGAATAGCTTACGTGACTCAACCAAATGTCGGTATGCGGCCAGGGAGCCAATATTTCGTAGCTGCAATGCACAAGACTGCGATGGTACATTACATAACAATTATCTATTTATCTTTCTGTTATAAGTAACGCTTTTAATTTTGTTCCGTTCTTCAGAGCATCACCAAAATTACTCTTCCTCTACGTGTACCGATAAACTTTCCAACTGTAAATGGGCTGCAGAAGGAAAGCTGTGTAGCTATGATTACTACCGAATAAATTGTTGTACCTCTTGCGGAGGCGGATTTTAGGGGTATTATAAGATGACCTTATGACCTTATTATGACCTTTTTACAATTGAGAGTATTTTCAATCAAAATCACTGTAATTTATAATACAATTTTATTATTAATAACTTATATTCCTTTTAATAAAGCAAATTAATTTTTTTATGATCTGCTTTCTGATATTTTTGAGGTTTCCATCTTAGCCATCTCCATGAGGAACCTCATGATAAAATGATAGCACCTTGATTTTTTGTTACACATTTATTTGAAGGAGGCTATTATATTTTATAACCAAGCATTTGAAAAACTGATCGGATTGTAAAAAAATAAACAAGCTCTGCTAAACCCAAAACACTAAATCCGAGAAACAATCCTGCAGTACTTCCAATGGAAACTAGACGAAACATAAAAGTAAATTTTACTTATCCATCTATTATGTGTACAATGTAAATATGTTTGCTCACCCAAGAGATCGGTAAAAGAAAATATAACTTGTCGCTTAAGCCGGTTCTGCGGCCAAGTTTTCATAGAAATGGCACTTCCTATACTTCCGAGTAGTTGTTTCGAGCCTATCATTGGCTAAAATGAATAGTATGTAAGTATTTAAGTCTTTGTACACCATTACGAACTAACATCCTCCAGTGCATTGAAAATACGAAGTAGTTAGCCATGTCAACTTACTAAAGCACTTTTTGTTGTTACTACTGCATCAAGGCAGTTCTGTTCACAGTGGCATGTCGCCGGCTTTTCATGGGAATCATTTTCTTCGTACAATTTAAGAAAAAAATCTGTGTAGTAAACAATATAATAAAATACTTTAAAACCCATGCATGAAAAATATTGAAAAATTAATTTCATTGAATACAATATGTTGTTACTCACTTGCATGTCTGGGGAAACACGATTTAAGAATTTTATAATCGCAAACTGGCTTAGGTTTTGCAACTAAAAATAAGTTTAAAAGAAAATGGCTTTGAAATTTAATTTATTTTGTATGTGTTTTATCTCGGCATTCACGCTTTTGATGTCCAACAAACATAACAAATAAATGTTTTTAAAACTGATTGAAAGGAACAGATTTGGAAAAAATGTTGCAAACAAGAAGTATGTTTTTCATGTGAAATAAATAAATTTAAAAATCTCTTTGCTTCTTCACACAAACAACTGAGATATGATATGAAGCCATTGTATTTAACAAATTAATACATTTCTCTATATCTATAGGTACAAAAACAAAAAAGATGATTATGAACAATTTATAATTCGGTTGACTTCGGCGGAAATGCCCGTGTGTGTAAGTAAATATTCAGGCGTTCACCGGTTTTCACTTTAGAAAAACTTTCCGATTTACTGTTTAAACACACAAACAACAGTGCTCCCGTTATCACGAAACGAAAAACGTTGACGAAACGCAAACAACCGGAGAATGCCTGATTGTTGTAAATATATTTGATTGCTTACTGCGGTTTGGATAAAAGTGAGGAATACATTTACAAATTTTGTAAGCAAGATTAATTCGACATTCTTGCTGACAAATATTTCTAGTATAGAATGGAAAATGGGTCAGATTTGACTCGTGATAGAAACGACATTTTCTTTGTCTAATGGTAGCTTCTCTACAAAATAGGAGAAAATCAACAATTTTAATTTTAAAGCTTAAAAGTTCATAATAAATATCAAAACTTGCTTCTCAAGGTTTTCCTCTGCAATTATCTCTTCGCTTTCGGGATCGTAGACAACTCCTTCTTCAGTGTAACCAAAATTATTATCCACCTTCATTACCTCAAATGCTGAATGTATATAGCTCTAAATAAAATTAAATTAAAAATGTATTTATTGAAAATGATTGAAATATACTAAAATATGTACGAACTTACATCTATAGCTTCGCTGCTAAAGCCCAATAAGGTGAAGCCAACGTCCTTTTCAAAAAACGACCCAATCTGAGCCTTTAGTAATCGTCGGGTCTGTTCATATTTGTTAACTTCAGGATAAACTCCAAATATCAAGTACCGCGAGCTGTACTCTTCCCCCAGCTTAGAGTTACCTAAGTAGCACAAGCCGTACTCCGTGAGAACTTGGCGTACATGAATATTAATCTGTCCATCGATACTACGGGTACGTTGCTTTTCCACGGGCTCGTAAGAGCTATCATAGGTAAGATTATAAATTAACTCCATATATAAAGCTGGTTTAATATCGAGAATATTAAGTAATTTATCTATATTCTCGCTTTCCGGAATGTTTTGAAAATTTTTGTAGGTGGAATTTGCCAAATTTTCAACAAATTCCCAAAACTCGTCTTTGTTTTGTCCTTTGATGCCATTCTTCCTGAAACTCGTTAATCAAATTGTTAATGAGAAAGCCAAATGTTGCGTAACTATTACCGGCAGTAGTGACTGAATAAACTTTCATTAATTCGTTGCATTGGGCATACTGTTAAACTTGGTATCGTAGTATTCCAAAAGTGGTAGTTTCGCTACAATTTGAAAAAAAAACTTTTAGCATTTGCTAATGTTTAGACTGTATGTTTTTACTTCCAGTCCGATATGTGTACTCTTGGTGTAGTAACGGTCGATAGAAGATAGGCAAACCACAATACAAAAATATATAGACACACCCAACAAAATAAGCCAAAGGAATCTATAAAATAAGCAATAATTAGAGCTGGTACATTGATGTGCTTATGAATGTATGTACATTGAGGCTGGTCTATTTTAAACGAGGAGGAACGTTGTGTTACGCTTTCGTACCCATCACCAATTTTATACATTAGATGTGTTGTTGTTAAGTTGATATTTAGTATTTACTTACCGCTCCAGAAAAGTAAACATTTTTTTGACAACGTATTTGAATCCATGTATGCAGCACTGGCAAAAGTATAAATTAATATAATCTACTATTGCTTTCGGCCAACTCCAATAACTGTAGGGCTTTCGTGTCATTTTCTTGGAACCTATGTCAGCATATGTGATGTCAATCGTTAGTTATACTGAGATATATAAAGCATACAATAACTATTATATTAAACACAAGATGTTAAATGAGCCAACAAAAATCTGTTTTATAGCGGCAACATTGCTGATCAAGCACCGGGTACCAAAGAAGCGACGCGTTTTTAGACGCTGCTCACAACATTCCTCCCTGCTTTTAAGTTATCTTTCCAGCTGTGATTCTGTACACTTTTTTCTGGAATATATAATATTTTATCTTTACAGTTAGAATCGCTTACAACTTCACAAATATGACCAGACTTCATGGTTTTATCCTATCGAATAAACGGAAAATTGAAAAACTGCAATATATGTATAGTCTGTTCATAGACATGGCCACGGGTAGCTTTTCAAGACAACGCATTGCAATGGCGTGATAAAGCTCTGTTCATAACAAATGTTGTCGAGCACTTAAACCAAATTGGCCAATTATTCAAATGTTGATGTTTTTCATATCTTTTAAGTGGAAAAAATGGTAATAACCATTCTTAAACCCTTTCAGAACTGCCAATAAGCTACTCAATGGTTTATTTCAATTTTTCTAATATGTCCCCCTTCTAAATATACAAAACTGTTCCTGAACTATCTAATTTATAATTTGTGTATTCTTTAAGGATTTCCAAATCGGAGCGCCTAAATATTTTTGACCGGGGCAAATGCCCCCTTCCACCCACCCTCTTCGTATAATGGTTAGTGGCAGCAAAAATAGATTATATTCGATAATTTAACACACAAAATATCGATATTTAATATTGTGGTCTACTGAAAATTCGTAGTAGCGGTGAAAACAAAACAAAAATAACATAAATATTATTTAAAATATGAAAGACATAGAATCATTTGAACGGTCGTTAAAAGACTTTCAATACTTTGAAGCCGTTCGAAGATTTCAGTTTTCGGCTGAAATAATTAAAGGAATGGGTAACAGTTCAAGAAAGAAACAGCATAAACGATTTAACCCACTATGTCATCTAAACGAACACCAATTTCGACGAAAATATCGGTACACCAAGGAAAACATTCGTCGTATTATTGAAATTGTTCGGGATGACCTCGAGATTGATTGTTATGAGCCTACGGAAAGAGAGCAAGTTCCTATAGACCTGCAAATTTTATCTGCAATTCGCTTTTGGGGTGGAACTGAGGTGTGTATCCATGAAGCTATGTATGTATGTACGTACATCTGACAAATGGTATGTGCGTTTATGTATGTAAATGGAATCAACACGTTTATTTACGTTGATTTTAAAACATGCCTTCAAAATATGATTTTTAATTGATGTATGTACATATAAATATGTACATCTGTATTTCCGAACGTCTTGTTGGAAGCCTAGCTCCCAGAGATTATAATATCCTGTGAACACTAGTCATACCCGCCGGAACGGCGAAGATTTTTTAGAAATATGAAACACCGACTTACACTGGAACCATCCGAAGAGTACGGTTACAAGTACATGATAAATTGGCCATCCACAGGTCGTCTATTTATTTATATGACTTAAAATATATATGTATGAATTTTTCTTTTTATCAACAGCATCCAAAATTGACAGCAATGGCTCATGGTGTAAGCTTAAAAACATTGAAAAAAATCACTCGACGCATAGCTTCTGTGTTATCGTCGAAAGCATCGCGCTACATAAGAATGCCGGCAACACTTTCGGAAAAGGAGAGAATGATGCGTTCGTTTCAGGAGTTAGCAAATATGCCGCAAGTGATTGGTACACTCCTACAGACGAGAGTAAGATTTCAATCGAAAGATTCTAGAGTTCATGCGACCGATGACGTGAGGCGATCCCAAGCGAACACTAAAGAGACTGTTCATATGCAACTTGTTTGTGATGCTGATTATAAAATAAGAGACCTGGACATAAGACTACTCGATGAAGGTTCTCCAATCACCGATACCGAAATGTTCTCTTTATCAAAAATAAAAGAGCGGTTCGAACAAAATGAATTTCGTGGTCGTATACTATTGGGAAACGAATCATTTTCCTGTTCTTCGTACCTCTTCACTCCAGTGAAGCTTCCAAAAAGTTTACCGGAAGAGCTTTATAACCATGCCCATTCTGTTACGTATGCCTCTGCGAGAAAATGTCTTAATATATTGATGCTTCGATTTGGTATTCTTGGGAGTGAAGTTCTTGGATCTTTTGGTTCGGTAAAGCAAACGATTACTGCCCTAGCCATACTGCATAATATGGCAATGGATTGGTCGGACCCTAGTATTGGTAAGATAATATTTTTAAGCTTTATATCTATATATATTATGTATATAAATTTAAAACTTCTTTTTAGATACGGAAACCAGTATTTCTCCATTTAATTCCTTTAATGCTTTAAATGGGATACCAACGCCTGGGGAACACAGCAGTAGAACGAAATTTATAAAAACTCATTTTTGATGCAAGTAAAAAGTACTGTTGTCATTAAAAGACTTTGAGTGAAACAATTTTCCTTGGCACATGTTCCAATGTTGGAGAGGAGTTCCTCGCGACAGGAGAAGATGTGGATGACATACGTAGAGAAAAAAACAAAGAACATACAAAATTGTGTAAACAGCGTTTCACAAAGTTCTTCGTAATTTTGTTTTAAAACAAAGATAACTTAACAGATTTAATGTGCTCTTTGCTACACTACCCAACAAAATTGAAGCAATAAAGACTTAAACAAAAATCTAACTCTGTAGTTTTGTGGTACCAGTCGGAAGGATTAAATTATTGTTTCAGAGTTAAAAGACTGCAAGCTGGTAATATCAAATATTCACGGTATATTTGCAGTATATTTTGAAAACGCAAAGGTATATTTAGGTATATTTCCGAGGGTCTGTCGGTATTTTTGATCTAGTGTGCGTTTTTTTTTATTTATAGACTTTGTGGAACATTTTTACATTTATTAAACAACAAATATTGAAAATTAGTTTATGTATATTTCTACAGTTTTCTTAAGTATCGAATCTTTAGGTAAACCTTTATTCATTTTGCCAACTTTACCATACTCATTTGTATTCTCGTGTTTTTAGGTTGGATTTCCTGCAACCTCGTTTTAAATGTTTACATGTGTACATGCATGCCACTGACCTATATACAAAAGTACATTAGATGCGTGGAGTGCCTATAAGAATTACCACAGCGATTAAGAGCGCGCCATCCATCAGAATCCCTTCCCACAGTGGCAAACACTAAAAGTTAAGGCCACAAATCGTTTATCAAGTGAGTTTTTGTAAATTTGACCTGATAGTATGAAATCAATGAATTCGAGTCTTAATGGTAACCAAAAAAATCAAACATACATTTCAATTTGTGCTAATTGTACAATAAATGTATTTATTTGAAATTTTCGGCGATGGTCTTACCTTTAATTGATTCTCAGATATCTTTATGGTAAATTATAAATATGCTCCAATAAATCATTCGCATTAATTAATTTTAGGAATAATATGCACATAAAACATCCTTGTGTGTATTGATTTGTGGCATCAAAGGACAGCCTATTGTTTTCTTTCGCCTCATAACTATATGACTAAAATTCGACATGCGTAACAACAGCGATTATTACTTGACCAATAATATAAATTTGACTAACAACAACAGTACCAAGAAATCAGCATCACGTTACTATAGTGTGGACAATACATTGAATTATTACAATAATGCAAAAACAAGTGGTCGTAGCTGGAGCCGGAAAAATCAAAATCTACATGCAACCCAAGAATCTACAAAGGAGGCCTTTCTCCAAGATATATCCAGCTCTAATTACCGTCAGACTTCTGTCTATTGGCCGCTCGATTCAGCGTACTGTTCTGACGTTTTAACAAAGACACTTGGCGATCAACGAAGTACTAACGGTGGGGCTTCATCAAAAAAGGGTCAAGGATATGTCTATAAGGAAGTTCGTCAATCAGAAGAATATGTTAATGATACAAAGCACAATATGCGTGAATATAACTCGAGCAAAAATCAGCTAAGAGCGCTAAAATCAGATATTTTCAAGGAACAGGAACAAATGAGCTGGAAAGCAAGAATAACACGTAGAACTAAATATCTGGAAAATATTCCAGACAGAAATAACGTCCCGAATTCTACGCCAGATCCATCATGGGATTCTATACTGTAATTTTGAAATTAATTTTCTGTTTTTGTTCTGCTTGTAATTACAATCCTCCAATACATGAACACACTAGTATTTCGTTTCGAATTGTCCACTTAAAATACGCTGATCCTAAATCCTAAACAAGAAATAACTTTGAGTAAAAAAAAATCGTTGAATGCACACACTAACCACATATGCATATACATACGTACATAACTTTACATACAACATTTATACTTGCAATATTTTCAAATACCCATTTTTTGTTTGTTTTTGTGACACTATTTTTTATTTTTATTAATATATTGCAGATCTGAAGTACCCACACAGTACCATACGAGTGACCAGCACTACGAGCACTATTTTTCATATTTTTATAACCGTGGAACTGAAAAAGTGTCGAATCTTCCGTTATTCACAATTAACCGAAAACTGCCAATGACTGAAGTTCAAAACCCCTCAGGTCGACGAGACCCACGTGATGTTAACGTGACTACTGCCGGTCAAAGAGAGTCGTCAAAGGGTGCGGGCCATGATTCACCATTCGAATCACACGTACTAAAGGAAAAACTACCCAGTAATTATTTGTCTAACGACTATAGCTGCAATGGCTGGGGAGAAGCTGTAGACTATCCTGAATCATTGCTGCAGAAGGCTGGTGAAGAATATCTGGATTTGTACGACTCCGAGGCTATCATAGAAACTCAATTCGATCCGATACATCGTCGCCTCAGATTGCCTGAGAAGAGTGCAATAGATTATTCAGGAGTTGATTCAGCCAATAACAACAATACAAGTACGGAGAAACCTTTAGATCAGTCGCATCCGCCCTGTTTACCCATTAATCAAAAAAGAAACAAAGGAAACGCAACATCCAATAAAAAGTCATTGCCCACAGTTCACAGAGTCTTGTTGTATAGTACTCAAAGTCCACGAATGGGGCGCAAGCAACAGCATGCGACGCATCGCAATTTAAACTTTAAAAACCAAATCTCCAAATCGGTGGAACCGCAAGACGACTTTCCCGCTGTTCTATTAGTTGAGCCTGAATCCAAAGATGAAGTCTATCGAAGTCACACAGACTCCGATCGGAACACGGATTTCGACGATGACGACGACTTAGACAATAGTAAGAGTATTCAAAGTTATTTCCTTCAATGTGATATCTATGTTTAATTATTAGTTTCGAATTTCGACGAAAGCGACACGGAAAGTTTGATATCCGACGCTGAAGATGGCTACCGGGCTCATGCCTATAAGCTTACGCATTCTGTGGATAGAATCTCATCCCCCCAAAGCGGCTCTAGCTTTTCGGCTCAGTCTTCTGAAGGTGACCTTAAGAATCCAGAGTCGCTCCTGGTACCCAGTTTATTTCCCTTCGTACCACCGTATTTGTCTTTCTCATCGAACACATCAAAGGGACCAAGGGTTCCGCCGGAACTCCATAGAGTGCTCAAGTGGCGGGTTACCAACATAATGCCAAAAGTTGTGCGCCTGATTTTAGCCAACAGCGGAATGCGAATGTTAAAGAGTAAGTCCTTTCTATACTTTATTATAAACAAATTCAATTTAAAATCTATAAATTTACAGAGACCAATGATTGGATGGGAGTGTGGGGCAAGCATTTAAGGTCGCCTTGTTTCAAGACCATACGTTCATATCAGAAAATAAACCACCTGCCAGGCTCCTTTCGTATCGGCAGAAAGGATTCCTGCTGGAAAAACTTGCAAAGGCAGATGGGCAAGCACAGCAACAAGGAGTTTGGCTTCATGCCGCGGACATATATTATACCCAACGATCTATGTGCTTTACGCCGTCATTGGCCAAAATATTCACAGCGTAATACCAAGTGGATTATCAAGCCACCGGCAAGTGCAAGAGGAGCTGGTATTCGCGTAATTAATAGATGGGGACAAATCCCAAAACGAAGACCACTTATTGTGCAAAAGTATGTCAAAAAATCTACAGAAATATTCAGTTTAAATAATGCTTATTTATTTGTTGTTTATAGGTATATCGAACGTCCACTACTTATTAATGGTAGTAAGTTTGACTTGCGTCTTTATGTTCTCGTTACTTCCGTTAACCCGCTGAGAGTTTTCATGTATCACAACGGGCTGGCTCGATTCGCTTCAGGTATGTACCTTCCACAAACCCCTTGAGGATTATATTTGATTTGATTGATTTATGTATCCACAGTAAAGTACAGTTCCAGGACAGACACATTAGGCGATAGGTGCATGCATTTGACAAATTATAGCATCAACAAATTCTCTTCTAATTACTCAAAAAATGAAGATGTAAATGCCTGCCATGGTCATAAGTGGACCATAAAGTCTCTGTGGACATATTTAGCTAACCGAGGGGTTCGAACAGACTGTCTGTGGGAAGCCTTGAGAAGCTTAGTCTTGCGGACTATTATAGCTGGCGAGAATGGTATAAATAGTATGATTAGAGCCAATGTAGAGTCAAAATACAGCTGCTTTGAGCTGTTTGGCTTTGATGTTATTTTGGATTCAGATTTAGTGCCATGGCTATTAGAAGTTAATATATCACCAAGTTTACACTCTGAATTGCCATTGGACTCACATGTCAAGGCCCCCCTTGTACAAGGTGTGCTAAACACGGCACTGTATAACGTAAGCTATAAAATTGACTTATTAAAATCAGCATTCCTCTAACCAAACATTGTAGGTACCTCCAAAATTATCTCAAGAGAAGCAGAAAGAGCTAGCTGCCGAAATGTCTTTTCCAACTGGCACACAAATGTGTTACGATAAGCGACTCTACATAAACTACTTATCTCGCGAAGAGAAGGAAAAGCATAACACATTCACGCGAAAGTCTATGGAAGATAGGAATGAGGTACGGAGATCTTTAAGGCTCCTTTTAGAATAACATTTCAAAATATAACATTTTTAAATAGTACATTAATGACATTCTGGATAACCTAACGCCCGATGATGTACGATGTCTCATCATTGCGGAAGATGAGTTGGCGCGATGTGCACCACTGGAACGCATCTTCCCAACAGATCAAACTCATAAGTACCTAAAATACAATGATACACCAAGATATTACAATCGTCTGTTAGATGCCTGGGAGTCTCGCTACGCAAACAATCGTGCGGAAGGCATCGCATTGTTACGTGATTATTGTCAAAACAAATATCATCTTCAAGTTCCAACATCTCCAAACAAAAAGGTAAGTTTTTCCCATGGTTAGCATTGATATAAATATATTTCAAGGCTATTGTTAGGATCGAAAAATTGTTTATTTTTGCCCATTAGCGTTTAAAAATGCTACGCTGTTCCGCAGTATTTGGTTTTGCTCTCGCTACCGCAAGCAATATTTGTATTGCTCTTGCTGCAACGGAGTAGTAAATGCGAACGCTGATTTCTATATTTGAGTTTTTATTTTGCTCTGTGCGTATAGGTATTTACACATATGTTTAATGTAGCCATTCCTATTTTTATTGTTCGTTCGGCAAACAACTCAACTTTTGAGTTCAAAATTTTGAGTAACATTTGTACCTGGTCAATGCGGACTCATCGTCTGGGACCAACGAATTTCGCTGTAGCGGTTAAATAAAAATAATAAAAATGTAGCCACTAGCTTGTATCTAAAAAAAATCAAGGCTGTGCCAAGGAAAATTTGCGACCGGGGAGAAGTTCTAAAACAGCGCCCCCAACCCAATGTTTTTATGGGCACGTCCCTTCCTCTTGTGTAAGATTACTAGGGCCAGCCAACCCGATTATTTATTTCAATGAGAGGAAGTAAAATAGTTTTTTAAAGGAAGTGTAAGGTGTGCGCAATAAGTCACTTTTCAAACATAAAAACCTTTATTAAATTTTCAATTTTCAAATGTTGTTCTTTCTTTAATTTTGCCTTAAAGTCAACAAAATAACAATTCAAAAAATACGAACAAAAGTTTTGTATACTGTTGGAAGGTTTTTGAGAATTAAATAAACATTTTCCAGAGCGAAATAAGTGAACTTATAATTTCAAAGGAACTTAAGTTCCTTAAATTAACCCAAATTTAAAATTCGTAAATTGTATTTAATTGCTTAAATACGACCTCCTTTGCTCCCTCCATTGAATTTCGAGACATTTTCACATGTTTTGGAGCCTGTATATCCCTATAGTAATACTGATACCATCTAAATTCGATGTTTTCTCATCACTGAAGATGATATTTGGCCACACCAAGTCCCTAAATTTATGATTTTTGAAAATTCAATATGTGCAACTTTATGTCGAGGAAGTAGCTGACATTTGACAAGATTTTTTTCTTATTTGCCCTCAACATTTGTTGCAGTCGATACTTTGATACGGAGAGAACCAGTTCGTGACAAATTTGGTCTGCGCTAAGGTTTTTTTTAATTACTAATCTTTTTATGCGGCGCTTGTCACGCTCTTGCAGTAATGGTGGGCAAGGTTTTTTCCCTTGATTTTCAGGATCGTAAAATAGTTTTTGTTAACTTTTCTAGCAAATTGTTGTAGTGGAATCCCCTTTTCGCGATAAGTTGCTACTTTTTCACGCCCTTCATTAGAAACATAGCGGTTAAGTATAAAACAGCTCATTACAACAATAAACTCAGTTAAAAGGTTGATTTAAGCTAAAATGAAAATATTTTCAATCAAATTAGAGCTCTGATGCACTTTTAAGATGCCATCGACTACTAATGTAAGGTCAATTATTTCGCTCTACATTGCGAGGGGCACGAGCTTTTTAAAAATTATAACGGAACCTTATTGGATTTTTTTCTGAATTTTGTTGTTGCCATTAAGTTCAATATATTGCAATGGTCTCTGCCCAAAAAACAATAGACCAAACCCAACGAAGAAGATTTGACAGCAGATCATAAGCATTGTAAGGTGACTTCTTTCGCACACCTTACTTACATATGTTGTAAAAAAAGGTTGGCGCCCGGTGCAAATGCATCCTTTTGCTTCCCCCTTGGCACGGCCCTGACAATATTGAAAGGGATACATTGAAATCAGCTTTAATATTCTTGACTCTTGCTAAATTTTGAGGGATGTTGGAGTGTTATGCAAGCGTTCATTTGGCGTTGCCGTGCCTTTTACCAGCGTAAGTCACAACTTCTGACCAGATACGGAGTAATCGTATCTATAGAACTAAAATTTCTGTAGATAGAAATAGCTAGTAAAGAAATAATTTGTTGCAAAAAAAAAACGTTTTTGCCAGTCTGTAATTGGCGAAGTACAATATTAAGATAAATATAGTCTTATCTATAAAATGAGATCAAGTTGTTTCAAAGCGAAGCGTTTGATATTCGTTCTGACATTTTACATACCTTACTTTATAGCAGTTTTTAAATTATTGAAATCTGGTTTTTATTTACTTAGTATTTTCTTTTCGTACTTATCCGTTCGATGTTGCCATCAACTCAATTTCATTTAGGATAATTTAAGTGCTTTTATATCACTCTAAGTACAAACATATGTATATTCTTGATCAGCAGAGTCGATACAGGTTTGTCTGTCTCTCCGTCCCTCCGTCTGCTCGTCTTGTTTGTCACGTAGTTCTCAGAGACTAATTGAACTAGAGGAGCAATCAAGTGTTTTATTCAGACTTCTGTGAAAGGATTAAGTGCTAGGATCCTTTAATTTCCCTTAAATCACGAAAGTCTGTGGCGTCGGATCATTATTATAGCAAGAACAAATATATTCATTTGCCGTCTCTAACTCAGCTCTTATTCTTTTTCGCTCCCAAACTCTGTTTCGTGCAGTGTGAGCCCTCTGGATGTGTAGGAGTAATAATAATTTAGAAACAAAATGTATACAACTCAAATAATTTAAAGTTTATCAAAGATCTTAAGCTCATGTAGAATGCCCCTCAACTTGATAGGTTCCAACATTTTTAAAGTAAAACCACTATTTTCTCAGAAAACGTACCAACTTTGATTAAATATGCCCCCTACGCTCGTTTGCCAACCCCAATTTTATAGTATGTCATACATTTATAAAATAAGAAATGCATCTTAATTATACCCGGTACTCGAAGAGTAAATAAGGTATTGTATTTGTGCGAATAACGGTTGTATGTAACGCACAGAAGGAAGCGTTTCCGACCCCATAAAGTATATATATTCTTGATCAGCATCAATAGCCGAGTCGATAGAGCCATGTCTGTCTGTCCGTCTGTCCGTCTTCTTTGTCGGCTAGTTCTCAGAGACTATAAGAGCTATATGCTCACACTGAAACCAGTGTATTTCAAAAATGAGCCACGCCCCCTTCCGCCCCCGCCAAAGGGCGAAAACCTACCAAACCTACAATTTTGAAGATAAAAGAAAACTAAAAACACCATTCCGTAGGGAATGGCCATATCTATCTGATCACCAAATTGGGTTCCGATTGGATCATTATTATAGCCAGAATGAAGAAATTAATTTGCAGTGGCTAAACCCGCCCTGTCCCGCAGCTTTTGTTGCTCTTTTTACATTCTCTCATTCACACTCTGCTTCTGCTTCTCTCGGCCCCTGCCTCTGCCCTCCCCCCTGGCGTTGACTCTTCCGACTTTTAACCAAGACTCGGTTTTCAACGCTAGATGGCGCCACTTTCGAAAAATTTGCTGTGAAACCTATCGGTCATTATTGCACAGAATGTGCAGACCATTGGACCATCAAAGTTGCGTACAAGAAATTTTCATAGATGGCACCACTTCCGAAAAATTTGCTGTAAAACCTATCGGTTCAAGAATGTACCAATTTTATTGCTATTTTAAATATCTCATAAATTGGAAAATATTAACTGATCCAATTTGTTTGATGCGTTTTATTTAGTAGGCTTTTACTACGTGTTCTGTAATGTGAACGATATCTAGTGGTTGGAGATGTCTTCTACATCTAGATGTAGTCCTGAGTGCCGGGTATAAAAGTTATGACGCGTAAAAAGCGTCTCACACGTCCCTGCTCGTTTTTTTTTTGTGTGAGGGCGCTGCCTCTGCGTCTGCCGCAAGTCAGCAGTATGTGGGTCTAGATGTAGATGACAGATGAAGAAAAAATTTAAAATTTGACAAAACACAGCTGAGGTGCAGATGCACTATTGTCCCAATGACCAGTTTTGGTGGCTGTTTACGCCAAATTAGCGAAAAGGGCTTATGGCCGGGATCAATTAGTATTTTGTATAAGTAAAATGAATTTGTAGCATTAAGTTATTGAATTGTTGCATTTACGACATACTGACAGAACTTTGTTGCTATAGAACATACATGTAATACGCTCTGTATTAGAAAAAGAGTGACCACCAAAGTTGCGTACCAGAAAATTTCATAGATGGTGCCACTTTCGAAAAATCTGCTGTGAAACCTAGCGGTCATTATTGCACATAATGTGCAGGGTAAAAGTACCAATTTTATTGCTGTTTTAAATATCTCATAAATTGGAAAAATACGATTAACTGATCCAATTTTTTTGATGCATTTTATGTAGTAGGCTTTTTACTACGTGTTCTGTAATGTGAACGATATCTAGTGGTTTGCGATGTCTTCTACATCTAGATTTAGTCCTGAGTGCCGGGTATAAAAGTTGTGACGCGTAAGAAGCGTCTCACACGTCCCTTCTCGTTTATATTTTCATTTAATTCAATTAATATTTGTTTCTCTGAAATATGTCATTTGGACTTTTGAATCTGGGTCCGTGCCGATGAGTTCAATGGTCCCGGCAGTGTCTCAATTTGTAGTAGTCCAGGTTTCCTAATGCACACATACCACTCGTACAAACGGGAATATTCTGTGTCGTTAGCGACAACCAATACTTTCTGATGAGCACAATATTTAAAATTAGAGTCGTACTCGAATGAGAAACGAAATACCGATGCGAATGTAAGTGCTCTATGTACTTGTTGGAGTGTCACCCATTTCTCCATTCGAATTGTCTTTGTATTGCGTGAAATTAAGTTTTGTTTTTTTTGTAATTCTTCTGTTAAGCGCTATTAACCAAATAAATCAATATATTTTGTTTGTAATTGTAAAATTCCAGGAATACTTCATCAAATTGATGAGATGGATTTTAAAGTAACTTTTGCTGCCACCGTATTCTTAGTAGTCGCAATTGTACTTGTTAGTAGAATTACCTTAGTAATTCCATATGTCTGTTATCAAAATATTTCATATATTTATTATATACTAAAAATGTAAATGTGATTTGATTAATGATTTGTTAATTAATTGTGATATCGCTTTATATATACATATGTATACGTAATGTTTTAGATGGTATTTATACTTTCATTTAGCCTTACAGTGAAAGTCTTGGACTTGACTATATACTGAACTGCCGAGCATTTTAAAACCTTATGTCGGCTTTAACAGACTTATAAGAAAAAAATTTACATATTATAACAAGTTAAAATGTTAATCAAGTTGGTCTTAGATCTTATCTTTAAGTTAACCATTGTGGCAATATAAAACTAAAGGTACTTGAGGAATGAGCAAACTTAATCAGAGTTGCTGGAGGGAGTGGGAGTTAGTCACTGCAAAAGTATTTCTTCATTCTGGCTATAATAATGATCCATTCGACCCTAGTGAAATAAAGCATGTCTATAAAAATACCAAAAAAGTGAGCTTTTGCCTCTTTACAAAGGTTTTCACATAAAAATGTTTGAGTTGTATGTTAACAGGAAAAATTATTTACCTTAGATAATAATATAGCAACAGAATTACATTGAAATGTTATTTAATTTTGTTGTATCTCGGTGGACATTGACAGAGAAATACCCAAAAGTAATATAAGTTTAAGAGGTCAAGGATGTTTCGTTTTATACTACACTATAGAAAGATATACAGTTCTTAGAAATGTTCAATTTTGTTGAGTCCCTAGTAAAGTTATTTTATTTTTTTAATTTATACTTTAATCATCCATACATTTTGTTGGGCTCATGCTTTAATTTTTATTTTATTTAAATATAGGTCATGAACGATAGTTGTGAAGAGCTCAATCTTAAGACTGTAATATATGTAGGACAAGATGACACCAATGCTTAAGATCCCAACCGATGCAAAAACTTAATTTAAATGTGCAGAAAGACCGTCGTGATAAGAGGATGGTAAGACCATAAATATAAATGCGTTTAAAAAATAATAAATATTTAAATTTTTACTTTGTAGGCATATTAAAAACACCAAAAATACTAGCTTTCCCTTAGAACAGATTCTGTTAGGCCCATTATAAATTTGACCCAATTTTGAAATTTAGTTTTAAGCCTTAAAAGGTATTCGATGTGTTCAGCCTCTACGAAATTTATATATTATGTAAGATGATTAGTAATCGCCAAATAGGAGCGAATTAATTAAAGTATATGTTGTATTGCTATATTTATTACAACTAAGTGTTCTAGGATTTATTAAATGATTTTATGGGAAAAACGGCCTTTAGCTTATCGTTCTACTCCTGGGATCGTCGTCCAGCCGCATCGTTACCTACGGATGTTTGCCAATCTTGGAAAGTGCGGCCTTTATTGACTCAATGACGTTATTGAAGGAGCCTCTATATGTAGAAAGGCCGCCAAGGCATTACCTTTGAGGTAGGCGTGCTGGGCTCCGTTTAACACTCGTTTACCGAGCTTGATTCCAAAGAGTCGTTCCATCGTTTTCACAAAAAGGACGAGTCCTCCACCCATCGGGTAAGTACCAAGTAACGAGACACCCTTTGAATATGATGCATTCCATCCGTGTCTGGTAACTTATAGGGCACACATTTAATGGCCCACATAATTTTATACGGCGTCAGAAAACGCTTTAGTTAAAATGCATTTATAATTTTTTAATCGTCTTCATTTAATGCTCTTTTCTAGACATATTGCGATTGTTTTGCTCGTTTCCTTTCTTTTTTCTTGATACTGTCGACGAAAGATAGATTTATTCTATCTTTCGATTTTTAATGGTTTTTTTAATGGTCTGAGTTTCAACAGGATTGATTTCTTATCTTTTGCATGGGAATATCATCTCTGATTCTGTCGCAAGAAAATTTTGCGCATCGAGTACTGGCTTAAAGTTAAAATCAGCCAATTTAAATTTTTTGGGTATTTCATTTTTGATATTTTGTATACAATGTTTTTCTCTGAATATGGAGCTTGGAGGACAATAAGTCTTGGAGAAAGTACCGCATTATTATCTTCCATTCTGGAGTCCATTCTGGTGGAATAGAAATGCAATAATCGTGTGTTTTATCTCCTTATAATTGGAAAACATGAAAACCGAATATATATATGTATGATTAGTAAATTAGAGTGACCATATACAAAATTTCCGTTCGAATGCATCTATTGCTCTTTTCTAGCCGTTTTGAGTTTCTTTCTTTCCATTTGTATGTGTGTTTGTGTTTTTGTCGACAGAAGATAGAAATAATCTATTGTTCCGTTCGAGATGAGGGTATACAATCAGTTGTTTTTCTGGTATTTTTTCTTTCGATCGGAGACTCATCTGCGAAAAGCAGGCTGCTCAATTTTGAATAAATGTTCACAAGCCCAAGAGATGTATTTTTGTCCTTTTTAATCATTTATATTTTTTTTCCTAGCAGAAAAATAAAAATTTTGTTAAATTAGTACTAATACTAGTGATACTTAAAATAACATTTAACATTTTTTGAAAATTAAGTGTGCAACATTGTCCCGCGCGGACTCATGGAGTACCCATATGTGGAATTAGTATATACAGCATACAGTAAGACCATATATCATTTAATACACTAAATGTATAACCCAGATTTTGACATCGATAACCGAAAACTATTGCTTCCAGCCCTGGTTATTTTAAACATTTTTTAAGCTTGCCGCTTGCCGGAATAGACTGTGTTTCTTAAACAGTAGTTATTCAACAGAAAAATGAATAATTTGCCCCCAAATTCTGGACATTCTCGCGGACGTGGTCGTGGAACAAAACGAAATGACGATGCAAACCGTGGCCTGGGCCTTCAATTGGTAAGAAATCTAAATTATATGCAGTCGTATGTATGAACATTCCAAATCCATTTACCGGTTTTTTTTTGTAATTTTTTGGAAACCACGCGTTATTTGCGTATGTAGCTACATACATTTATGAACAAAATACAATATTTTAATACTTTCTCTGCTTACCTTGTAGAAACATATTTTCAAGGCTTTTTAGTTTCAATAATTGACCCATAACTGTGTTTTATACGTCAGGCCTACTCTCAGCACGCACACATCCACAATGCAATGTTCCGTTTTTTGAGTGATGTCTTGTATGTATGAACAAATGTATGTCCAGTTTTATGAATTTTTAGCCATGCTTGAATAAACCATGATTGAATGCTCCGAAGTTCTGATATGTTAATAAAAGTAGAGTAGGGTTCGGCACGGCCCTATCATTAGGCTCTGCCACAGCTCTGTACCAATTCCAATACGCAAAAACGGCACGTCCGTTGTATGGATGCCGAAAACTGTTGTACATATAGTGATATTCTAAAATTTCATTCTGTAAACATGTTCGTGTATGTTCGCGAATCTAGTCTCTGAGGTAATGTTTATGAAAAAAATGATAGTCAAAAATGGAACAAATTATAGTTATATTTTCAATCATATGGCCAACTGATTTAAAAACTTTACGAAATTAAGAAAAAAGAAACCACAATATCAAACAGATTTAGATACATATGTATGTACATACATATGTATGTAGATACGCTCCGTCATGACGTTTATGAATAACTGCGGCAGCGTGGACTGACATTTCTTTATCTAGGTATATTTTCTATGAACTCTGTCTTGCTTGATTTACTTACTTAAATGTATAAAATGTTATCGTTTTTCAGGGCCAAACTTCGAAAGAAACATGTCCGGATAAACCTGGCCCGTCAACGGAAGCTGAAAATGTGTTGAAAAACATACCGAGGTATACGGATACAGAAGCTCAAAGCACTGAAGGTATTGGTTTGGTCCTTTGGTATATTAGATATGTGGCAGTAACTTGTTGTGCGTAATGTCTGGTTCATATGGAATGAAACTTTGCATAACCTTTAAATTATTTATATTCTTGATCAGCATCAATAGCGGAGTTGCATTCAGACTGCTGTAAAATGACAGTGTTGCAAGTTTATTTGAAAATGTTGGACGAAAATCTTTGGCATCCATAATTTGAAAGATACAAGAAAATAAATAATCAGAACCGTAGAGTGATTAAATTTATGAAGAATCTGGATCAGAGTTTTAGCCAGAATGAAGAATACTAACTGAGCACTAGCTCCTCGTTGTGATTATTCTTACTTGAAATTAGTTTTTTTTTAATAGGCGATCCTCGCGGATCTGTACGTGGACGACGCATTATAAGGGAAGTTGTGCACTCTCGGCCCCAAGGACTTACAACCAAATCGGGAACTACCGGCACAAAAATATCTGTCCAGACCAATTATTTTAAGCTCTTGAAACGTCCATGTTGGAAGATTTTCCAGTATCGTGTGGATTTTGAGCCTGATATTGACAACACACGTTACCGTCGTGGATACTTATATGAGCATAGAAATATTTTGGGTGGATATATTTTCGACGGAACAGTACTATTCTGTGCAGTTCAATTTAAGACTAAAGAATTTGTCAAAAAAAATCATGCTGGAGAAAACATAACCATCAAAATAAAGCATGTTGGTTCAGTTGAAGCAGCTGACAATCAGCAATTCCAAGTCCTTAATCTTATCTTACGAAGAGCCATGGAGGGACTTAAACTACAACTTGTATCCCGTAACTATTTTGATCCTATGGCGAAGGTACGTCACTTTACACTTTACAAAGATGGTGTCAAAACACCCACTCTGGGTGTTATGTATGACACGCTCCCGGTTTGAGCATAAACGATTTTTTTAATTTTTGCTATAGATTAAACTTGATAACTACCGCATGGAATTGTGGCCTGGATATCTTACCTCGATTCGTCAACACGAATCTGATATATTATTGTGTGCCGAGATCGCTCATAAGGTAATGAGAACGGATACCTTATATAACATTTTATCTGAAGCGATTCGGGATAACGACGACTATCAAGACGCTTTTAAACGCCAAGTAATTGGTGAGTTTTGTATCTTTTATCTTTTTTGCTCTATATTATGATTATATTGTTGTGTATATTGTATTGTATATTTATGAATTTATTATTTTCCACAGGTATGATATGTCTTACTGATTACAACAATAAAACCTATCGCATCGATGATGTCGACTTTGGATCGACACCCTTATCTAAGTTTAACACGAAGGAGGGAGATATATCGTATGTGGAATATTATAGAAAGGTAATTTAGCTATCATAATAAAACACACTGATGCACCTGCTGTGTTTTCAAACGCCATTTTTGAATTGTCAATTAAAACTAGAAAAGGAAAAAAAGGGAGCGCTCGTCGTTGCTTTGAGAATGCTTAGGGACTCGGATATTGCTGTTGTCTGCACAATTATATGATCCGATTAGAATATGGCGCCACGGTAAAAAGTCCATTAATTGAAAGCACAGCAGCCACTGATGCTAAGGATAGAGAATATCAGTTATATGTTGTTTTTATTTTTGGAAATCACTTTACTATTCTACCGTTTATAATTTCAGAGATATAATATCACAATTCGTGACCATAAGCAGCCATTGGTGGTGTCACGACCTACGGAGAAAAATATTCGTGGAGGCACGGATCAACTTATAATGCTTGTTCCCGAATTGGCTCGAGCTACTGGAATGACTGATGCTATGCGTGCAAATTTTCAGTAAGTATGTAACGGCTATCAAAACGTAGTCTTATTAAATCTTTGCTTTTTTTCAAATTAGATTAATGAAAGCAATGAGCGAGTACACGAGATTGACTCCAGACCGTCGTATAGAACGTCTGCGCGTTTTAAACCAGCGCTTGCTTTCGTCAAAAGAGAGTATGGATGTGCTAAAGTCTTGGAATATTCAACTGGATACTGCGTTGGTAGAGATCCCAGCACGCGTTTTACCTCCTGAGAAAATAGTTTTTGGCAATCAGAAGCGGTTCCTATGCGATACCCGTGCTGATTGGACTACAGAATTCCGACAAAACTCAATGTACTCGCATGTGGACATTAGGAGGTGGTATGTGATAACTCCTCAGCGTAATTTAAGGGAGACTGAAGAGTTCGTAAAGTTGTGCATACGCGCTGCCAGTGGGATGAAAATGCTTATTTCCGAGCCTCGATAGTATGTATTAATTAAAAATTATGTATTATTATAATTAGAATAATTTTTTTTCCTGTATTTAATTTCAGCGACACAATTCCTGATGATCGCAATGGGACATACTCTCGATCGATCGATAATGCAGTAGCCAAAGATCCACAAATTATAATGCTAGTGCTTAAGTCTCCAAACGAAGAGAAGTATGGGTAAATTTTGTTTATAAAATTTGGTTTCTTATTGGTTTACATCATCAACAGGTATAGCTGTATTAAAAAGCGCACTTGCGTTGATCGACCAATACCATCACAAGTTGTTACTTTAAAAACCATTGCTCCCAGAAAAGAGAAATCGAGTGGTCTTATGTCCATAGCCACAAAAGTGGTAATTCAGATGAACGCCAAACTGATGGGCGCACCATGGATGATAGAGTTACCTGTTCGCGGATTAATGACTGTTGGATTCGATGTGTGTCACTCTTCGAAAAACAAGAACAAGTCATACGGTGCTCTTGTCGCTACGATGGATATGAAGTCATCAACCCGCTACTATTCTTCAGTAACCGAACACATGAAAGGCCAGGAGTTATCGAATCAGATGGCAATGAATATGACATGTGCGCTTAAAGCCTACCGGGATCATCACGGTACTTTACCAGAGCGTATTCTGTTCTTCCGCGATGGCGTTGGTGATGGTCAACTTCATCAAGTTGTGAACACTGAAGTGAAGTTTTTAAAAAATCAACTAGATGAAATTTATAAATCTGCAGACAAAGCAGATGGATGCCGAATGGCATTTATTGTTGTCACTAAGCGGATCAATACTCGGTACTTTGCCAATAAGCGAAATCCCGTGCCGGGTACAGTAGTCGATGACGTCATAACGCTTCCTGAGCGATATGATTTCTTTTTAGTGTCGCAGGCTGTGCGTCAGGGAACGGTAACGCCTACTAACTACAATGTTATATACGATAACATGGGACTAAGTGCCGATAAACTGCAAATGTTGGCCTATAAAATGACCCACTTGTACTATAATTTTTCTGGTACTTGTCGTGTGCCTTCTGTGTGTCAATACGCTCACAAATTGGCATTTCTTGTAGCGGAAAGTATTAATCGGTCGCCATCATCTGGACTAGAAAATCAACTTTATTTTCTTTAAAAGCTTGGGTATGCTAAATACCTTATTTTTGAACAAATTAATCTCAATATGCTGTGCGTATGTAAAGAAAAAAAATTACATTTTTAAAGCACGTCTATAATCAAAATGCTTTATGTTCTATTATATGTACTTCGACCTGTCGGAAAATCAAAACCGTTAAAAGGAATAAAAAGGAGAAGGGACGTGTGAGACGCCTCTTACGCGTCACAACTTTTATAGCCGGCGCTCAGTACTACATCTGTACCTTAGCGGTTTTTTGTCAAATTTTACATTTTTTCTTCATCTGTCATCTACAACAATTCTCACGCCAACACTCTGATTTAGCTCGCCTTCCCTAGAGCCACAAACTGCAGAGTCATGGCAGAGGCAGCACACTGCAGAAGCAGAGTGTGAAATAGAGAATGTGAAAAAAACAGGCTGCGGGACGGGGTGGGTTTTAGCCACTGGAAATTAATTTCATCATTCTGGCTATAATAATAATCCAAACGGATCCCAATTCGGTGATCTGATAGATATGGCCATTCCCTGCGGAATGGCGTTTTTAGTTTTCTTTTATCTTCAAAATTGTAGCTTTGGTCATACTGGGCACAGAGCGACATGTATGAAACTTTCTGGCGCAAGAACATTTAGCGCTCTACCAGGACCCAAACTATATTTTTTAATTGTAAACAAACCGCAGCCAAAACTCAATAACGCAATAACTTAACTTTGTGCAAGTGTAAACGCCAATTCTGAGTTATTGAGTAAACTCAACTATCGATAGGTAGCTCATGTCTGTGTTATTATTATTACTCCGCTAGATTGGCAGTTTTTCCCTTCGACCCATATCGATTGTTTTTTAGTTTTTCGATAGTTTCTTCAACTCGATTCTACAATCCATCGTTCTCCCATTTCTAGGGTTATTATTAATTCTAACAAAAAGCACATTTCATTTGAATTGGTTTAAATTCTGCAGATATGTCTAATCCTTACTTTGATGAATATGAAAATTTAGAGGCAAGTTAAGCAACTCGTTTTTATATGTAAATAAAAGAGCGAATGAATGATAACATTTCGTTTTTTAGGTCCACGAGCTTATGTTGAAAGATCGGCCCAGGCAGCAAGCATACTGCAATGCCATTCTAGCCAACAAAGACAAATTTAAAGATAAAGTTGTATTAGATGTTGGTGCCGGTACTGGGATACTTTCAGCTTTCTGTGCAAAAGCAGGAGCCCGGTTGGTCTATGCCGTAGAAGCTTCCAACGTAGCAACAAAAATTGCATTGGATCTAATACAAGATAATGGCTTAACAAGCATTGTGAAAGTTATTCACTCTAGAGTTGAAGATTTTGTCCTGCCTGTTTCATCTGAGCGAGTTGATATTATTGTTTCGGAGTGGATGGGTTTTTATTTACTCCACGAAGGTATGCTCGGATCAGTTCTACAAGCAAGAGACAAATTTTTGAAGGAAGGCGGACTTATGTTTCCCACAGAGTGTACTATATTTGTGGCACCTTGCTCTGTTCCATCTTTATTTGATTACTGGCAGAATATTGATGGTATCAAAATGGACAGTTTTGCCACAAAGTTGAGGGCTCAGAAATCGAGTAGGCCAGAGATTGCACAATTGGATCCCAACAATTTACTTCACGAGGGTGTCGTCCTTCATTGGATGAACTTGCTAGATGTCGATATGGCTGAACTAGAGGAAATTCGTTTTAAGGATGTCGTTGCTGCACAAAAAAGTGGAAATCATCAAGGATTTTGCATATGGTTTGAAGTGCTATTTCCAGGCGATGAAGCCGTGACCCTCAGCACATCCCCATTCGCCCCGGAAACGCATTGGAAGCAGTGTGTAGTCGTTCTGCCAGAAGACTCTTGCGAAACTCTGGAAGAAAAAGCACCAATAGCATTTGAAATTTCTATGTTGCGCAACTCAAGTGATATGCGGAAGTACAATTTGGAAGTCGAGCTTCTCGATCCGAATATTGAAGAACACCCTGTGCCGTGCTCCTGCCATATGACTAAATGTATACTAACTGAAGCACACTTGAAAACAATGAATGCATAGTGATTTTGTGACCTAATAAAGAGTAAACAAAACTTATTAAGAACTTTTAATACAAATACAATATATATCTCAGTCAAACTTAACATCTATGAAATTTTCTTAACAGTTTAGGTAGAAATTCATAACCTATTATTAACCCAACAGACGTTGCAATCTGCATTGTAGCTCTTTCAGACACTGCTGTAATCGATTTGTGTCTGGCTTTTGATAACATATATTCAAGCAGGCAGCCACTATGTCCTGAGCTTTTCCAATAATGCGTCTCCTGTGGAGTATGTAAAATTACATTTCAAATTTGTTAAAATTAACTTTAAGTACTTATTAAACATACTTTGATCGGTACAAAATGGCATGCGCGTTGTCCGCCAAAAGAGATACCACACGAATGGCGGATTGGATTAAGTGCCACTCGTTGCCTTCATTTGCCCAGACACGTTCATTCATTGAAATCATGCTACAAAGAAAATATAAGATATAATATATATAACATTAAATAAAATAAATAAATATATAACATTATACCTTGAATAGTATTCTAGAAGTAGTTCAAGGTCTAGGTTCATGATTACAAGTTTTTCTGGGACCGTTCCTTCGGGCATACGCAGCTGACAAGCTCTAATTTCCAATTCCCTTATCAAGAAAGCTAATGGGAAGCAAGCACCCGATTCACTATATTCACGCACTAATAACTCGATTTTGCTGAACAACCGGTTGGTGCGGTCCTGAGTCGATCCTGGCTCTTCTACCAAACTGCTGATTATGTTACCCCACACCGACTCTATAAGCAGGGGATCATTGTGATGGGAACAATTAAGTATTGACAATTGGCACTCCCACAGATTAAAGGGCTCAGCAAAATGCTGGTATAATTGTGTGATATCATAGAGTGCGTAATTCAATTCTTTAACAGCCGCTGTGGCGTCTGGCCTTTTCTGGGCCAACGCCGCCATATCAACAAGCACCGCTTTTTGAACTCGAGCTATTTCCAGCTGAAATTTGATAATTCAAAAATGTAAATTAACAAAAGAGATTTTATATTTTACATAAACCTAACTTTACCTTGTCTTCTAGTTCCTTTAGGAATATTCCATTGGTTACGGAGGAGCCAACATTTCCATTACGCATGCACATAACAGCCCGCGCCAGATACTCAATTCGTTGTTCCAGTGTTATATTTTCACTGCGTGTCATTGCCAAATTATCTAAAATTTGTGATGCCTGGGAATGGTATCCATTCTTTTCATAGTACTTCCAAAGCAAATCAATCAAAATAACATTATCCGGATTACGTGTCACACTTCGCCGCAAAAACTCTCCCAATGTTGGCTCGACCACTTCCAAAAGTTCAGCAAGCATGTCATGAGCGAGCAACCATTCGTACAGAGTCACATGGATTAGAGGGTCTTTGATTTTGAGAGTCTGTGTAGCAATTTTGGAAATCGATGGCTTTGATTTGCCATCCGCATAGCAGCTCTCCATAGTGTCTGCTTTAGATCCGGAGGTATTGCAGAGATAATGTGGTAAAGTTTGATCCTGAACAGAATTATTATTGCAGGCTGCCTGGTAGACGTGATCTAGCATAAGTTGAACCTCTTTGTAATAGTTCATCCTGCAATAATGAGTTGATTTTAGTTGCTCATCCAGATCTCATAAGCTCTCTCAGTTTACTTACCGAGTGACAAAGCAAGAATATCCTTCACGGTCTTCAGATGGCTCGTCGTTGTTATAGAAGTGAATTCCAACTTCTTCGGGATCGCTCTTTGCTGCACAGATGGCTGCTAATTCGACTACACCTTCAAAAAAGTCAACGGATATAAAAAGTTTACAAATGCTCTGCAGCGGCAATGTGGGCGCCGCTTCCTTGCACATTTGCAACGTCGTTCTGAGCTTTTGCTCCTTCTCTGCAGGTGACGTGCAGTTTTTAGCACTCATTATCAGTTCAGTGGCCTTGTATGTGACAGCATCCTCATGTCTATAGAGATTCGGGCATAGCTCACGTAAATTCTTTGATACTTCCGACACACCAGTTTTATCCTTGAGGTACAGATTGATAAGCGAAATTATTAAAAATGCGCACACCTCGGATCGTGTAAGCATTAAGTCTCGAAACGTGGAGCCCCTTAACTTCTTCTGATTCTCGGGACTAAGCTGGAGACAAAGGTGTTGAAATGAGTGCGCATTCAGAATGCTCCACAAGGATACCACTTCACAGGCATGCTCTAGAATAAAAAGTGATTATTAGAGGACTCAAATTGTTTGCGATTAAATCTACACTTACTGACAAAAAGGTTCAAAGCTGAAAGAGACCGCTTCTCCTCCACCTGAGCCTGCTCCGTCATATTTCGTTGGTCGGACATGGGCAAATGGCTGTTGGACATCATTATTGTACTGTATCCATTCGTTCTGTCCAATTGACTGTTAAATGGCACTCGGGTAGAGGCTACAAATTTGAAGAATGTAAAATTGAATATAAGTATGTGTATTTAAGCTACTTACATGAAATATCATGCACAGAATTCACTTCCAGAAAAGTACGCAATGAACGTAGTTCGGACAATAGGGAAGCACAATCGCTTGGACCCAATTTGGTACAAAAATTAGCATCGACACAATTCAATTGCCAAATAGATCGCAACATCCGAGAAACAAATAGATATAGTCCGTCATGTTTTGATGAAAAAACTAACGCTGCATTTTCTTGACCAAGTGCCTGGGGTGACTGCAACATTCCAGCTGAAAATAGTACATTTTTTTTTATTAGAAGCCACCTTTGCCTGTTATGAGAGTTTACGTACGTGGACTAGCAGGCTGACCGTATTGAAATCCAGAGTACTGCGTTGAAGAGAGAGCTGGTTTATTTGGCATTGGTGTAGACATGAACATGGGAAGACGCTCTGTCATTGTCACTGAATTCGCAGGCAATGTTTGATTGGGTAGGTTACGCTTATTGACATTCAAAAACTTTTGATTTTGAAAACAAGGTTCTCCGCCGTACAGCATAAAAGCCTGGGTGGCCAACAGCGCAACATCGCCACCGCGATATTTTTCAGAAGTAGCTAGCAATAAACACGTAGCGCAGGCCTCGCGTTTATCTTGTGATTGGAAAAACATTTTAACTTCCTCATTATGCGGTCCATTGCATGCTAGTAAGATCTGCAGCAGGATGTCTGCCGACTTTAGC